CGTGTGTTTGTCTATGTCGTTAATTTAAACAGTTGTATTGGTACCGTTGTATATTGTATATTGTATATTGTATATTGTACAGTACGCACCCATTTACATTTACATGATACACGTTTAAATACTATAACGATCATATATAATATATAATATAGATTGCACCGCAGACGATAGATGATAGATTATAGACTAAGGTACCTCCTATCCGCTGATTGCAGATTAAAAGCTCCAGTCTAAATTCGCCAGATAAAAATTCGCGGGGATAAGTGAATTTGAATTTATACTTGGAGAATGTTAAAAAGAGGGTGAGGATGCTCACTCGGTATTTGACCCTCGAGGTCGATGTGTCTTTTTATGCATGAGGAACCGCGCGAACCCCCGCGGATGCTGACCGTTACCGGGTAACTTTGACCCTCGCCTACATAAAACGAGAATTATTTTTTAGCGTCGCTGCTGAGGGAAAACAGGATGTTGGAGCGATTTTACTCAGATCAAATAATTTTTACGAAAATTTATTTTCTTATCCTTCGATAAGTTACTTTTTTATTTCTTGCTTTTAAAGTTTTTATTTTTTTTATCAACAATTTTCATTATATCTTTTTCAAAGACATTTATATTGTTAAATTAATTATTAAAACTTTTAATTTAATTCAAGAACAAAATATTTTAAATCAAAAAATCATTCTTTTACTTCATGAATCTTACTTTTAATTTTAATTAAATTTTTTTATCATGAATAATTTGTAATGTTTCTATTATTTGTAGTTTGAAATAAATTTTAAAATTAATTTAAAAATTATTTAATAAAAACTTGATGCTTTGTAATAAATATATTACGATATATAATAAATAAAAAAAAAAAAAAAAAGGAATAAATTAAAACTCACCGTCAATACGGGGTGTCACTTGTAGTAAATCCAGCCCGCGTACTCAGTAATAAAGCCTCAGTTTCTGGATAAAACCCAACAAAAAGTTATCACCCAGGTACCTAAAAAAAGGATTGTTGTGGAACAACAAATAAAAAAAGCACAATGATCACACCGCGAGCACAAAGAGACGTCTGTTGTCACACGTACCGAGTACTACAACCAGTATATTTGGTGGTAGGTGATACATATAAGCAAAGACACACGTCAAGACTTGTCACTTTACTACCGCTTAATAATAATGGAGTGAGTAGACGTAGCGTGACGTTTCGACGAGGACGTGGTGTGCGATGGTTGATGGTACTCGGTGGATCCTGGACACGACGGTACGATGAAACTTTGGAACGATGGCGTGGTCCTGGTTCGCCTCTACTCTAATCTCGTGTTCTACAAAACGGTGAGCCTCTCGGGGGTGAGATGATGATGATGTTAGCAAGCGTGGACCGGCCGAGCGAGGACGGACGCACATTTGGCAGCGTCGTTATCACTCGCGGTCCGACGATTGGCTGTATCGGAGCCTGCGCGCCCCAGCAGACAAAATACCAGTTCTCAGGTTCTCCCTCCTCGATTTTCCACCCCCGAGCCCCGGCTCCAGCCCCACGTCCCCCAAACTAACCACCGACTTCAAATCATTTCGGATCATGGATCATGGATCATGGATCAGCCTTGCAATTACAATAAACCAGAAATTAATTAAGTTTTTCATTCGGTCTAAAGTAATTATTTAGTTTGATCCGGGCTCGAGGAAACTTACTTGACGCTGTCCATCGGAAGGAACGCTCCGCTGACCAATAGCTGACAACCATTGATTATTTTCTCCGGAAAAACTCTAGAGGGTGTCTACGTTACTCCAGATTTATAAAACTCTCATTGATATTATTTTTTTAATAATTTTAATTCACATTTTTATAAATTTTTTTCAACAATTATTCTTAAGAATTAATCTAATGATTTTTTTATTAAATTTTTTTGAAATTAATTAAATTTTTATCGATTAAAAAATTTAATTAATTTAAAGCTCTCTGTCTATTAAGATTAAAAAAAAAATATTAATCAGTGAAATTGAGGGTCATTTATGTTCGCTGACTAATTAAAAAGCAATAGAAGAAACTGAGAAGAATAAATAATTAATTCGGCAAGAATTAGTTCAAAGTCAGAGAGATTGCTGAGAAGAAAAAAATCATTTATAAAGACTCATTCACGGTCCATTAACGCCGGACAATGGATTTAATGGACGGTGTCATGCGACACGAGGAGCAAACTCGTTATTTATGTTTACAAAATACATTTTTATTAATAGTCTCTCTCTACATGTACATAAATAAATACCGATTGAGTTTCCGAGGAAGTTTGACCTTAAAAAGTATGATAATTCCCAAAAATAAAAATAAATAAATATACTCTCAGTGATTACCTGCTCAGAGTGATGATTAAATATAATTATTGAACAAGTAATTAAAAGATACATGAAAACTTGAGTAAAAGTAGCAATTAGATATGCGGTGGATTAATTTTTATTTATATATTTTGCAAATTATGCTCCCAGTAGGTGGATCAATGAAATGCAAACTTGGTGTAAGAGAGGCTAACGTTAATGGCATAGTTCACCGCGGTGTATGTTATATGTGTACTTAGCGAGGCGAAGGGGAGGGCGGTTGGCCCGATGCGGGTGAGTTAGAGCTTCCTGAGGCCTTCTTCGAGCCCTGGCTTCGACTGTGCTGCTGTAGGGACTATTTCCACCGTCTGATAGTTTTGATAGTTGGATATATTTGAGTCCTTCCAGGAAGCACATCATCCCCGAAGATACTTAGTTAGATGTACTAACTTTGGAGTAGACTAAACTTGGCGAGGCTCATCTTTTTGTCGGCTGATCTATAAGCCTGCAAGAAAGTGATTCAATCTTAAGGATACTTTTACGGGGGATATATTGATGATGGATGGCGATTAAGGATGAGATCAAGAATAAGAAACGAGTAAATCGAGCCAAGCGGGCAACAAATGCAATCACTGGTTGTCACGAACAACTGTGCTCAACAGGTTACAGTTGTTGGCGGGTTATACACTTTATACTTAACTTATGTTTATACTTATGGAGCTCGATTCTGTTATTTTTCCTTAAAATCAAATTGTATTGAGCAAAACTAGACTTGTATTTTTTTATTTTATATAATAAATAAGTAAAATGATTTTAATCAAAGTGTGGCAATTAAAATCTTCAAAATGGGATAAGTGTCGAGAAAATTAGCCAAACAGCTCTCTAGCATACGTCGCCGCGTGATTTAATTCGTCACAATTAACAGGCGTATTATTCCCACCCTAAAAATCTCCCGACAGACGGGTAGGGTGCGGACAACTATATAGTCCTAGGTACATACATAAATATAATAGTACAAACTAAACCACCGCGCCCTGCTATTAATATCAGTTAACGAGCCGATATGATCGTATCAGCGGGGTCCCTTCGCATCAGCCTTCAATCCCTCGCTGAGTCATGATTTTTTTACCAAACCACGGTGCACCGATCGCCGAATTCACTCCTGCTGACTCCCACAACCCGAGCAGGCATAATAAAATATAAAGTAACTCTAACTGATGGTGTTGTAGTCTTATCTTGCTATCGGCGATCTCATAATCGAGAGTCTATTTCTATCGTCTGTCGGCCGGTCGATTTCCATAACCATTAATATATGCATACGTTCTCTGGAATTATACTTGCATAGCATAAACCATTCGGCTGGATGGATTCAACCCCCAAGAGTTCCCATCTACAGTCCCAGTCTCGGTAACGTTAAACATGTTGCAACGAGCACCCAACACGCGAGGACCCGATTGACTTGTAGATGAGGCGACAGTCAATATATATATAATATCGAGACCTCAATCCAACATTACCGAGAACGAGAACTGACTCTACGTCTCTGCTTTGCATTCGTCAGTTTTAACATGAAACATTCCTCACCCTCTTATTTTCTTCCTTCTTCGATGCATACATGCGGAGCTAATACTTATCTGGTTGATTTATTATCTCTGATCGCTAGAAGCTGTCAGCGAATCTAATGCTTCGAATTTCACGAGCTTGCGAGGCTCTCTGTTGGTTATTTTTCCAACTAACAAACTCACGGAGGGTAAGCAGTCTCTTTTGCAGAGCTTTCAATTGATAATTACCATGAATTCTACCAATTTTATCTCTAGATAATTTTTTGTCTAATTTTAAACTAACTTATTTAATAAATAAATTAATAGGTATAAAAAAAAAAAAATCAATACTTTGAATTTTGTTTTATAAAAATTTTATTTGAAACTATTTAGTATAAAAAAAAAAAAAAAAAAAAAAAAAAAAAAAAAAACTATAATAAAGAGCTTTTTTTCATTTTTTCTAAATTTAAATCCCAAGTAGTAAAAATCAAAAATTGAAATGATGTTAAAAATCAACACTTCCCAACCAATGACCGTCAACAGACCACCCAGACAATTTCTAGCTTACCAAAGCCTCGACAATATTGAAATATTGATTAACCTTCTTTATCCACCCTCTGAGTCTCTCCAGGGGATGTCGTTGCAACCCCAAAGCTCAAAAGCTCGAAGGGTTCCTCAGCCGAGCAGAGTCTGGTAAGCACCGCTGGACTATTGATTGGCGCTCAAGTCGGGTTGTAGGTTTACGCCAGCAGAGAAACGCAGGACTTATTTAAGCGCTGTTGATCGGTGAGGGTGAGTTCAGTCCCGAGTAGTCTCTGGACAACTCTCTAGTTTTAGTCCACCCGACAAGTACCACGATAGACTATCAAGTAAAATTATCACCGAGGTCTTAAAACTACCAGGAAGAATAAATTATAGAGTCACCCTTAAATATAATTATTTATCAGTGGTAGTAAGGAATTGGTGTAATTTGAGTTTCGGTAATAATAAAGCAGGGCAAAATTGTGGGGGTTGTGATTGTCGGTTGGAGTGTTGGGCAGAGACGCTGGCACTCTCTGGAAGAGGACCCCTGAGCCAGCGGCTGGTCACCGCTGAAGAAGGAGGAGCAGGAGCCAGGATTTGGGTTGGCCGGAGAGCGATCGGGGCTGCCAGGACTCAAAGATGGTCATGATGGCTGGCATGGACGAGCACGAGAGAAAAGTCGTCATGGAGTTCTGTCATCTGCTCGAAAAGAGCAAGCAGCTGTTCAACGGGCTGCGCGACCTACCCCAGTACGGGCACAAGCAGTGGCAAGCGTACTTTGGTCGGACTTTTGACATCTACACCAAGCTCTGGAAGTTCCAACAGCAGCACAGGTAATTGCAATTGCAATACTTATTTATTTTATTTGTTCAATCGAACGGTATTTCCACCCGAAGTGTCTGATGTATGTATGTTAAAGAGCACAATTCAGGTAAAACACCTTCTGAGAACTAGATTATTATTATTATTATTATTATTATTATTTGTTGGACTTATTACTACACTACTATTGATATTGATATTACTGGCAGTGTTACCTGTATGACTCACAGCCCCACCCCTGAAAAAATAATCCGAGTGGTGGTGGCCCCTTTGGTAGCCACCACAACGCCCTACTTTGTCCACCAACTCTGTCCTTGGCGAGGATTACAGTCTATAGATATATACATTATATTATATTATTATATTATTATACCCCTGTCTCTGTCTTTTACACTGTTTTTATACCAAATTCTCCTCTGTCCTTTTATTCTTGTTATTAATATGCTGTCATAAACTATAAGATTACTTACAACATTGACTTTATTTTTTTAGATATTAAAGTCTGTATATAATATTAGTTTTAACAATTAAAACACTATAAAAACTCATTAAGAATAACGAAGCTTGATTATTAAAAAAATAAATAAATAAATAAAACTAAGATCGATTTAATTATAAATTTATTGTTGTAAAAAATATTCGAGTTTTCCCAAGAGACAAGAGTTGACTCGGGGTAGCTTGTGCCTGAAATTCCCGCGGGGTTGTATTTTATTTGTAGGTCTGGCACCTCACTACGGCATACACAGAGCTCGGGTTCGAGACTTGAATCGTGAATGGAATAGAGAGTAAGGGTTTGAGTTGGATCGAGTCAGTAGAGGAGAATTGTTGATTGTCAATGTAAAAGGGGTTTGTTTCGTGACAAGAACTTGTCTAATCTATTATTATATTTATTATTTATATTTTATATTTTAGGGGTGTTATTATTATTGAAACGGTAGGTGGTGGTTAGAGTCAATCAAATCCTTTTGGAGCGTCATGCAACCGGTATGACGTTAAATGATTCCGGGAATGCTATTCAGTATGCACGAGACATGCTCGGGATTGCTAAATGTAATAAATATAAAGGGAATCCCGAGCATTTGGTTATATTATTCGGTGTTTGTTTTGTAACAAGCCTTGTAACATGCGGTAACAGCCTTCCATTCATTTTTATTTTTATTTTTATTTTTATTTTATTTGATATTAGATAGTAAGTATTTTTTTATATAGGCGCCGGGCATACATCTCTTACACTCTTTACGGTTTACTATGGAGCACACACGGCTCGCCCGACATTTGGAGCAGACCCAAATACATTAAAGTCCTTGCTCCAGATTGGGAGTTCGAGCTGAAGTCCTTTGGACGGCTACCAAAGATAAACCGGATCCTGTTTTATGATTGCGATATTACTTTGCTCAACTTATTTTTAGTTGCGTGATACCTTCAGGTATAGGTATAAGGTATAAGTAATAAGTATATAGGGTATCCCAGGTCTAGATGCTGAAAGCTGAAAGCTGAAAAATAAAAAAGGTCTCTACTGGGTAAAACGTCTAGCGTCGGATCAATAGACAACCCTCGAGACGAGAATGTAAATGATGGTTTTCTTTGTACACGTGCTCCATTCTGGCTGTCGTTTTACTTTTTTAATCACAGTCACATTTAAATCCACCGAGAAGCTTTATTTATTTTTCTTAAATTATATATATATATATATATCTGTATTTACTCTAATGAGCTCCTTTTCAGACTAATATATAGATCAACAGTTGCAAACTAAACAAAACTTTTATAGATTTATTATTTTTATAAAAATAATATTATCACGAAAATCCTACAAAGGGCAAAGATAATTATTTTAAGGAGTCCTTTTAAAACTATTTTGTCACGAAAGACCAATTTTTGCAATTACCAAAATTGGTTATATAATTTTATTCTCTGTTCTTATGAATATAAATTTTTAAACAATAGCTTTTAAAATGAAATATTGCATTTATAATATATTAATAGTTTTGTTAAATTTTGTATTAATGATTGAACAAAGTAGCTCTATACTAACGGATTAAAACAAAAATAAGAGCGTCTGTAGTGCAAGTCCTTAAAACTTTAAAAGCTGGCAAGTTTCAAAGTTGTTAATAATTTAATTAAACGGAATTAAAGTTGCTACTTGGATTGTTTTCAATAGACCTATAGGCCTTCGCAAGTTGCCACAACAATCTATTTATCACCCTCTGGTTCTCCATCTGGAAATAAACAAACAAATTAGTAACAAATTATTAACCAAAAGTTTAAGTGATAAATTCATTTTAATTAAGATTATTAATGTCACTACTAATAATAATAATAACAATTATTATTATTATTATTATTATTATTATTATGATAATTGATGACAATGTTTAACTTTCAGAGCAATATTGGACACAAAGTACGGACTGAAGAGATGGCAGATAGGAGAAATCGCGAGCAAAATTGGACAGCTGTACTATCACTACTACTTGAGGACAAGCGAGACCTCGTACTTGCACGAGGCGTACTCGTTTTACGCGGCGATTCGCGGACGTGCTTACTACAGTCGAGCGGCGAAGGAGGACCGGAGCGACCTGATGGTGAAGAAGCTCCGGTACTACGCGAGGTTCATCGTCGTGTGTCTGCTGCTGAACAAGATGAAGCTGGTGCGCGAGTTGGTCCAGGAATTGGACGCCCAGATCGCGGACTACGCGAGCACCTACGAACCGGAGGACCAAGTCGAGTGGAACCTGGTCCTCGACGAGATAAAGGGGTTCGTTAAGGCAGAGTCAGCGGTGGGGGTCCTCTACGCAGACTCAAACCCGGTGGTCCTGACGCACCGGCTGGGCCCGCTAACGTCACCCCCGATCGAGCGATCGTCACCCATGTGCCTCTCTCTCCAGGAGATTCTGATTGTCGGAAACTGCGCCGACCAGGTCAAGTTCAGCGAACTCTCCGTGGACATGTTCAGAATGCTCCAGACCCTCGAACGGGAGCCTCGCGATGATCCTACGCACATTCACGACGCCTCTCCTGCGGGCCGAATGCCCTTCCGACCTGGGCCCTATCCTGGTCCAGAAAACGGGATGCCCAGAAGGGATAATCCTCACAAGTACCTGCTTTATAAGCCGACCTACAGCCAGGTTCAGGTTTTCCTCGCCAGTGGCTTCAAGGAGTTGCCGGCTAATGGAGCGCTTTTGCTTTATTTGTCTGCTGATGGTTGCTTTTCTACTGTTAAACATCCCGAAGAGAGTAAGTATTTAAATAGTTACCTTGTATTTTTATATTAAAAAAACCTTAATTATTATTTTTAATTTATAAAACTTGATAAAAATTAAAATTTAGGTTTTTTATAAATAATTAAATTACATAAAAAAATTATTATGCCAGACTGCAATTAAACTATCATTATTTAAATCATAAAATTCCAATAAAAACTGTAAAAAAAAAAGTAAAACTTTTTTGGAGGATGAAAAACCAGAAGATAGTTAAAATATTGGTTGACCTGAATCACTTTTATATTTCACTTTTTCCTCAGTATCGATAAAAGTATTTTTATAAATGGACCGTAGAATTTGAAATTAATTTGGGGGTTAATCGGTTAATAATAAAAAAATAAAAAAAAAAAAAGATATTATGTAATAATAAAAATGAAAATAAATATATAGAAGAATAAAATAAAGAGAGAGATTAGAGATGGGGAGATTAAATGTCAGATGGAGATGTATGAAATAAAAAGTAGTAGTTGGATATAAAAGAAATATAATAGGATCTGTGGCACAGCACCGGATGTTTTTTGATTATTTTAATTGTGCAAAGTGGGTTACGACCTGGGAGGCGTGTCAACTAGCAGCAAGCGTGATCCGGAGCACGGAAAGAGGCCTAGCGGTGGTAAGGAGCCCCACTGCCTCTACCCCGGCGACCTGTACCCGTTCACGAGGAAGCCGCTGTTCGTGGTGGTCGACTCGGACAACAGCTACGTGTTCCAACAGATTCCGAGATACTTCGGGCAGCCGCTCATGGTGCTGATGTCGCCCCAGGAAACGCCCTCGACCCTCCGGGACCTGCGCCACGGAGGGAGTCTCTTCACCCTGTTTCTTCACTCTCCTCTTGCCGCCTTCTGCCTTATATGCAACGTCGGTAGCCTCGCCGTTCATCACTGGGAACGCTGCCAGAGCTACGTCGAAAGATTCCTCGTTGAGGCCAGCCGACTCGTTATTCGTTCCAGATGCGGTAAGCAACACCACCAACCTTTCCCCGATATTATTCATCCTTCATACCTCCTACCTCCTACTTACTCCCTCATTCCTCACCTATATAACTCCTGTCGACCTATTTTCGAAAGATCTCTCTACGAAATATCATTATACCTGTGACTTTTTAATTAATTAATTGCAACCTTGCAGTCACTATGTGACTGCCGTGACTTGTAAACTATAAATAAACAAAAATTTTGCTTTATTAAGTAATGACTTTTGTTAAATTCCACTGTAATTTTTTAAATATTGATGTTTTTAAAGATATAAGCTCATCCCGATGCTACACTCATCAAGAGCTTTCATTTAAGTACCCACATGCATTTTTGATATATTTTTAATATATAAATATATGAAAAATTGATGTGAGTACTCAAATGAAAGATCTTGGATGAGTGTAACATCAAGATGAGCTTATATCTTTAAAAATGTCAATATTCAACGAAATACAAGGTAATTTCTTAATTATACTTACATAATCATATAATCACCAGCTTATTTTTATTTTATATGCTGTTAAACTTTTTATTTGTATGTACCTTAATAATTGCTCTTTTTTAACTTAACATTAAATAAATTTTATTGGCAGTATTTTAGTTCTAAAATAAAAAAATATTAATTTACAGAAAGCAGCATACTCCAATTTTTCGGTGACGACTTTCTTCGACTGCTGGTAGTGCGGTACGTATTCTGCGACGTGGTGCTGCACCTCCACAGATCTTTCCGCGGACGTCACCAGCGGCCTTGCTGCCATCCGCAGCTTCCGGAGGCGGACGTTCTCCAGCATCCGACTCTCCAACACATAGTTCTGGACCTGGCCGGGTGTCTCGATGCTCGCGATCACTTTTTGGACAGCAATGAACTAGCCTGACCCCGGCGTGATCCATCTCGGCTGGATCGTGAATACGACACATCCCCAGTGTACACTAATTATCACAATTACGACTACAATTACGACGATTACAATTACAATAATAAAATCGTTACATTGAGACCTCATTAAACCGCGTCTCGCACTTGATTATAAATATCTTTACATGCATACATACATACATATATATACATATACATATCTTCACATATATATATATATTATATATATGTATATATACCATTATCTTCTATTTAACTGTACGAAGTTTATTTCTTTTTTTTTTTTTTTTTTTTTTTTCCACAAAAATTTCAAAGATTTATTTTATTTTTTTATTTTTTTGTTCGCTTTATTTAAAAGTGTTTAAGCTTTTATTTATCCCAAATTATCAAGATACTCGTAAAAAAATAATAATAATAATGAACAAACGTTTTTATACTTGAAAATACACGTTAATAGATTAGGATTAAATGCTATTTTTCGAAGAAAAAAAACTTTTTAAAAATCAAAGAGTATCGCTTAATATTTATTACTAATTAACTATCAACTATTTATTATTAATTAATTATTAAAAGAGAAAAATTTTATTAGTTTACGGCGGATCCAATTTACCGTATTAAAAACACTGTAAATTATGACAATATTTATATAAATTAAACAGTGTTTGTTTTTTAATTATAAAATACAATAAACAATTGGTTCGATAGACCGTATTTTTAACAATAAAAATTAATGGTAATATTGTAGGCGATAAAATATTGTTAAATGAAATTTTTAAAGGCACTAAACCGTATTTTTGGTATGTTAAAATACATTAGAATGTATATCTTTGTTAAATTCAATTGTATTATTACGTATTTTACGGTATTAAACCAAAAATACGTCAACAATACCGTTTCTGTGGTATTTTATCGTAAATTATTTAAGACAATACTGAAAAAAAAAAAAAAAAAAAAAAAAAAAAAAAAAAAAATACATAAATTTACGATAATTAAATATAGTACCGTATTTTTACATTACAGTTCGATAATTTAACAAAAAAAACAAAAAATAGACTAGTTAAACGTTTATTAAAAAATAATCTTACAACACTGTCGTATTATCGGTAAATTCTTAAAATTTTAATTAATATTAAAAAAAAAAAAATAAAAGATTTTATATTGTAATTTGGATCCGCCAGAGGGTTTAGAATTAAAAAACTCGAGGCGCGGATCGATTCAGTCGTCTGCCTCGAGAGAAAAGTGATTCTCCCTCGTTCTTATCTCGCTCTTAAAAAAATTTTCGTTACACTTTATTAGTATTAAAAAACAATAAAAATAATTACTAATACCAAAAGTTGTACTAAAGTTAAAGAAAAAAAAAAAAATTAAACTATTTTTTACACTTAACCTTGGAGTTAATTAGCTTAGAGCGTTTGAAGAACTTTTTATACATCAACAAAATAAAGAATAAAGAATAAAAAATAATAAAAAAGATATTTTGGTACGGTAACGAAAATTTTTGAAATTATAAAGTCACCAGTGATGAGTGCTTTGACCCTGCTCGAGTATAAATTCGGTTGGCATAAGTGCAAGAATGGATTTACACCGGTCGATGCTCGGAGTGGATAGGAGTGGATGGGAGTCTCGTGGTGGTTACAGGCATATAGCAATAGCAACAGCAGGGTGAAAAAGGACATGACGGTTTTTAAAAGCCGCTGCAAGGGAGAAAGATGCTGCTACTGCTGCTGCAGAATCGGATACCTGCGCCAGCGCAGATACGTACCGGCGTTTACTTGCCTCGATAACAGCCTTAGCTCCGACAGCAAACTGCTATCCACTGCTCTAAAACCTAGAGTATCTAATATAATGTTATAATTATAATGGTTTAATGCTAATATATATATATATATATATATAATATTATTATTATAAGTTATAAGATAAAGATAATCTAAGTGAGTAAGTAAGAGCTAATATATAAACTAGCCCGAGTAAACCGACTGACTGCCTATAAATAACCACGCTTATATATATATATATATATATATATATATATATAATTGTATACAAGTACACAATTGCGTGAACAAGTGACGGTGGTGGAAGACGTTAAAGAGGTGGTAGCTAATCGGGCAAACCAAACTCAAACCTGGGTGGAAGCTTCTTTAGCTCTCCTCTCCGAGCTCTCGGAGGTGGAGGGCATTCTGCTGATGGTGCACGTTATCAGTTTGGGAGTAGGTTAAAGTGTCCAGAACCCAAAATTATAAATTGTAAATTTAAAAAAAAATATCAAGACCAAGAAGAAGAAGAAGAAGAAGAAGAAAATAAAATGGAAAATGAAAAAGGACGTACATCAAGAGCTTCTTCGACCTCGAGCCTCGGCAGAGAGGTCCGCTGTGGGTGTCAGTACTTCAAGAGTGATTCTTTGCTGCCAGAGAGACGGGCGATGATGATGCTGTCGCGACCTTCGTCCCGTGCCTCAGCCAAGACTCAGCCAGGCATGTGGTAAGTGTGCCCTTTTATTTAATATTATTTTATTTAATCTCAATGAAATGAAAAAATAATAGTAATAAATTATTAGCACATGTTTACCGAGTATTTAGAGCGCTGACGGATTTCGTAATCGGGTTGCTTAGTAATGCAGTAAATATGGACGTGGGTAGTTTGGGTTACAGCCCGGCGTCGAGAAGCTATTTAAGGTCCGCCCGGGCGCTATAGTTGTTCCATTCTCAGATTCGAGCAAAATAGAACCGGTCAACTAACACTCCCGGCTGATGCTAAACTATACTGCTGGTCCAGCGGATCTTTTTTCACTCTATTAACGTCGGGTACTCCAACGAGACCACTACCTGCAAAAAAATGTAACAAACTCGATGTTAGTGTGACGAGGCCGAGAAATACGGCTGTTAGATAATTTTAAACTAACAAGTGATAACACGCGGGTTCAATTATCACCATCATAATTTTTTTTTTAACGCTGAGACTATTTTTTAAATCCTTGAAATAAAATCTATAGACCCTGTAAAAAAGATAAAAAATGAAAATAAAGTAATTACCGTAGTGATAAGTGCTGACGATGAGTTTTTTACACAGTGAGCACGAGTATGAACCGGTTGGCGCCGGAATGTCCCCAAAGAACTCGGGACCAGCCCCGGTGGTCAGAATTTCGGACACAGACATCGTCCCGGTTGGTGACAGCGATGACAGTATTGATGTTGGAGGTAGATTTTCTCCTGGAGTTGGCCTCGTAGGCGACGTGGTCCTTCCTCTTGATGGACGCATCGAGGACAACGCTATGGAGAGCAGAGAACTGGGAAGCGGCGATCTCTCTGGAGCAGAGGAACCAGAGACCGCTCAGCAGCTCCAGGACAGACTTGAGGAACGGTTCTTCAGCGCGGTGACCCCCGCGACCGAATCCAGGACCGACGGGGAGATCAACACGAGCCAGGTTGGTATTTTTAATTTTTTTTTTTTTTTTTTTTTTTTTTTTGTTGTGATTATTGATTTTAGTTTTTACTAGCGGTATATTTTTATCTGGGGATTTAAATTGTTGGCTAAGATTAGTGATTAGGCAACAGTATATTTATTTATTTTTCTTGCTACTAAATAAAGACGATACGAGAATGAGTACGTCAGTGGAATGCACATACCACGTGCCATTAATTGTACTTGACTTTACTTTAGATATAGTTAACACTAACCAGACGTGAATAAATTATTTTTATTTAACAAGAATAATAAATTTTATTTTTATCTTTGATTTTATATTTAATCATTTTTTTTTTTTTATTATTGAAATGTATTTTATTATTAAATGAAATGATGTTGATTCAGTAGAAAACATGTGACGTTATTGTTGCGAAAGCGCTTTAAATATCTACATGAAATTATGTCGTCTCCAAAAATATTATATCTAATTCAAGAGAGCTTTTACAACTGAAGTAACCCGTAATGTTTTCTCTTATTGCCAGTCATCATTATATATTTATAATAATTCTCATTAGCAAACACCCGTAAATCAACACAACACACATAAAACTGTTAGCATTACTACAACAAGCCCAGAAATAAATATTCAAACTAAAATAAATAATTATTGTAGGTGGACTCATCAGTGATGGAGGAGTTGCCGTTGCGACGAGGAGCGCGGGGTCTGCCCCAGAAAATCCGTACTCAAGCTGGAAAACTACGAACCCGCCTGAAAAACATTAATCGACGGACTTTCACCCTTCCTATGCACGACCGAAGACACAAATCATCCCCAAAAATCCGCTCGGACCGGTCAAAGTCCGATAAATCTAAATCCCGATCATCCGACAAGTCTTCAACCTTGGAGCGAGCCTCCAAGGCATCCTCGACAGACAAACGAACCCGAATAGAGCGAATACGCGCCTCACTGCCCGACCGTCCAAGATTTTCGCTGGACAAGTCAAGATTCTCTCTACCCGACAGACCAAAGTTCAATTTTTCTCAACGGAAATTCCACCTGCCAGAGCGTCCGAAAATAAATTTACCGAGAATACCATCGCGGTCCAGCTTCCGAATGCCAAGTTTACCTGGACGTCGACGAGCCCCAACTCTAGCTGAGCAGCAGCGCCAGTACAGCAATGAATCAAACGCGGGCTCGCGTAAAAACATTTTCGACTTCTCGACAGTCCCCCGACTGTTTGACAGAAAGTCTAAAGCCCGAGATTACACGACTTCTTCCCCGAAAGAGTCCCGAGCCTCGTCGTCGGGAGCCACCGAGAGCGCAACTCTTCCACGAGCTAATAAGCCAAAGGCCTCATTTGGCAGCAGGTGGACTCAGCGTTTTACCGACATTAAATTCGCTGACGACGATGAGGATCCTCCAGCTTCAATCGACCGGGAAAAACCCTGGCAGCAAGCGGCGCTCGAGAAACCCCGGCTCTCGTTACGAGGTCAAGAGTCTCTCGAGGGGTCCGAACCGCCAGCCTGGGAAGAGTCTGAGGAACATCGTAAAACTCAAGAGTTTTACCGTCGCCAGTTTCGAGTATCCAGTGCAGAGCGAGAAGAAGAGCCAGAGCTAAAACTAGAAGAGAGAGAGCTAGAGCAAGAAAAAACTAAACAACCTCACCGACACAAGCACCAAGAAGTTATGCAAAAAATCATGAGCCGGGCGGGTAAAATATTCCGCGGGGACTCCGAAGACTCGTACGAACCACCACAAATCGATCCTCGGCTGTACGGCGACCAGAACATCGCTCTCGAAGACTCCGGAGGCAGCAAAGAAAGGGATTTATATCGAGTGGCGTTTCAACCCGTGGACCCTCGAGACTACAAAAAAGAACATGCAAGAGACAGAGAAAAAATTGAGGCTTCGCTGGAACTCGATCCGGGGGAACAAGAGGAGGAAGAAATTGACGAAGAAGAGGAGCTGGAGGAGGAAGAAGAGATCGAAGTTGAAGAGGAGATTGAAGAAAATATAGAACAGTCTAGTGAACTTGAAGAGGACGTGTCAGCTCGTTCTGATCGAGAGCAACAGGCTTCGAGTGGAAGCTCCTGTGATCGTCGTCGTCGTGGAGTTATTGAAGAAATAGATTCTGATGAATTTTTCCTACGCGCGAAAGGTATCAGTCAGGATGATATGCATGTCGGGAGGTATTTGACCAGCGAAATACGCGACGCGCTGAGAACTTCTGAGCAGCTTCCTAAGCCTCCTCAAAGACCACAAAGGACTCGCTCGATGAGAAAACGTGAATCTATTGAGTCTTACGATGTACCACCCACCAGACCTAAGCGGCGCAGCCAGGAGTCTGATTTTGACCCCCGAATTCTTAATAACGATGACAGCTTTTCAGAGTCCAGGCATAGAATCGTCTACCACGCAGAATCAGCGCCGTTAGATTTAAACAAGGAAGAACCGCTGGATGACATTGTCGTGGTGAAGCCGATAAGAAGGAAATCTCGAACTTCAAGAAGTTCTTCGAGAGTTCCTTCAGATCCTATTAAAGAATTTTCTCCGGAACTACCGATTCCACCGGCAGTTCCTAAAAGAAGAAAACGGCATGTCCATGACAAGGAAATTCATTTTCGCGTCAATGGAATTGATTCTTGCAATGGACACGATATGAATATCAGTGTTGATACCGCGGATGAGGTAAAACCGAGACCCAAGTCGGAACCGATAAAGCCGTCGAGAGTTCCTAGTCACGAGACAATCAGTATCACGTCAAAGGTTGACGAAGAGGAGTACATTGAACCAGCTCCGATACCTCCGAAGAGACACTCGCGCTCCAGAACTACCTCGATCATTCAAGATGACGACAGAACCTCTCGAGAAGCCGACTCGATACCCGATTTGGGATACGATATCGAGGAAATGCAGCTTGACGAGGAAATGCAGCCTCCTGGGTACGCGGTTATTGAAAAACGCGAGAAACCACCAAGACCACCTCCGCCACGTAAGAGACGCAAAGACAATTTTGCTACGCTTCCAAGGTCCAATGGAGCGCCGGTTAGACCAATCAGAAATTACAGCACGCTGAGACCAAGATCCAGGACTCCGTCGGTCGGCTCCAAGACTCCGTTGGAAGATGATGTCACTCCGTATGTAGAAATTGAGTCAGATGAAGAGCACAAAAATCTTCTCAGTGGAGAAGTGATGAACAAAATGGCCAGCAGACCTCTGCCAGCTCCTCCACGACCTCCAAGGTCAAAAAAAGATAAAACCAAGGTTAGTTTAAAAAATAGATTGATAAAGTAATGAATGATTTTAAAAAATATTTTTTTTTTTTTTTTTTTTTTTAGGTGGAAGCAGAGTTTGGAGGTGATCTGACAGAAGCTTACGCTTCGACACAAACTGACCCGCTGCCAGATGACATGGTAATTGAGGAAGAAATCACCCAAGCGAAGCTGGTAGTCGCGCCCTCAAGTTCTGGCTCCCAAATAATGGTTTCCATGGAGAGAATTCCAAGTCCCGCGTACTTTAGAGGCGTAACCGCGATTTCTCATGAAAGAATTCCAAGTCCTCAAGAATTTTACACAAGGTCATCCGCTATTTCCGAGCCCGACATCAGAGGCTCAAGAATCACTCCTGAGCGTGATCCAGAGCCTAGATCTCTAGATCGGGTGCCTGATGTCCCACCTCTACCTCAAGCCAAAGAAGATAATGTCTCGTATTTAAGAAGTAAAAGTCCGTCGGTAACTCGGGAGATAATTCCCGAAAGACCCGAATCGAGGGTTGTAGGCCTAGAGGAGCTAGAAGAAAGATTGTCAGCTTTTCTCACCAATGAAACGCTAAAAATAGCAAGTCTTGAAGTCGCAGACCTCAAAGTCGACCGACTGAGTGTCTCGAGTCTCGAGGCACACAAAATAGCGGCTTCGGAAATAGACGCGGTGGTAGTTTCCGCGACAGAAATTGCTAACGCCAGTGAAGAAGACCACACGATGCATCCGTCTTTGCTTGAAGAATTAATTGCCATCAAAGCTCAGCTGGAGATGGTGTCCAACCAGGTCCAGGAGAGCCACGAGAAGGACAAAGAGCCCCATTCCGATTTCTCCCGAACAGAATCGACACTCAAGGATTTTAAATTTACAATTGACTCCGGAGTTGAAGCTGATCATCTACAGCTGGACTCGGTGAGCAAAACCACAGAAGCTCGCGCGATTTTTTCAACTCAAGGAGTAGAACGACCTCCTAGTCCGGTATCTTCCAGTGAGTCCAAGCCTAAGGAACCCGAGAAACCAAAACGGGCTAAAGATTTAGAGAAAATTAGAGAGAAAGAAAAAGAAAAGGAAATAGAAATAGAAAGATCGGGTTCAAACTCACCGGTTAGAACGTGCGTAAGACAGACCGCTTCTCCGGTTCGTTCATTACCTCCGGTTATTTCGGTAACTCCGGACAGCCCCGACGTCCTCCACCCGTTGCTGGAGTCCTCGGAGACGAGGCCCCAGCGTGCAATGATATCTTACTCGGAAATCGAGCCCGAGCGTCCTTCGCGTCCGTCAACGCCCTTGACTCAGTCTCGTCCGTCATCACCGCAGCAGCAACAGTTTATAGCATTTACGTCGTCCCAAATTCCCCCGCAGTTCTTCGCTCTGGCATCACCGAGCGTCGACGAGCCCAGCATCCTTGACATGACCAACCAGTTGGTTCGTGCGCTCAGACAAGCGGGCAAGCGCGCGATGAGACACTTTGTCAACTACATGGTCTCGAGGGTCAGCCGCGAGGAGTCTGAGGCCAAGATCAGAGAAATAGAGCTCGCGATCTGCGCCCTCTTGCTCATTATCGCCGGACTTATAATAGTCTGCTTCGCAGGTCCTCGCACCGTCAACCACCATCATCACTGGGATTACTTTAATCCTCCGCGAATCTAATTTTTATTTCTCCATCCCATATTTTACTAATTATAAATTTTAAATTATTGATTATTATTATTATTATTATTATTATTATTATTATTATTATTATTCCTAGGATAATTATGTTTTTTAAATACGACGTTAAAAATCCGTTTGTATATTACTATTTAAAAAATATATTATATATAATATATTGAGGTATATTTGTACTACAATTGTTGAATCAGTGTGATCTGTTGATACTTACGTTTAATAAAGTCCAAGTTATTGAACAATTGCTATTTATTATTCATTTTTTAATGATTTTTTATAATATTTTAATCTATAGGTATCCTGATTCTTAACTATTATTAAAAAATTAAAAGATTAAATAAAAATAAATAAATATCTAGATTTATTGAAACAAGTCTTCATCATAAACTTTCATGTCCCTCGCATCTTTGTGAGCGCTCTTTTGTGAGTAATTAGCAGCGATGGATGACCACACAGCACTTGAGGTAGTGTCATTAATCGGTTCAATAACCGGCTGTCGTCGGGCTAAAGATACTTTTAGTTGAATTGACAAGACTATGCTGCCGTCCCTCTCGCTTATTGCACGCTCCGCTGCTTCTGGTTTGTCAAAGGTAATGAAACCACGGCTGAAATCATTTTTTAAGTTAAAGTCAGTAAATTACCGATAAATCAATTTATTACTCAGTGAACCCTGAGACCAAAAATTTTAAAAATAAATTAAGACTCACTTTTTCTCAGCCTCCATTGAGATATTTAAAATATTCCCGAAACAGGTAAAATGTTTCTTTAAATAGTCCTCGGATATTTTGTACCCAGACACGAAGATGGTATTCCCAGCACGAGGCTTAGGGTCTGGCTTCGAGGGTATTTTGTCTGTGACAGGTCTGCTGTCGCTCTTCGCGCTGACGAAAGACTCGTAGAGGCCCTTTACTCTGGGTCTGGCAACTGCGTCAGCTTCCTCTTCTTCGGGCTGCGTTGGACAAAAAGGCTGGTAGGAAGAAATAGTCTTCTCTGTGCTGTTTAATTTTCTCTCTAAACCTCGGGGACGTTTGAATGACTGCTCTGGACGCTTGGGAGTCTTTGGTGCTGTTATTACTCCAGATTTAATTAATTTTTTGGCGACTTCTCGAGCATCTCGCGCTTCAGTGGGTCGTTTTGGCGCCTGGGGCATCCGTTCAGGCTCAGGTTTTGGAGTTTTTAAATCCTGGAGCGCTTTTTTCTGAATAAAAATTAATTTAGCATAAATCTAATAATTTAATAACAAATAAATTATGACAAAAAAAAATTGACATGTAAAAAATTTTAAAAAATAAAAAATACAATTCTTTAATAATAATTTTTTAAAAGAAATATTTTCATTAAATAAAATTAAAAAATTGTCAAGTGACTGCTAACTTTAATGTCATTTTTTCTGAAATTAAACTTAAAGATTTAACCTAAAATTAATTTTTCGGAGCATAAAATTTACCTTTCGCTTTAGTTTGTTGTATTTGTCTTGCAGCATCTTTTCTTCTTCAGTTAAATTTGAGGGAAAGTGTAAATACACCATTTTTATTATTTTTTAATTATAATCTTATTAATTAAAATTTTTCAAGTCAGAAAAACGTAAATAATAAATAACAACAACACTGTTTTGTTTTTATGATAATCTCCGTCTTACTTACCATTAAATAACTTACTTTAAAATCAATCAAGATGGCGCGCTGCATGCACTTTTGTGGATTCAAAGGGAATACACTATACTAAAAATTACTAGACCAAAGTGATACGATTATTATTATTATTATTATTATTTATTAGTCATCATTTAAATAATGATTAATTATTATTTAATAAACTTTAATTGGATTAATTAGATTATTTGGATGCCACAGCTGTGGTGGTATCTTCCGCGATTTATCTGTGTATATCCGTGTGAGATCTACAGTACGTTGAGTGGTCCCAGTTGTTGCCGCTTGGCGGTGTTGAGGCGTTTTTGGTTGCGAGTCTACCACTAGAGGCGTGACCGCGCTGACAGTACCGCCACACTTTTTTTGTGGATTCAAAGAGGGAATACACTATACTAAAAATTACTAGACCAAAGTGATACGATTATTATTATTATTATTTATTAGTCAACAAAATATATTTAAATAATTAATTATTATTTAATAAACTTTAATTAGATTATTTGGCTGCCACAGCTGTAATGGTATCTTGAGCGATTTATTTGTGTATATCCGTGTGAGATCTACAGTTATTTTAAATTATTATTTAAAATAAATAACTATTTCAAAATTATATATATTTTTTTTATGACTCTATCTACCGGATACCGGATATTAAAATTGGACCGTGGCAGTATCTATCTTTTTCCGTACCTTTAGCCACGTCCTTAGTCACGTCCATGAAAAAGTGAAAAAGAGGTCTCATTATAAACTTAAACACTCCTTATTGCAATAATCAGTACTGGGAGAAACTAATCCGTTAGTACTATTAATTAATAGATTTTAAACTGAGTTTGTCAAAGAAGTTTCACTTCTGACATTTTTACTTCGTTATATGATATTGAAGAACATATATAACTTTATTGAAGTTAGCAATGAATTTTAAAATTGAATTCTCCGTATCACTTTACGTGTTATTGATATTATCAGGAAGCACGCTAATTTCATCGCAAACAAATCCAAAAACTCTTATTGATATCATTAATTTCGGATGGAAGGCAATTCAAGCACTTATTTCGATCGAATCATCAATCAATAATCATAAATTTAAGCAAAATGTAATCAACGCATTGGATGAAATTCGTGCAAATACCGCAAAAATAGAATCTTTAATAACAAGTGAAGCTGATCGTATAATCAAAGTACTTTCAGTTAAAATTGATATGGAGATAGTCAAAGATTTTATTCACACCATATACAAAATAAATACGCGGTTTGAAAAACAATTTTTGAGATATTTTACTGGAAACGATACATATCAGCCTCAAACTATTGATAATTATATAAATTCAACAATTAATCCTAATGAATTTGGAAAAACTTTGTCTTTGATTCAAGAATACACTGTACCTAATAATTATATAAACGTAAATAATAAAAGAGTATTCGAAGTTCTGTCCGTGAAGAGGACTGTTCAAACATTATTTGAGCTTACGAGGAACGGATCTCTCTACGTAGCTAAGGAAAATAACGTCAACGGTAGCGGTACTGAAACGGTGCTGTTATTACTCCAAATTTAATTAATTTTTTATAGCGACTTCCCGAGCATCTCGCGCTTCAGTGGATCGTTTTGACGCCTGGGGCATCCCCGTTCAGGCTCAGGTTTTGGAGTTTTTAAATCCTGGAGCGCTTTTTTCTGAATAAAAATTAATTTAGCTTATATCTAATAATTTAATAACAAAAAAAATATCTTGCAGCATCTTTTCTTCTTCAGTTAAATTTGAGGGAAAGTGTAAATAAATCATTTTTATTATTTTTTACTTATAACTAGAAATTTAAATGGCGCGCGCCTTAATTTCAACCAATAAGGAATCGTGGCCCGTTTTTTGCTTTTTTTGCGAGTTTCGACCTTTGACTAACTTCAAGACTTTAATGTATTTTAATTTAAAGGATCTTATTAATTAAAATTTTTTTAACTTATAAAATGTCAATAATAAATATAAACAACAACACCGTTTTGCTTTTATGATAATCTCCGTCTTATTTACCGTCGAGTAAATCAAGATAGCGCTGCATGTTATTTTTTTAAGTAATCGATTTTAAAAACTTTGGCCCAGTTTTTAAATAAAATTTTTAATAAAACTCATTTTGACTTTGACAGACAATACTTAATTGTTAATTAACATTGAAACAATAATAAGTAATATTTCATAATTTTTTATATAAAAAAATAAAAAAAAAAAAAAACAAGTGATAAAATTATAAATTAATGTTTATTCATAATAAATTTACTATAATACACAAAGATAAAAGTAAATCCCAATTATTATTACATATTTAATAAAATAATTATCGTCCATTAACTAAGTCAGTTGTATAAATTGTAGAGTTGATTAAATCAACAATATATATTAATATTAACAGTAATGATAAGAAAAAATATATAGATTAATTTTGTTCGTTAAGCATTTACCAAAAATTGCAAGTTTAATTAAAAAAAAAAAAAAAAAGAAATAAAAATTTATAAAACGTTAAGTATTCAATTTAGATTCATTTCCGGATCTCGAAAGGTTATTAAGGAAAGCAAGACGTCTCCAACGAAGATCATCGGGGTCAGGAGTAGTCGGAGCAGTGACACACTCTAGACTTAGTTGTAGGGCCTTTCTGAGCTCGTCATCTTCCTCTTCTTCTTCTGGAGAGGGCTTTGAATTTGAATTTGAATTTAGCCTTAGCTTCAGCGATTTGTCGGCTTCTTCATCCTGCAGTGAGAGCTGTAGCGCTTTTTCCAAGTTTGCTTTGTCGTCATATTCATCATCATCATCATCATCATCATCGTCTTCCAAGACAATAGGAATTATTTTTTCTTTCCCTCCCGAGGATGATTGAGCGAGAGAAGAACCAGGTACTTTAACACGTTCAATGTCAGCAACTGCTTGTTGAATTTTTTTTCTTTCATCTTCTTCGGCTGTTCCTAATCTGTAGCCTGACGATTCTGGCTTAGTTTGATCAGGTTTGGATTTACTGGCGGTTGTTACTGGATTTTTCAATAACACAGCATCAGCTATACATTCGGGCAATTCCCCAACAACAATAAATATTGAATAACCTGAAATAAAAACAATTAATTCTATCTAATTTAAAAAAATTAACAATATAATTTTACATGAAAGTAGTGATAATAAAAAAATACCTTCTTGAATCAGCTGGGCAATAAACATTGACAAAAAAGTATCTGACAACAGCTGGGGACTATTCAACAGGGAGTTCAAATTAAACCATTGATTACCCAGCTTGCGTATCGTATACCAGTGACCTTTGTAATTGCATATGTAAGCTTGCATTCGTCTGTAAAATAAAATTACTCAGGTGTATTGTGTCCAGGCGGCAAAATTACATAAAAATAACAGGACAATTAATTTCATCATTGATGAAAAAAGTAATAACCTACGAAGGATCATTTTGTGCAATTAGTGCTGTTGGCTCAGTGCTGTTGTACGGTATTAATTCAAGACTCCAGACTTTTAGTGCACTGCTTATTACTTGAACCGAAAAGTATCCACTATCATCCATATTTTCCGACGGTTGCTGAAATTATAAACATTAATAAATAAACATTAATTATTGTTGAATAATAATTATTGCATCAGATTTCGTAGTTTGTCATCGTCTAGAATTTTCTGACGACACATAGATCATTGGATAAATACAAACATATCGATAAAATTGCAATAAAAAAAAATAATGATGATAATAATAATAATAATAATAATAATAATAATAATAATAATAATAACAACCTGCATAAAACGTCTATAGTCATCAGAATCAAGCCCAGATTCAGCCATACGCAGTCTTTCTTCTTCGTCCATCTGTTGTGCTAAATTAGCCAAGTCAACTGCATTGAAATAAGAACCCTGGAGTAGTGCATTAAGACAGTGCTGAGCACACAGGTATCCCTCTTGCTAAAAAAGAACCAACATTGTTAATTAAAACTCACCTCAACAGCCAAGCTCAGATGTTTACAATGTAATTATATGTATATATACCTTTTCATGAAAAATACTCTCCATTGTTTTTTAGGGAATTAGTAAGTTTTTTTACCAGAAATTAATTTATTTAATTAATTTATTATGTATAATTTATCTATCTAGAATTAACCACAAAAAATATTTCAACTCAAACGTCATACATAAAAATATTTTTGTTGCATATAATGTGTGCAATTTCACACAAGTTGACTACATATAATATTATTATTATCTAGACACAAATCGCGGATTAAAAATAATAAACATCGGTTGATTTAATTGATTTAATTCCCGCCAGGGGGAGTAGTAAAGATGGCGCTGACCCTTATCAGCTGATCAGCTGGTAACTTATCGATCCCAGATGGGGGATTCTCGGAAAAAAATAAAATATTATAAAATAGCACATATGTACATATTATACAGAAACGTCAAAGTCTATACCTGGTCTCGACGTATTTAATAAATCAGTTAAAGTTAAATAATGACTCCATGACAACACGCAAGTGTCAAATAAACCGTGACATGAACAGTTGCTTGCTTTGAAACGTGAACTAGAATAGTTGACAATCCTGATCCTGTTTTTTTAATAAAACCTCGCCATGGTGAGAATAATCCCAGTGCACAATTTCTTGTCGCAAAATGTCGGTCAAATAGAGGAACCGACTGCTTCATGTACTGCAAACCTGATGGACCAAGACTTGCTCCTGCTGGCGCTGTCAAGCCACTGCGTCAAAGTCTACGGCCTGGCAAGTAATCAATACAAGTTACTCACTATTTTTCCCACCGTAGACCTGGTCCAGGAGCTGGTGCACTCTGACAAGGGCAACTACGTAGCGACTCTTGAATCCAAAAGCTCCAGAGACGGGGCTGCTGTCAACAACTTCGTGCGTGTTTACATAAATTGGGAGATGACAGGTAACCAGAACCAAGCTATGCGCGCAAGGATTGCCGGGCGAGTTACTCCGAGTCTCAACAGGACGTTGAACAGCCTGGAGATGATCGAGCTGCCGCTGAACGGACAGCCAACTAAAATAGCCTGCTGTCAGACAACGGGGAACCTCTTGGTGGTGATGGAGGACGAGGCTGTCATTCACGAGCTCAAAGTTGAAACCCAGCAGACTTCAAAGCACAAATTTTTGGATTTTGAAGTAAGACCTTGGTCAATTAGATTCACTTTTAGCCCAACACACGTTGAGTTCGCAGAGGAATTTATTTCTGTTATGAACTCCTGGTATTTTATCCTGATACGTCTGACCAACAGATTCCACGACGACAATTTTATCTCCAGCGACCGGGTTGACAAAACAAACATAAACAACTCCAAAAGAAGACGTTCTCATCCTTTGAAAGAAGTAAGTGTTATTAATAACAATAACAATTGCAGCGAAGAATCAAAATTAAAAACTCGAGTTGACTTCAACAAGTCAATTATTAACGAACGCGAGTACATCGACTGGGACCAGCTGGTGCTGAACGAACCTCAGGAAACTCAACGAATAAAAGCCCTGGGAATAGTCAAAGAAGATAACAATTTAAACGTCTGCTTTCCTTCGGTCAAGTCTGATCTCTCTCAAAGCCACTATATTTTAGATCCTCCGGTAATTCAGGCGACGGAGATCAGCGCTGTAGTGACAACGAGATCTTACGAAGACAGTTGGTCTGAGAACTACATTATCGAGCATTTGCTGAGGCTGAAGATAACCGAAGCTCCAGTTCAAGATGGTAATGAATATTTCACGTGTTCGATACTCAAACCTTTGTACAAACGCCAGAAGACATCGATAAGTAATTTTAAAAAGTCTTTGTTAAGATCTACCAAGTACAATATCTTCAACGGGGTAACCTGTCTAATTTGCACGACCCAGGAAGGCTATCTTTACAATTTTCTACCTAATTCTAGTGAAGAAATTTTTTTTGACGCTAATTGTCAGATTTATCCCTTTACAGCCCCGGTTATTCACGTAGCACTGGAAAATACTGCGCTGCATGCATTAACTGAAGCCGGACTTGAGTCTTACACTCTGAGAATCCAACATCTGAGAAGCGAAGAACCTCCCAATGACACTCCAGTTTCTTTGATTGGACTCAGACCTTTTTTGGGAGTAAAGAAACTTCTTCACGCTTCAAGATGCCTCGTTTTGTTGGCAAGCGACGAGGATACCTGGACATTTTATTCTTTAAATTTACCGACCGCTGAAGATATTTATCAGGATATATTAACTGCGGCGAACAACCATAAAACTAGTCCCAGTACTTACAAACATTTATTGGCAGAAGCTAATACTGTATTAAAAATTTCCAAGGAGATGATCTACTATACGTCAGACGCAGCGTTCTTCAGTAGCATCAATGACATGTCAAAGAGCCACCTGGACAATTTATACCGACAGTCTTGCGCGCTGTTGGCTGATTTTTACATGACATCAGAGTCGCCGATGGACTGGGGATTGAGTTCTTGGTTCTACGAAGTCGCGGGATTGAAAGCTCACGATGTTATGGCGAGGAGAGACGTCCAAAGAGCACCTGGCATGGTCACCTTTGTTTCAGAGAGCTTGTTGAACCTGCAACCGGGTGCTGAGGCTGACACTCTGTTCCAGGAACACAATATCGTCGAAATTTTGATAAAAGCTGAGAAAAGTGACCTATTGAAATTGATTTTAGCGAGTCCAGTTTTAAGAGAGTACGCGACAGACAAGCTGATCAATGTGATATCCAACTGGGAAGCAGATGACATGACTTGGTTAGCCCTGGTGTTGCTTTACACCCAAGCAGGTCGGATCCATCAGGCAGAGCGTGCTCTAGAACCAATTAGTGATAAGTTTATCGCGGAAAAAATTCTTTCAAACTGGTCCTGGCTCTTTGATGTCATCAGCGCGAAAAAGAGCAACGCAATGCCGATTTTTTCAGAGTTTGCTGGCACGCTGATGAGATTGAAGCTCAGAGTGTTCGCACAAGTGCTGAGTAAAATTGTAGAATGTAAAGCTGTCACTCTGGACGAGATGATTCAGATCTTCTTGGGATATTTGCCGTCGAGGGTAGGCAGAGACGGAAGGATTGCCGGGAACGCATTGCAACTTTGTCTTGAAACTTATCTTCAGAGTTATCACGAGAATTTTCAATGTAAAAAAGTCGACTTGGCGATTGTAGAAGCGTTCAAGATACTGGTGAGGTCTTATTTGGCGGAATTAGCACAAAATGGAGCTAAAGTTTGTACCAATGACACTCAAGTGCTGTTTGGAAGCTTCAGGCCACGGTTTCTGGACAATCCGCTGATTTATGAAAAAGGAAAGACCAACCGCAAGGAAAGAACCGCGAGGGTTCTACGTGAGGAGTTTAATGAAAGTTTTAAGGAAAGTATTAGACTAGAAGTTGTTAAGCTCCAGGCACTGTTGGCCAGTGGAAGCCTTCCTGAAGAGTGTTATCAAGAGGTTCAACATTTTCTGGAGACTCAGAAAATTGAGGGAAGCTTGTCCTTCAAAATTCTATGCGTTAGAGACACTGAAAAGGGAATTCAATTACTTGCTGATGAGTGTCCTCAAGCACTGCTGGATTATGCCAAAGTAGGATTTTTTATTGAGGTATTTATAGTCATTTTTATATTTATATTTATTGATTTTTTTTTTTAAAGGATAAATATACTGAAGAGTCTGATTGGAAGCACTTTATACAATTTTTATTGAAAAAAATGATGGATAATCAAAATAATAAAAATATTTACTGTATTTATGATGATTTAATAAGAGGTGAGTTTGATATTTTATTAAACAAAAAATTTTTACTCAACTTAACATTTGCATTCAATAAAAAAAAATTTTTTTTTACAAATTTTGATATTTTGAATAAATAAAATTTTCAGACACGGCAATTTATATCGCACAAACAATGTCAATGAGTGGATTGAAGCGTATATTACCTAACGATAGTCTAAATATATTACAACAGTATATTGATACAAGTAACCAGGTGGTACACGCAGATTATATTAAAACAATGATTATGGGTACTGGACAGCACCTCCTATGCAATATTAATTTTTAAATTAATATTTATTTCTGTGATTAATAAATTTAAAAAAACGTTTTATCAAATTATTAAGTAAAAAAAAAATCTTTAATAGAAATTTATAATATTTATTAATTAATTACTTGTAATTTATCTAAAGTTACTGAGTTGAATAAAGTTTAACGTGAAACATATTTAACCATTAAAAATATTTCATTGTCGCCAGTCAATTACATTACATTAAATATATAATATATCAATTACAATTTGAATTCAATTCAAACGTACAACTAAATATAATAATAATAATAATAATAATAATAATAAAATATAGTAAAAAATACTTAAAATATCAATAGCAAATTGGACGGATTTTTTTTTTAAAACTTGTATACGTAAATTTGTACAAGCATCATTATTATCTACAATAATTTTAATTTGAATAAAGGCACTCAATAATTTATCAAAATGAACATGTGCAATTATTCTTTTGATCCTTAATAATAATTATCTACTAATAAAATAGATATTGGACGGCTTCGTGATTGGAGTCACTATTTTGTCGATTCTTAATTTAAAATTTGATGACAGCATTTAATACCGTTTTGTAAAATTAATCAAACGTTATAATTACTTTAAGAAGTATTAATTTAATTAACGGGCATTGTAGACACAGTACTATGCGGTGTAGTTGGACGCGAACCAGCTATTGAATGTGTTGTTGACGCATTCAATGATTGCATTGTTCCAATCTGTAATAAATTATTTATTTATTTATTAGCTAAATAATTAAACAAATAATAAATTGATAAGTGAAAAAAAAAAAAAAAAAAAAAGTTACTCGTAAGTGCGCAAAATCCTCAAGACGCGTCAAGTCAGATAATTCGATGTACAAAGTGTAAACAGTCAGCCATCCGTAGACCGAGTAGCAGAGGAAGAGTAACCAGAGCAAGCAGATCATGATGTTGTAGGTGAATATCATGTCGTTTACGATGCAGAAAAACAAGTAAGCAAACATACGGAATACTGTGAACGCTGCGAAACAATAAAGCCAATAGACCATTCGCTTTTCATACTCTTTTCTCAGTGCGTTGATCAGGATCGCTGATGTTACTAGTAGTATTATACTTCCGAGTAGCGAAAACAATGCAGCGACTATCAGGGCGTTTCGTACTGTTGGATTTAATTATTTATTAATTTAATCTCGTAGTTAATAATTAATATTTACTGTTTGAAATATTTACTGTGCGGATTTCCAACGTAGACGAATTCATATGAAATAATGTAATATCCATAATGTTTTGTCCCTGGAGCTGCTTCATGTAGACAGTAGACGTCAAATATCGATGTCGCTATTGTAAAGATAGCTAGAAGCTGTAATTAATAAATTTATTAGTAATATATTTTTTTTCGATAATTATTTAGGTGTTATAAAAATCAAAATAATTAAAATAATGGTTTTAATATTACTCACTAAACTAAAAACAGCAGTTAACATCGCAGTGCGTTGAATATCAAGAATATAAGGTCTAGTTAAAATAGGCCTTTGGTACCAAGGAATTTTGACACTTTTAACAGATCGTGATGAACGCAAATTAGCACTGCTGCGTGTTGTTACATGGGAATAAATCGATGGTGTACCCATACTCGGTGATTTTTTTCCGTAATTCATTTTCACCTGAAAAGCACAATCCAAATATCAGTATGAATTAATAATCACTGAGCAAGCTTGTTAATGAATGGCTTAATTATCAAATTAATGCCATGTAAACAATGGCACGCCCTGTCAGATTAATTTATTAAAAATGATAAATAAACTAAAAGTGAAAGTGATTAATTAAAAAACTCACGAATTTTTTATTTTTTATAATCTAATCAGGTGATAAAGAAATAATTTAACACTTGTTATTTATTATGATGGATTACTAATGCAGACACACCTAAAATAACATGCAATCATGTAAACTGAATCATTGAGGCCATTTTAATTGTTTTTTAAATAGCTCGCCAGGGGGCGTCCATTTTTTGACAGCGCCATCATTGTTTTTTTTATTCAAATAATTAGTTACAAAAAGTGTTGTTTATTTATTTTTATAATTAACCAATTTTTAATTAATTATTTTTTTAATAAATATAATTATTGATTTTTATACAATATGGAGGAAGTAATTGTAGCAAAAACCAGAAATAAAAATTTATCCTCTAGAAAAGAGCTTGAGTTGCTGGACAAACAAGTAGGTTATAAATTTTACTTTTATAATAATAATTTTTAATTTTTAATTTATTTCAGGAACTTATAGATAGAATTTTACAACTAGAAGCTCACACAGTGCAATTAAAAAACATAATAAAAAAATCAGACGGAGTTAAATATGACAAAAAACAAGGAAAAGTTTTTGATTTTAATCAGTAGGTTTATTTATATTGTCAGTCAAGGTAACAATACAATGAACAGTAGTTTATAATTATGATATATTTACTTTTAGGTGTCACAAAAGACATATTTTATTAAAATTTTACTATCTCGGGTGGAACTACTCTGGCTTTGTTGAACAGGAAGATACGGTCAACACTATAGAGCATCAAATATTTAACGCTCTGAAAAGAAGTTGTCTGATAGAGCAACGAGAGACGTGCAACTATCACCGATGTGGTCGAACGGACAAGGGAGTCAGTGCTTACTCCCAAGTTATTTCTTTGGACGTACGTAGCAGGCTGGAGCCCGAAAATCAGGCTAATTTGAAAGAAGAACTGTCGTACTGCAAAATATTGAATAGGATTCTTCCCAAAGATATCAGATGTACTGCCTGGGCACCAGTCGCTGATGATTACTCCGCGAGGTTCGACTGTAAAACACGTACTTATAGGTATTATTTCCCGAGAGGTAATTTAGATATTGAAGCGATGAATAAAGCTGCTGAGTACCTGGTAGGTCTTCACGATTTTAGAAATGTCTGTAAAATGGATGTTGCCAATGGTGTTGTTACTTTTGAACGCACTATTATTGATGCTAAGATCGTAGAAAGCAACGAAAGTCATAAACAGAGTGGTAAATATTTTTATAAATTATTAATTAACAAATATTATGAATATTTTTCATAAATTTCTTAATTATTTTAGGGTACGATATGTGTCAGTTGATTATAGAAAGCAAGGCCTTTCTTTGGCATCAAATAAGATGTATCATGGGAATTATGTTGCTAGTAGGCCAAAAAAAAGAGGAGCCAGATATTTTTAATTACTTATTTGATATTGAAAAATGTCCGCGTAAACCCCAATATAATTTAGCACATGAATTGCCGCTTAATTTATTTTACTGTCATTACGACGACGCCGAATGGTTTTATGACGAAACTGAAGTTGAGTTTGTTATTAAAAGCTTACAGGAAGATTGGACGCTTAATACTATAAAGTAAAATTTTAAATGATAGCTTTGATTTTAATTTTCATTCAATTGAATATTTCAATTAAATGTTTTTTCAGAGCAGAGATTATTAAAAGTATCATTGAAGATTTATCCTCTCATGTGGAAAATAAAGAAGGGTTTAATTATCAAAGTGACTGTCTGATTCAAGGAGTTCAAACTAAAGTTCATTTGCCGTTGATGAAACGAACTACCTGCGGTAATTATTCATTTTTTTATGTTAATTGTTAATAATTAAAAAATTCTAACAAATCTTTGTATGTTCATTATTAGAAAGCCTTGAAAACAGGATAAAACATTTCAAAAAAAAAAGGAGAATAGAAGTGAAACATTTGTTAAAGGATACGTAGAAGTGTACAAATTTTAAATAATTATTTTTATAAAAATGAACTTTTGCATTGATGTAAAAAATAATAATAAAGTTATTTAAGTTCAATTGCTTGATATTTGTAATTATTTTAATCATCTGATATTTCTTATAAACGCGAAGATGTTATTTTGAAAATTTTTAATTTTTTAAAAAATAATCAACTGTTGGCTTAATAACCTTGTAGACATGAACATGTGCTTAGAAATTAAGGAAGAATGATTTTTTTGGATCACACTAAAAAAATATATAGATAAAGATATATTATTGAACTCATATTTTAATATAATAAATTTTATTGTTTTTACTTAACTAAGATTTATTTGTAATAAAAGTATTGAAGATAAAAAAAACTTTAATAGACTTATGAAATTGTTTTATACACAACAAAAGAAGAAATGATAGATATAATCATAAATGTATTTTATAAAAAAAAAAAAAAAAAAAAACTAAATATATATATATATATATATAGAAAAAAAAAATATATATATATATATAATATAGATTTTTTTTTAAATTACCTTTTTTGAGATATAACACTAACCGTCTACGGTAAAGTCTATTATACTTTAATGTTTTATATTATAAGCAGAAAGTAATTTTCTGTACGTATAAACTTAATTAAGCTCTTATATATCATAGGTAGTTTAGTTTTCAACTGATCGCAAAGTATTTAGCAGTTCCCGCATTTCATCTGACTTGGAATAAAGTTTTGCTATTTCATTGCGAATTTTCTCCAACTCTGATTCCATCTCTGAAGCTATACCAATTCGTTTCTCACATGACGTGCAGCACCTAAAAATTTCAACAGTTAAAAATTATAAAAAGCTTAAATAGGTACTTGTTTATAAATAGTTCAAAAATTTTTACTTTTTGTAGCTTGAATTGGTTTGTTTTGAGCAAGAAGCAGATGGAAATACTGAATTGAACATCATACTTGGGTTCGATTGCGCAGTTGTTACAGTTTCAGGAATAAAACTAGAATCAAAGCTTGTAGTGTGAGGATTTCCACAACTCTTTAAAAGATCCTTAATGGTCTTGAATCTTTTCCCTTTATCACGCAGTTTTTTAACCTTCAACAAAACAATTATACAATTAATTTAATTCAGACGATAATATTAATTTAAAAATATAAAACTCACCTCAGCAGTTTGAATTTTTCCAGGCCGAATAAAAGTCTCACTCTTCGGACAGTTGGAACAGCACTGGTTGATTCGTGAGTGTTTAAAATCTTGATAAAAAGGATTGTCTTGATGGTTAGAATTATTTACGGGTGAATGATTACACGACTTGTAGTCACGCAGATAAGCATCATCAGTCTCATTGTAACTGCACCGACGAGAAGAGTGTCTACAAGGCTCTTCAATTCTCGAATTATTTTTAACAAAAGTGCGCGCGTCAACCCAGCCATGCGGTGAAGCAGGACGCGACGATTCACGACCAATTATTGTTTTGGTCATATCATACAAGCTGTGTATATTATCCTCCATCATGTCATCTTTACCGAATCCACAATTTCCAAGACTAATGTCACCTTTGTGGAGGCAGCAGAAGCTCTTGTCTAATGAATGACTCGACTGATTGTTACTCCCAGAACCATGGTTGCGTTTTCTGAACTTTGTTCGTTGATTATTTGAACAACATAGATTCTCTTCATGATCGTTGACAGGTGACGGAGTTCTAGTAAGCATTGATCTTAGTTTTGAAATACCAGTACGCATCGTCGAGGAGGTTTTAACTTTTTTACTATCGGAAGAAAATACAACGCCATTTTTATCGGATGATTTTGGCCAGATATGTTCACAATTAATAAACTCTTCGCACTCTTCGTCTTCTTCGGCGCTTGAAGTAGAAGTTAACTAAAAAAAAAAAAAAAAATAACTAAAAAATAACTAAAAAATGTCGACAATAGATAAATAATAAAAATAATAAAACATACCTCTTTTCCCCAAATATTAAGAGTTCCATTAGCTTCTGAAATTCTAACTTCAACATTACCGAGCAAATAAGGACCACATTGACGTAATTTTCCTTTGGTCTTGGCGGATTCGTCTGGTGGTACATTCGCCTGAATAAGACAGCTTCGTTGTTTAGTGACTTCATCCTCGTGCCAAATGATACACTTGACATCGTCTTTATCCTCCCCATCATTAAGATGCTGCCCGGCTTTCTTATCAAATCCACTTTGACTAGCAGCAGACTGAGATGCACCAGATGATTTGACAGCAGCATCTGTGTCAGAATTTGAATTGAATTTCTTCTCATCATTGATTATTATAGTAGGAATTTTAAATGGTTGGGGTCCATTATCTGCTGTTCCAAAAGATTCCGAGGCTTTGCGTTTCTTACAATTGTTAGCCTTCATTATCAACGGATTGATTGGGTCTTTCGACTGACCTTGTGAGTCACTGCCATTCAGCTTTCCTGGAGTCATACGTGCCAGTGTCTCGATGATACGTGTTGTTGTAAGCACAGCACGCGAAGCACTTCTTGGAGTTGTTGTCGCAGTACTTGATTTCTTTTCAGTTGTATTTGCTTCTGAATTAGCTCCACTATCAGAAGTAACTGAATTAAGCAAATGATCTACATTAGGCGGTTTTAGAGAAACCATTGGACTACTCTCGCTGTCTGTCCACTGTTCGATTGCACTTATGGTCAATCCTGTTGAAAACGTGGATTCATTGCTACTTGGTGGTACTAAATTAGTTTTTGTACTCGAGTGCACCATTGTCTTAGGTGGATCATCTGTTTGAATGGCCACACTTTCGACTTTTTTGACATTCTTCGCTTTTTCTTGTTCCACCAACATTCGCTGCTCTTCCAATAATTGTTGCTGGGTTTGTATTTGCTCTTGTTGTTCTCGCATTTTTTTTTCTTGACTTTTAATTTTTTGCTGTTGTTCCAAAACCGTTTGTTGCTGTTGCTGAAGCTGTTGTAAATGTTGTCGTTGAATCTCTTGCTGATATTCCAAAGCTTTCCTCAAATTTTCCATCTCGGTCTTCATCCCCAAATTCTCTCTTACTGCATTTTGATAATCCTGGCCTATTTGAGCGCAATCAGAATTTTTCTTTTCAAGCTGGTACATCAATTCTCTCACAGTATTTTCATATTCTTGTTTTACCAGAGATTCTTCTGACATTTCTTCACTCAATTCTTGTCCTCCGATACTTTGAGAATTTATTTGTAAAATATTCAATGGATCAACAGTTATTTCTTCAGTTTCTTTCTCTATATTATTTTCAACAAAGTTATCTATTTCTCCTTCATTAACTTCGCGATAACTATTGCTAGCAAATTCTTCGCTAGTTAACGTTTGGACACTCAGAATTGCCAATGGATTATTCTCAGATAAATTTTCTGGCTGATCTATTTCTTCCTCATCTTTCTGGTAAACTTTTTCAATATCATTGGAATGTTCAATAACTCCATTAACTTTATCAACCACTTTAGTAACGCTCTTTGTAGTATCCTCATCATCATCATCATCATCATTAACTTCAATCTCTATTTTCGCTTTTTCATTGTCTTGTTTATTATTTTTAGTGTCTGCTTCAGTATTTTTGCCATTAGCTGTGATATGATTGTCTAAATTAACTTCAACAATACTCAAAGGATCTTCAGCAGCAATATTTTTGAGCGAAAGCGCAGCATATTCTTTCAAACGTTTACATTGAGGATTCAGCCGCAAAGTATCTGTTTCTTCTTCAGTATCTGGAATTTTATTTTTAAAAAGATTAGACCATCTATCGTTTAAGTATTATAAAAATCCCTAATAAATTAAATATAATAACTTACCATTATCATTTGCCAATCGTTTACCATCGGCATTAATCTTGTCAACAGATCTACGCTGAGCACTCAGTCTTCTCCGCTCTTGTCCATCTTGAATATACTGCTTGACTTTACTCGTAATATGATTATAGTTTCTTCCCGGTGTATTTTTCCGCGGATTGGAAATCAAGCTTACTTCAGGATGTCCGGACATCTCTTCAAAATGTGCTGGAAGAGCCAGTCTCTTATTATTTCTCTCGGTTCTTTTTCTTGGACTCAGTTCCTCCATAGATGCGCTTCGTTTCTTACAATCTTTTCCTAATGCAACGCTAGGCCTAATTACATAATCATCTGACGATCTTTCAAATTTATCCGCTTCATACTCATCCTCAGACCTGTCATATCTCTTGTACTTTTCAAGATCTTCATCTTCTTCTTCATCATCATCATCATCATCATCTTCATCATCCTCCTCATTCTCATCATCTTCATCGTCATCTTCCTCATCATCTTCATCATCGTCGTCTTCCTCGGAATCACTGCGATATCTTCGTCTCTCTTCTTGATAATATCTCATTTTTTTAGCGTCGTTTATGCGGATGTCTAAAAAAAAATATATAATTTAATTATAATTAAAATTCACAGAGATTAAAATAAAAAAAAAAAAAAAATAAATAAAATCAATTTACCCTTAATTTGATCCTCACGGTTATTACGATAATATTCACGATCATTCTCATCATCAGATGAAACTTCGTAGACGCTTTTATCGTCTCCATTGCTACCATTATTATCCTGAGATACTTTCGGCTCTTCTGTTTGAGCCGATGATATGGTACTAGTTGTTATACTTAAATAAGACGGCATAGTTACATCCTCGAGTAACGATGGCTCGGTTGTGTTGTCACAAGCCTCCGGTTTAGGCTCTTGGACATCTTGCTCCTCCGTCGCACTCGTACTCTCAACTTTTTCGCTCGTGTTATTCAGAGCGTTGTTATCAACTAATTGCAATTCCGTATCAGCCATAGTATAGTTATCAAATGCTCATCAATGCGGTTAAGAAAAATTATTTTTTAGTATAATTATATTTATTAATTAATGACTATGTTTGTACAAGAACCCGCCGTACACACGGCTGTTTGTACATCCTAAAACACTACGTACACAACAATGTCTACGTGTTTCCCCGGCCAAACCCGGTCGTCTTTTTTTACACTTTTGAACAAACAAGTAATATTTATAATTAACTTTTGATACTTACTATTTTTAATTATGGTATTGAGATACCAACTAACTATTAACTTTTTAGTATTTAATATTTAGATCAAATCGCTTTAATTTATAGATAAATGCACGTGTGGTTTGAGTGCTAAACTGCACATACATTGCAATTGCGTTATGATATATTACATATATTACTGAAGTAAAATGAAGAATTAAATTCCTAAATTCATCGATAAAGAAGTTGGGAATTTAGTGACGCCATTTTGTTATTATAGTTTTCTTCATTATTGAATAGTGATAATTTGCGTACGAAACAAAATGTACAAAATGGAGGACACATTATATATGACACAACAATCTAATATTTTTATGTAAAAAAATATTAATGTCAATATAAATTCAAATTGTGAGAATAAATGCGATAGCTCGTAGAATTATAAGATCTGTAGCACAATAATTATTAATAAAATTATTTATCTAAATGAAATAAAATTGTATATTTATGATTTATAATTTTGAATGTAGTGCTTAGAATTTTCAGCTGCAGGTCGCGCTAAAGTCAATTACTTACACATCGCACACGTCTGTACTTCTGATAAAAAACTTATAAGAATTACCTATATATATATATATATATATATATATATATATGTGTGCAGTATACACTTCATACATTTGTATTTCGTGAATCGTGGTTTCATTAATATATATATATATATATATATAATAAAAAATAGTCAGCTTTACAATATAATTTAACAAGAAAAAAATTAATTAACAATTGAAATTAAAAGTGCACGATAATAATAAATTTTGTAATAAAAATTTTCGTTGGTGATTGTGATGTTTTGTGAAAGTAATATCAAGGTTTGTTGTTGATAAAATATTTTAACGTTATATTATGTAGAGTGGTATATATTACGACGTTGTAATATGTATATATAATTGCAATATTGTCGTACGTCAATTCAATTGTCATTAATTTAACAATATAAATTTACAATTGATCAATATAAATATCACCTAATTGTTTTATTATTTTTATTTTATTAAATATTTAATGACGAAATATATTCTATTTAGAACGCAATACGTGCTGGAAAATTTCTAGAACTTTTTTACGTCGTAAGACGTTTGTATTTTTTATGAAGGCAGAAAAAATTAATATCGTCATCATTTAATAATACATTTAAAATGTTTGTTTTTATTTTATTTAGTGAATTTATTTATTAATAATCAATAAATGTGTTTATAGAATGCCAATACAGGCACCACAGTGGACTGAATTTCTTTCTTGTCCAGTTTGCTGTCACGATTTTGACTCAACAGCTCGTGGACCAATATCACTAGGATGTGGACATACTATTTGCCGGACGTGTCTCGCTAATTTGCACCGCAAACAGTGTCCATTCGACCAGGTAATTTATTTATTCATTCAAAATACACAAAGAATATAAAACAATCACTTACCAATAATAATAATAATAATAATAATAACAATTATTGTCTTTATTTAGAGTACTATTAATACAGAGATAGAAATATTACCATTAAATGAAGCGCTGCTACAATTAGTTGGCAACACAGTTCCTCCAGACAATTATATCCATCAGACTTTAGTCTTACCCGAAAACCATGGAGATTATTTAATCGCTAAAAGATGTATCGAAGAGCTAGCTCTTTATTTGAAACCATGTCAAACAATACCAGCCAATGGGACAGGTAACAATCAATAAATAATTTTTCTTATTATTAAATTAATTAATACAATAATTTAATAAACAATTATTGAATTTATGTAGGCATGGGTCTTGTGTCACGACCAATGCAACGAAAACTCGTGACATTGGTTGGCTGTCAACTGGTAGAGCCAGAAGGTCGAGCACGGGCAGTAAGAGCAGCACGAAGCTTGGGCGAGCGTTCGGTAACTGAACTAATTCTCCAGCATCAGAATTCACAGCAACTGAGCGCTAATTTATGGGCAGCAGTTCGCGCTCGTGGTTGTCAATTCTTAGGGCCGGCGATGCAGGAAGAAGTGCTGAAGCTAGTGCTGCTCGCTTTAGAAGATGGCTCCGCAATGTCGCGCAAGGTTCTGGTGATGTTTGTAGTCCAGAGATTAGAGCCGCATTTTCCTCAAGCTTCCAAAACGAGCATTGGACATGTAGTGCAGCTTCTGTATCGTGCTAGCTGCTTTAAAGTATCCAAACGTGAAGGAGATTCCTCGTTGATGCAGCTGAAAGAAGAATTCAGAACTTATGAAGCCCTCAGACGTGAACACGACGCTCAGATTGTCCAAATAGCTACCGAAGCAGGGCTGAGAATAGCTCCAGATCAGTGGTCTGCTCTATTGTACGGTGATACTGGTCATAAATCACACATGCAAAGTATAATAGACAAGCTCCAAACTCCTCAATCGTTTGCTCAAAGCGTCCAGGAGTTAATGATTGCTCTTCAACGGACTCCAGATCCCGGTCAGTTGAGTAGCCTAAGACCACAGCTAGAGTTACTCGCTGGCATTGATCCCAGTCCTGAAACCGAGTATCCGAATTGGGCGTCAACTCGTGCAGCGCTTGAAGCTGTCACGGCTGTTGTCACGACTCTTGTTGACTATATTCAGAAACATGGAAATCGAAAGTCCCAAGAGACAATTCATAACACTGGTCCAGGACAGATGAAGTATAAAATCAGTATGTGTCGTGATTTAACTCTACGCGGTTCGTGTCCACGTGCTACTAATTGTACATTTGCTCACAGTGATTTAGAACTCGATAAATATCGTTCAAAGCATCGTAAGCTTAGCATGCGTTCCAATTTGGCTTTATCAGGTAGTCCAGATCATAAAATAGGTATTGACAACAAACCTGGTGTAATTTCACCGATTCAGATTCAAACTAAATCATACAATCAACTTGGTGATTCTAATTTTCCAGCTAAAATAAATGATACTCACTGTGAAAACTTTTATAACATAGGCTCTGTTAATTCAGTAAATTGTTTACAATATCCGTTAATAAATAACGAAAATTATATAAGTAACTACGTGTTACCAAATTCAGAGCAATGTCAGCAAGTTACTGACAAAACTATCGATCGAGAGTGTCCGCCGCATTACATTGTGCAAACACCTATTGACTATTCTAGTGTCAATGTTCATATGTGGGACGCACTACAAGTACCCGGTTTTGGTGAAAATGTTTATCAAAATAATAACAATAATAACAGCAACAACAACAACAACAACAACAACAACAACAACAACAACAATAATAATAACAACAAAAAACAAAAATCAGTTGCTAAAACTCTGGCATTGTTATTGCAACGCAGAATAGAAATTATAAATCAGTTGGAAAATATTTTAGGCAAACCTGCTAATCAGCAGCAGCTAAAAATTAATTATGAGTTACAAGATACAATAATGCCGCATTATTCTACTTGGACAAACGCTGCTCCTTTGTCACAGACAACGCCTCAACAAATAAATTACGGAAATAATTTTCATCGATCTGACTCGATATTATTTGACGATGAATTCATTCCATTTGATACATCTGCTGCTAATAAATACGGACCTATCTCCAGGATATCCAAGTCAATATTGAGGCCGACTAATGGTTCACAACACAATACTATGTATAATGAGACTATTACTCCTTCAATACAAACTATTAGACCAATATCTACTGCTAATTCTACTGGACCTTGGTACTACAATCAACGTAAGTACTTTATTTATCTTTAATTTATTTTAAGATGATGAAACTTGAAACATTTTCTTGAATTTAAATTAATTTTTATTTTTAATTTAGCTTATGGAACAACTGTAGGAACAAATAGTGAAACACCAACAATACAAAAATCGAATTTAAGCGAAGCTTATGTTACTTTGGGGCCTTGTAAATTATCCGAGTCCTCCTCTCCACACATTCAATTAACTCGTCACGAAAATCCGCCTAAAGAGTAATTATAATTTTATTATTTTTACTGATTTAATTAATAAAATTATAGTAATCTTAATATTATCTTTTATTTTAGTCTAATTATAGAGTCTCAAAAGGTCAAGCAGCAATTAAAGCATTTGGAGAAAAAAATAAATGACTTGAAGGTAAAAACAAATTTTATTAAATAATGAAGATTGTCTGGACAATAATTACTAAATATTATTATTCAATACAGTTAGCGACTCAAGGAGCAGCATTTAATGAGGGTGATAGACTGGCACAAGAACTGCAAATTATTGAAGCGGGCATTAGAGAAAAAGAAAAGGATGTGCGTAATTGGAATCCTTATTACAATCTACCAAGTGTGCAACCAGTTAACTATGTATCTGATCAAACAATTGATCAGCCTGTAAATAATCCCATGAAAGATGTGAGTTTTTTTTTATTTTATTAATTATAACTTTCTGGTGTTTATTTTATAAATAACTAAAATGTTTTTTTTTTTTTATTTTTATCAATTAGGAAGACTCGTATGAAGCAGACATAGCTAATGACATCCGCGAGCTAGAAATTCGATGGGATTACGAACTGCAAGAACAAGAAAAACGTTGGTCTAACGAAGACGATAACGTAAAAAAATTATAGTTTATATAATACTAAAGCCAAAAACGTATCAAAGCTTTGAAGAAAATATTAAACAATTTTAAAGCGATGTACTCAGGTGAGTTTAAAAAAAAATTATCAGCAGACTTGATTGCTTTTAACCTCGTGAATTAGTTAAAAGTACTTATTAGATAACAGTTTTAAACAAATGATGAAAACAATGTGATATTAACTACAGCTTTGTTGAATAACTCTGAGGTTCATCGATATGGTACAGAGTGATAAAAAAAGCTTGTAGTTGTATAACTGTGCTAAGTGCACGTAAATATAATGATATATATATATATATTTAATAAAATAACTGAAATATGTTTTTAAAAATGATTGAACGTATAAAGGATGTTTGTTAAAATTTAACAGGAAAGATACAACAAAATATTGACTAGTGTTTCATAAACATTACGACTAATAGATTAATTATTTGTATATTTATATATTTGCATATTAAGCAAAGCATTATTATATATCATGTCATTATAAAACTTGAGACAAGTTTTTTTTATTAATACTATGTAAAATAACTATTGAAGATATAAGTCAAGACAAAAGCTACTTATCTATGATCGGAACAAAAATTTTTACTGCTTAATTTGGTCAGTATCTCACAGTTTAAACATTAATTATCAAGTTTTTTTTTTTTTTTTTTTTTTATTTCGACGTTAAATATGCTAAGTAATATATTGATTGATAATTATTATTAATTTTGAAATATTTACGATTAAATAACGTTATTTATTTAAATCATTACGAGAGTTTTGCAATAATATTTTTCGTTTTATTATTATTATTATTATTTTTAAATGATACGAAAAAGCTTGTATCTACGATATGATGGTTCCAGTTTTATTGGAAGTCTTACATGGCCTTAGCATGAAAAAATTATACTGTAATTATTTCTTGAAGAAGTAATGTTATTGTTTTTATTTTATTGTATTTTATTATTAATATTTTTAGTGATTCTGTTTTATATTTTTACAATTAAATACATTTAGAGTAATAGCCCGTTTTAAAGTAATATAATTCAAGTATTAACGAATAATTTTGCCGTAAAATCTATATAAATAATTGGCTGATTGATATTAAATATTAGAAATATAAAAAAATAATTACAATAAAAAAAAAGCAGAGAAAAAAAAGGTTGTGGGCTGTGTATGAAAGGAAGTTATAAGAGCAAAATAAATAAATTTGCCGTAGCTTCATATTAATTGCATGTTAAACATGTCTTGAGTTATATAAGGACTTCACATATATATATACCCATATTGTTGGTATTTATTTTATTTTATAATATACAATAGTTTATCAAAGTTATTTAAAATTTATTTGAATCCACTATTAGCAACAAAAGTATTTTAAAACATCTATTATAATAATAAACTCATATTTCACAGTAATGAAAATCGTTGTATCACTATTTATATACATCGTTAAAATAAACAAAAACAAATAATTACTGAGATTTGTTGTCATCTACTTATAAAAAGATATTTAGTAATTTAAATTTATATAAATAAAAATAATGCCAAGTTATTTGTAAAAAGATAAATAATTTGTTTCAACGAATGTGCCTACTCTTTTATATAAATTCTCGCTGTAGTTGTTTTAATTATTCCAAACTCGGGTAAATAAGTACTTATTTAAATTTTTTAATTTTATTTTTCATTATACATAAAGTTTATATAAGTTGTTTGTTTTTTTAATTATTAATTTAGTATCATCAGTTTATAAGTAAGTAGCATGTGGAATGATAATGATAGGCCAACGTTGAAAATAATTTCCATGGTGAAATTGCACACTGTTTTACAATGTCAATAAATAATGAATTTATGTATTTTTCAAATAAAATATACTTTCCAATGAAAGTGTACTATATTTGTATTATCAATAAATAATAGTTTAAAGTTAATAATTACTTGTTATTATTTTTCATGCCTTTATCAAATTATTCCTACTTTGATGATCCAGTAATTTTTTTAAACGGGTTTTTGGTCTCTAATCGTTGTCTTAATTATTTAAAAAAAAAATTATATTCACATAAATTACCACGAAGATTTTTTCAAGTTATTCATAATAACATTATTTAAAAAAATTTTAGAGCTTTCATTTCATATTTTAAACGTATTGCTTTTAAAAAAATAAAAAAAAAAACAACTTTTTAATATGTAAGATAAAAGCCCCAGTATATGATCATATACTGGGACTTTTACCTTATTCTAAAAATAAAAAAGATTTCAAGTTCTATTGGATTCATAGTGTCACATTTTAAACGTATTGCTTTTAAAAAAAAAATTAAAAAAAATAATTCTGTATAATGTACTTAAATTATATCGCTTCAAAATTGAAAAAAAAAAAAAAAAAATTTCAAAGTTCCATCGGATTCGTATTGCTAAAATTTAAACGTATTGCTTTCAATACTTTAAAAAAATAATGATATCCATCAATTGCGAATTTTCCGTTTGGAAATGAACAAAGATGAACTTTTATTGCAATTGATGATACCCCTAACTCGAGGTACAAAACTACCGAGAGAAAAAACGATGGAAAATTCCGACACCATTGCACATCAATGGTGCCAATTTTGAAACGAAAACCCAGGCGCCCACACAAGTGTGGAATTTCTATACTATCACGCCCGATCGCATGCTTACACATTAAAAATGTGCAAGTGCAGGTAAAATAATTATATCACCGATGTACATGAGAGCGTATATTATGGTGAGTGTTCTTTGTGGCAAAAGCCAATATAGGATCCATGACCATCCGCGAAGATGGAACATGCTCGGAAAATGCAGCAACCATCGGTCCCAATACAAACTATATTATTCCCTTTGGTTGCTGATAATTAGGTAAATAAGGTATAAGGATTAAAAAAGGTAAAGTATAATAATAGCCAGTAGTGCGAACCTCCGAGCCGTGCTTTTAAGATGGAACGGCACTATGACATAATCAATTTAACAGGAGGAACCACCAACTCTATTATAATCACGGTGGAACGCTGCTAAAATGTTTCCCTTGTTAGGGTGCATGCACACGTTAGTGCCTAAATTTGAATTTGAAATATAATGAAAAAAAAAAAATGCACTTGACTTTAGAAGATTAATATCTCCATATAAGTCAAATGCAAGGGGTACGGTATTTATAATCTATTCCCCCTCAAGTTTTGGATAATCGAGTTTCAATCGCGAGAGCTCCAGCGAAGAGGCTACACAGTAGGTTGCGCAACCTACCGTGTCACACACCAGCCTGTCTCTGTTGATCAAAGTTCGGTCTTGGCTGCCCTTGCGAGGCCCACCAAGATCCGACAGGCCCCACGGTGGCCCATACAACATGTTGACTTTATATAATGACCACCAGTAACCGCTCTAATAATGACAATTTATAATACGATCCATTGTGTATATAATGATAATGAAAATTAATCCGAAGACACGATAGTGTCTCGCGCCAAGTACACGTCCAACATATGGCGTGAGACAACGTGTCTTTATTCTCTAATCATATGTCAACATAACCTCTTTACATATTTAGCTCTATATTTTTTATTATTACTAAGACACTAACACTTTACACCATTGTTAATAAGTTTCTTTTTACCAATTATACATATATTACAAAAAAATGTTGGGTCTTAACAATTATTTAACTAATCGCGAGTTTGAAAATTTTTACTTGCGCCTGTTTTCGATTCTACGAGAAATTTTACAAATTTAGGGCGAATTTTATTATTTCAAAGTTGGCACTACTTAACTCTGTTATTCTACCATCTAAATAGCTAGTATATACTCTAAATACTGAACTTAGCGCCCATAAGTAGTTGGTCTTTAGTTTAGAATTTCAATATACGACAGTAGGTGGAGCCACAAAACCATTACCACTACTGTATTTTAGATGCACATTGGTCAGTCACGCGCATCATTTAAAGTAAAAATATTGTAATAACTTCGTTTGTAATTAAATTATTACAAAAATTCATGAATAATGAATTAGCTGTATAACTTAAAAAGTACATATTTGGAATTTAAAAATGCTGATAAAATATTTGAATTATATCCCTTAATATATTCTTTACAAAAAAAAAGAGATATCCCACAAAAAACAGTTTCACTGTAAACCGTCGCGCCAAGTACACACGCAACTATTGTTACAAACCTCGATAATTCAATTTTTACAAAAAAATTATTAAATCGAAAAAAAAAAATCCAAGTACAAAAAATTTTGCAAATTAAAAAAACGCTAAAGACAGTAAATATAAAGGAAAAAAATTGAATGTACTTGGTGTGCATTATAATTGAATGATGGTGTGCATTATAAATTATAATGCACACCAAGTACATTCAATTTTTTTCCTTTATATTTACTGTCTTTAGCGTTTTTTTAATCACAAAATTTTTTGTACTTGGATTTTTTTTTTTTCGATTTAATAATTTTTTGTAAAAATTGAATTATCAAGGTTTGTAACAATAGTTGGACGTGTGTACTTGGCGCGACGGTTTACAGTGAAACTGTTTTTTGTGGGATACTTTGTTACGTAAGACTTTTTTGTTAAACAAAAATTGTAACAAAGATGTTTTAGATAATTACAAACTCATTTTTTATAAGTTAAAGTTTATATGATAAAAGTATTTAATTAATTTTTATTTATTATTTTATTAAATTAAATTTTCAGTAAGTTTTTTATTTTTATTAGTAAAATTAAAATAATTATTTATCAATATAATATTTATTGTCATTATGAATAATTATTATATTATTCATAATATATATTTAAAATTAAAATATTTAGATTTTATAAAAAACACAAAACTTATGCTTTGTTTAAAAGATAAACATCTAAGTTTCTTATGCAAAAATTATTAGCTATTGTCGGTAAAGGTAGATTTCGCAAAAACAAATAAAAAAACTCATATTATTTTTACATATTTATTTATTTATAAAATTAATTATTTATTTTTTATTAAATGCCTTAAAAAATGTAAAATACAAAAAAAAATACCACGGAAATGTCATAATGTTAAAAAAATTAAAACAAATTCTATAAAAATTATTCTGTTAAATATTAAAAAAAAAAAAATACATTTAATTGTGTTTGGCGTGCGTCATTAAATTTTTTCAGGATTAATCAATGTTTTATTTTAATTTGAGTTTGTAAAACTAAAATTGTTTGAGTTTTACTTTCTTCGTATTCCTTTCAGCTGTTCAAGGTCTCGGAAGTTCTCATCGTTCTCATCGAACGGTGGTCACATTCTTCAATACTCCGGTCGTCGCCTGTAGGTGGCAGTACTAAATTGAGCGGCAGTTTCAAACAACGAGATTCTTTAAATATCATAACTTAAAAAAATGTTAGTAATAAAATCAATAGTATAAAATATTTTAGATTTAAAAATTATTAATAAGAAATTAATACGTTGTAAGTTAATAATATATTACTAATAATGGAATAGGTCTAAAAAGTTTTAATTATTTAATCGTTTTTTACTTTTTTATTTTTCTTCATTAAATAAACATAAAATCCCACACTTGCTAGACATATAATGACAGCTATAATAGTAAAGATCATATGATACTCAAAGCCAGTCCAAAATCTTAGAAATAAACTAGCGGCAAAGAAAGCCAGTGATAAGAACATTGATAATTTAAATATGATCATGTTAGGTTGTTGTATACTTTGACTTTGATTTTTTTCATCTTTATTGTCATGTTCATTGCTTGTCATAGTACTTGAATAATTTCTTACAAGTTATAAATAATTATTTTTCATTAATAACTTCGTTTTACCGTTCTATAATAAAGAAAGAAAAAAATCTTTTATTTTTTTTATTTTATAAACTTCATGAAAATTTAATTGTTTTAAAATTATAAAAAAAAATTATTTATACTTAACAAAAGTTATTAATAAAAATTTATTTACTTTATAATTATAATTTGTAATATTTTGAAATTGACAGCATAATTAAAATTGTCGATAAAGTAGAAAAATATAAATTCATGCACAGGTGGCGTTATACGACTGGACAAGAAATTGGTAGTAGTAATTAAATGTGTAAAAAAAAAAAAAAAAAAAAAAATGAAATAAAAAAAGTAAAATTGCGACAGCACGACTTTTATATAGACGCGTGTATCGTGTGTGACCAAGTAAGCGTAGTCCTTGCAGTAGTTGAGTTCTATATACATAAATACACATGTGTATATAATATATACAATATTAATACAAAAAATATAATATAATGAAAAGAAAAAAGTATGACAGGGATAATAACGAACTTTGAAGCCGGTAATATGCACATGTGCAATACGTGTTTAATATATCACTCGTTTGTGTTATAAATCTGTGCGTCAAATATAATATATTATATATGTAAGGTTGGGTAAAGCGTGTACAGTAACAGCATATAATATATTTTTTAAGTATCCGTTGGTACAACGGGTTATGGAGTAATTGCATTACTCCGAGTAGTTTTCATATAATAAGAATTTCTCGATTCACCAATAATTTTATTACACACATTATAAGCAATTGCGATATACAATTAAGAGTAAGCTGTTACTTTAAAGCCACCACCAATAATACTCAACCACACACTTACAACACTTACGCGCAGGGGTTATAAAAGTGAACTATTTTTATTTTTAAAAAACTCGCAAGTTTATTTAGTTAATTAGTTAAAATATTTTATTTCAAACAATGTTACCGTATTTGGTACAGTGTCATTTGTTGAAAAAAGTCCAGCGTAATCATTAAATAATAGCTCGTGAGCAGAGACATTATTTGATAAGTAAAAGTGAATTTTAAAAAGTTAGAATAATCAAGATAAAAAACATTATTTATTTAATAATTATTTAAGTGTTGATGTTTTAATAATAATAATTATTAATAATGCCGGGAACACGAGGCAATGACACGCATCGTGTCATACCAGGTCATTATTTGCACCAGTTACCTGAACAGGATGAAGCGAGACTTTCTCGGATATTTAACGCATTAGATCACGATGGGAATGGCAGGATCGACGTGCATGATTTGTCCAAGGCTTTACATAAAGTCGGTGTCCATAAACGTTATGCTGAGGTGATTGTCTTTATTCAATATTACTTTTTTTTTTTTTTTTTTTTTATTGTTATAAGTATTTTAACAAGATTTTTATTACAGCAATTTTTGGCTCAATCAGATAGCACTAAAAGTGGAGATATTAGCTTGGCTGAATTTATACATTATGTCATTGAACATGAGAAGAAATTACGATTGCAGTTTAGTCACCTTGATAAAAATAGAGATGGTAATTTTTTTTTTTTTTATTTATTTGATGTATTTTAAGATTAAACGTTAATTTAGTTATTTAATTCAATTCCATAATTGCTTATTAAATAATTAAGAATATACTGAACATATCAGACATCTGTCAGTTATTTTCTTTTGATAAAAAAAAACAATGTTTTTTAAACACATAAAATTTATTTTAGATATGAATTTTCTCTGTAAATATTTAACTTACTTTATATAAAAAATGTAATTCATTCATTCACTACTACAAAATCCTAATAATGTTTTATTATTGCAATTATAAGAGATTTTATTTTAAATTTGTAAAAATAATAAATGATCCATTTTTTTTAGGTAAAATTGATTTGGAAGAACTCATCAGTTCATTTAACAAAGATCTCGGTATTAAAATGGACCGTGCAGAAGCTACGAAATTACTCCAAAGGTAAAATAAAAAGCATAATTAAAATTACGTTAATTAAAATTATTTTATAATTATAGAATGGATCAAGACGGTACATTAAGTATTAACTTTAACGAATGGCGGGACTTCCTGATGTATGCGCCGAGTGACGACATACGTGAGCTCATCAGATATTGGCGACATTCCACAGTAAGTGACACTTGTTTTATTAATTAAATAAAAGTGTCCAATGACATTAAGAGTGATGGTTACTGGCATTCAAAACCTCCACTAATCGATACATTATTTAAAATATATTTCCGTCATAACTATTATCACGGAAATAATAAATCTGTTGTCTGTATGCGTACAGATAAACCAATACCCAATGATACGAAGATTAAAATAAAACAATGATACGTGATTCGCTGATATTACCGGGGGCCCGACACTTAGCTCGTATGTCAAGTCTCATGTCTGTAAAAAGTCTTAATATTTGCTTACAGTACACGTATGACGTTTTAACTATTTAACTCTTTTATCATTCATTCTGGCCTTCAGCGTCAGCTGTTACTTTCGATGTATGTCATCCAATTTATTGCACATATATTATTACTATTATTTTATTCCAATAAAAACAATTTCCAATTAGAGTATCTATTTTAAAAATGAAAAACTATCTTAATATTAACCTTAGCGTCATCAACATGTCTATATTATTATGTTTTGGTAAATATTATTCTTGAATGTTTATTAAATTAACGAAAAATGTTTACTGCATTTGTTTTGGAGAAAAAACCCTATAAATTTTGTCATTATTTCATTTTATTTGACGTCATGCTTTCTTGGTAAATACGAAAACAAATTTATTTCCTTTTCAATAAATACTATTTTATTATTCTTCAAATTTCCACAACAACAATAACTTCTAGCAATAAAATTTTCCTATCTTGCATTGAAATTAACTGTTATAGTTTCTCTTATCAACGACGTCATCGTTATCTAATCAGTAATTTTTAATTCCCGGGGATTCCAGATCGATCTTCGTAATAATGAAGCTCTATTACTTAATTCTTAGCCTCGACTGAAAAATATTCAACAAATTTTATTAGGAAGTCACTAAAAAATAATCTACTCCAGGACATTTGGTAGCAGGGGAGACAATCTGAAAAATTCCACCTAAAAGCAAACTCGTCTGGCTCTGTAGCATCATGACGTACATTGTAAGACCATAGAGGGGGCACAGCTTGTTCACACGTTAATCTCACACATGATATTATACTTAACTGGCTTGAGTCAGACTTGAACATTCAGTCGTGAACTTTAGTGAGCTGAAGACTCAGTCTAATGATAAGTTTCCAAGCTCTCACTTGTGTCTAGAAAGAAAGGTCACACTTTCTTCTTTTCAATCGCTTGAAAGTTTTTAGTCTGTGATGTTTTAGTGCATTAGATTTTTTTATTTATTTATTAGTTTTTAAATTAACTATTCAAAAATGTTGGAGCAAGACAGTATTAATGAACTCGGGTGTCAAGTTTGCGAGGATTATTTAGATGTTTATAATCTTATTTTACAAATGGTATTTATTTTAAATGATATCCTTATTATTATTATTATTATTATTAAAAAATGCGCAATATTAAACTTTGATCATAAAAAAAGATATAAGATACTAGTGAATGAGATACCGGCATCCAGACCATGACTCATTTGGATTCTTGAACTTCCTGATTGCTATATGTTACAAGGCTGATTATCTGCAGACAATAATTCCTCATTTTTTTACTAATTTTAATATTAATAAACGTTAAACTGAGGTATTTTATCATTCAAGAAAAAATATACACTTGTTTTAAATTCCAGAGCATAAAATTCCGTTTATTAATCAGCTGGATTTAAATTTAATGATAACTTGTTGCGTCAAAGATTATCGAGTAATATTAAAAATTCAACTTGAATAATTATCTATAAATTATAAAGTAAAATAGAAATATCTATTGTTAATTTGAATCCTATTTATAAATTTATATGCAGACACGTGCGATTGTCTCTGAATTTCCTGATCAATTTGCCAAAAAATTTTGTCACCGCTACAGAGATAGACTTTACACAAAAGATTGTTATAAAAAGTACAAATATAAAGAATGAAAATTCTTACGTACTCGTATTTCGTCATTTGGAATTCCTTGAGCGTAGAAAAAAATTGAGTACAAGAGTAGAAAGTATCACAATTTAAACTAAAATGTGTGTTAAACTTTTAGGTGCAGTAGATTTTATCGTGACATTTAATAAGCGGATGCTGTACTGAGACTAAAACTAAGTTTAAGAATGAGAATTAAAATGCCGGTCGTTTTATTTTATTTAAATATATTTTAATCTATATATATATATATATATACCATAAGACGAAGACATATGGTATATATAAGAAATAGCATTTCCACGTGACATTGGGCAGTGAATCAAGTTACGGAATCTCTGGCCAAATGCCTGGTGTTCAAGTTGCCTCGGCTTGTAACTGGTCAGAGCCATTTCAATCATTAGTTTCATTAAAATTGATTGTTTAAAACCTGTATAATACACATATATATATATATATATTTATATAATTTTATATTTAAAATAAGTTCTTGTTTTTATTTGTTTACAATGGATAATTTAGATAATATGGATAGTGATTTTCTCCTTGAAATATATGTTAAGTTAAGTATTTAATTTTAATGATAATATCCCCCTCGGCGAAATTATAAATAATTAACAGAGCGATATTGAATGCTATTGAGTGATTATTTAAAATTTTCCTGCTTTTGACTCATAGATAAAAAAGTATTTTATTGATATTTAAAATTTAATTGTAACATAAGGCCAAGATTTAAATGAAAGGACAACCGTCCTTGAGATTAAAACGCGTGGAATAAATTAAAATAACTGTCATATATCACATGGTATAACGCTCAACGTATTTAAACAATACCTTACATGTTAATTTTTAAATACATGTCATAAGATAATATTTACCGCATAAATCTTTATAAATATCTTTGTCTTATTTAAATAAAACGGTCAACTACCCAGTCATAATTAAAATTAGTTTAATATTTTTAAAAATATTCGTTAATTTGATTTAAATATGTTTTTATATTTTTATTTACAGTACATGGACATTGGTGAAGATATCGGAGTACCTGATGATTTTACAAGTAACGAAATGATAACAGGGATGTGGTGGAGGCATTTACTTGCTGGTGGATTAGCTGGAGCTGTTTCGCGGAGCTGTACTGCGCCTTTAGATCGTATTAAAGTTTATCTTCAAGTAATTATTTTTAAAAATCTTAACTTAAGATTAGTCTGGCTAAAGTAATGCTCACTTGAATATTGTTTTATTTTGTGTAGGTTCACGGGACAACGCAATGCAATATGTCAAATTGCTTTAGATATATGTTGAAAGAGGGAGGAGTACTCAGTTTATGGCGTGGCAATGGTATTAATGTACTTAAAATTGGTCCTGAAACAGCTCTCAAGTTTATGGCCTACGAGCAAGTTAAAAGAGCAATCAAAGGAACTGATACGAGGGAGTTAGGTATAAATGAGAGATTCATTGCTGGATCCATGGCAGGTGGAATTAGTCAATCAGCAATTTATCCTCTTGAGGTAATTTATTTTTCAAGTATAACTATTATAAATTTAATTTGTTATTTAATTTTTTTTTTTCGATTTTTTTAAAGGTACTAAAGACTAGATTAGCACTTCGCAAGACGGGTGAATTTTCCAGTATAGTTGATGCAGCTAAAAAAATTTATAGTCAAGGTGGTTTAAAAAGTTTTTACAGAGGCTACATTCCTAATTTAATTGGAATTCTTCCATACGCTGGAATAGACTTGGCTGTTTATGAAGTATAAAATTAAATATTATTACTTTTTTTTTTTTCTTAATAAAAAAAAAATTCTTTGCTAACTTTGTTATTTATATAAATTTTCTAGACGTTGAAGAATAGATATCTAAGATCACACACTAGCAATGAACAGCCGGCATTTTGGGTTTTACTTTTATGTGGTACAGCTTCAAGTACAGCTGGACAGGTGTGCTCCTATCCGCTTGCACTAGTCAGAACTAGATTACAAGCTGAATTATCCCCCGGAAATTCACCAACTACGATGGTTGGAGTGTTTAAAGATATCATACAACGCGATGGAGTTAAAGGCTTGTACCGCGGATTGACGCCTAATTTTCTCAAAGTAAATTTAATATAAATCATCAGTATAATTTTTTTATTTAAATATTTAAATATTAATCTGTATTTTTTTTTTTTTTTTTTTATTAATAGGTAGCACCAGCGGTATCAATAAGCTACGTGGTTTATGAACATTTTCGGCAAGCACTGGGTGTCAACATGACGTGATAATTATATTTAATTAGGAATTGAAAATTTTATTAATTTATTATTTATCATTTAAATGTTGTATGAAATTTTTTTTTATAGTAAATATGAAAAAAAGTTACTGAGTAATAGTCAAAAACAGCAAGAGACAAAGTAGGTGCTAATTTATATTTGAGCGTGATTGCTCGTTGATTTTTTTTACAAATTTTTTTTCTTTATTATTTTTGACCGCAATGATTCATTCCATCATCAATGTTTGTAATCATTGCAAATAATTAATCCGTTTACTTAATAATTTATTGTTTTACGACAGTGGAATTTCAAATAATTTTTAAGTGTCTCTAGTAAAATTGAAATGATAATCAATTTTTTTCCGATTAATATTAATATTATCGAGTATTTTAAATCAAAGAATCGCTTAGCCTACATTAATAAAATAATACCGTGATAAAGGATTATTAAATAAACTAATAATATTAAATACTAATTATCAGGTTTTACAGCTAAGCTGTTATTTTGATATTAGTAATAGAATGAAAGTAATTCTTACAAAAAAAAATTTCCTACTCCATTTTAAAATTACTTATTTATTGTGAATATTTATTATTCTCTTTACCAAATAATCATTAACTTGATTATTCTATTTAATATTTATATTATAATAATAATAATAATAATAATAATAATAATAAAATAAATATCTCGTTGTGGGCCTCTTAAGAGATTCGTTGATTATATTAAAATACAACGAGAAATTAAAATTAGAATAACTCAATAAAGTAAATAATAAAAAGTTATATACTGATACTGTGATAGATATGATTGTTAAGAGACATTGTAAATTATTATTTAATAAAAGGAGAGTAACAAAAAGGGAAACATGATTCAATGAAATGTTTCCTTTTTTATGGATTAATAATTGACATCTATTTATATTAAGCCAACAATCTGGAAAATTACTGAATATTATTACAATGTTTCTTGCATCATATAATTCGATTATTTATTATCAGCTAAAAAAAATTAAATATTTGAATATTTAATATCATTCCAAAAGTTTACACGCCTCGTTGCCAGACTAATTATTGTTGTCTAAAATATTATTAATAAAATAAGTAGCTACAGACTGCTTTTCTATTGAAGTATATAGTGGGTTCTTTTAAAATTATCAAAATAAATTCCATTCGCGTCCTAAATAAATAAAACTAAAAAATACCAGCATGGAATTATCTTATTCTACAGAACTGATTTCAAATCATGACTAATAAGTGAATAAGTTAAAAAAAGAATATAAATTAGATCTTGATTTAGTTTTTTAATCGTGCTCATGTACATAGTAAGCTTTTATCATTAATAAATTCATTTATCGAACTTGTGTGATGTTTGAAGTTTAAAATTTCAGGATTTAAACTATTGTGAACAGATAAATTAAAATAAACTGAAATTATAAATAAATTCCATTGAAAGAAAATTGTATTTAGGAATGTTATTTTATTATTATTATTATTATTATTTAAATTTAAATAGTAGTTTATGTATATAAAAATATTAAAAACACTCGAGTCTATGCATTGAGGCCTTTGGCAGCTTCTTGATCAACGATCCAGTAAAGGGAGCCATTTGTTGGATTTACCCGACCAGCAGGCAAATTTTCTTTCTCTTTCAGTACACGCTGGAATAAAAACATTTTGTTGGTTAATAATTTATCTATCTAATATTTAAAGGCTTTTTTTTTTTTTTTTTTATAAATTATTTTATCGACGAGGTGTTAAAAGTACATAATTAACAATACTTGTTAATTACCTTGATTATATCAGCCTTGCTAGCTCCAGCGACAGCAAAAACACAAGCCTTAGAATTATTAATAACTGGGAACGTAAGAGTTATTCTTGAAGGTGGTGGCTTTGGAGAATCGTTGATTGGACAAACCCATCTAATTGTTTCCTCGAGCAGACGATGCCCGGGAAAGAGCGAACAAGTGTGTCCATCCGGACCGATTCCAAGCAGCAGCAAATCGAAACGTGGTGGACTGTCCGGTGGAAAGTACACGGACATCTTCATGATGTAATCATTGGCTGCTTCAACAGCTGCGCAATAAAATTAAAAATTAAGTTATTTCAGCAAATTATTTATTTAGAAAATTATTTTACCTGAATGCTCAGTATCGATAGTAATAAATTGGTCTTCAGTTATTGGAATTTTGCCCATCAAACTAGCTTTGTATTGACCATAAGTAGAATCTTCATTATCAAAAGGTACAATGCGTTCATCGCAAAAAAAAAATCTCCATTTCGACCAGTCGGTCGTAATTGATGGCAAACCTTCAGCTAGAAATTTAATTAAAGATCCACCTGCAAATAATAGTTATTATTATTATTATTATTATTATTTGAAAAAATTATTAATAAATTAAAATTACCTGATAAACCAATTTTAAAGACATCGCCGGTTTTTATTGCGTCATTAGCATGCTCTTCAATAATACTTGACAATTTCTTTATAACACCGGCAACATCAGGCTCTATGAGTACATTTTCCATAATTAAATATTAAAAAAGGTGTAATTAATTGTCTAAAACCGCTGATATGTATCATAAATCACAAAATAAATAGCAAAACGATAAATTATCCTGCATAAAGTTATTTCATACAGCTAATACGTTAAATACGTTAGATCATTTGAAGAAAGTCACGTAGTTACAAACCAACAGTCTAACTAATGAACAATGACTAATAACATTTGAGTGTGCGATGTGTATCTTACAGCGATGCTGGACACAAAACCATCACGTAAATTACGAATTTTATTTTTACCGACAATCCCATTCGGTACTGTCACTTTTATGATCACGTGGTCAATTAAAATTAAATGACACACTGAAGTTGATTGACAGACATTAAAATTCTTTTTAGAATTTTATAGCAAAATTAAATGATTAAAAAATTTCACATGTGAAAATTAATAAAAAGTATGAGTGAAAATTTTTAAAAGCAATTCTTTTAATGTAATTGATTTATTAAATTGACAACTGACGGCTAACTTCAGTATTATCAATTAAATCGAACGTCACACACACACTAAATTATTATTATAACTATAAATAAAATGTACATACACACATGTCCAGCAATGTGTGGGGGTGTGCGTATCTAATTTATATTCGTTTCGTCGTCGTTTCGTAGGCAGTAAAAAGAGTAAAAATTGATGTCAATAAAATAAATTTCTTTTTTATCTTTTGGTAAGACTAATTAACGAATAACAAAACCGTCCGCTAATTAATCCTTGAAAGTAAACATTTATTATTATTCTATATATCTGCAAATTTTTTATTACTTATGACCAAATATCAATAATAAAATAATAAATGTTTTTATTCTACTTAAACTCAATATAAATAATTTTGCACATCGATCGTCACTAAATCAACATGCATAAAAATAAATTAACAAATATATGTATTTGTAACCTTTCGCGCAACTAAAATGTTTAATATTAAGGTTAAACATTCTAAAGTTTACTTTCTGATAAAAAAGATAAAATTTGAAATGTTTAAGATTAAAACTTTGTGTTAACAATTGACGAAATTAAAGTGAATGGTTATTTATTTGTTTAAAAAAAAATTTTTATTTAAAATGATTGTTATATCATTGAAGAGATTGTTGCGAAAATGTCCAATAAACTTGACAAGAAATTTGCCATGGAAACAGTGGGCTATTTTTCTGGCTCACGTATTTTTATATTTGATTGTTTATTGGCTTTATGGAGGAATTTTTACATTGTTTTTTATATTCTCCATTGAAGCTACAGGTAAATAAATATTTAATGCTTTATTAAATTGATTAAGTAAATGTATTAATTTGTTTTTTAATTTGAAAAATAGAACTTTTATACAAGTTAGAAGACGTGTTTGTTTATCATCCAGTAATACCCACACATTCACGTATCTATGTACCATCACCGTCGATGTTTAGTCTGCCATATCAGACAATTTATATACATTCTAAGGATGGTACGATATTACATTCATTTTTTATATCACAACCTGGTGAAGAAGCTAAACAATCACCAACAATTCTTTATCTTCATGGGAATGCTGGTAACATTGGTCATAGGTTCGTATTTTTTTTTTTTTTTTTTTGCCATAATTTATCTGTTAACAAAAGTTCTAAAAATTATTAAATATCTGCTAAATTAATTTTCATAAATTTATCACAACATAAATTAATATTACAAAAATAATTATTGATTAATTGTTGACAGGCTCATCAATGTATCAGGATTATATCATAAAGTTAAGTGTAATATATTAGTATTAGAATATCGTGGATATGGTTTTTCACAAGGCACACCTACGGAATCTGGTCTTTACATGGATGCTCAAGCTGGTCTAGATTATTTATTAAGCCGTAATGATATTAATACCAATGAAATTATTGTGTTTGGTAGATCACTGGGTATGTTATCTTAATTTTAAACTAACAATCAATACAATAGTAATTATTACTTATTATTAATTAATTAATTTATGTCCTCAGGAGGAGCAGTAGCTATCGACTTGGCTGCTAATTATAATAAACAAAGAATTTGGTGCCTTATATTAGAGAACACATTTACAAGTATTCCGGAGATGGCCTCTGTTTTAATTGGATATAAAATAATAAAATATTTACCACTTATTTGTTACAAAAACAAATTTACGTCAACGGACAAAGTTACGTCTTTAAATGTGCCAACATTATTTATATCCGGTCTTGCGGATACTCTGGTACCGCCACACATGATGACTGAACTTTACAACAAATGTAAATGTAATTACAAAAAATTATTGACTATTGAAGGTGGTACGCACAATGAAACGTGGGTTCAAACAGATTATTATAAACATTTAGTTGAATTTATAAGCCAACTCAGAGAAAAACCGCGTACGTTTGACAACAATAGCTGTCATTATTTCATGGATGATATTTAAATAATTTATTTACTAAATATTGCGTCCAAATATCAATAAATAAATAATCAAATTGACGTACTAATTTTAAAATAAACATTTACACGACAGTAAATGTTCTGTGATTTTAAATAATTTTAATGATATATAAACTTAATTTAATAAATATTAATAGGAATTGTCAAATTAACAATTAAGTTATTTGTTAATAAATACAAATAAGTCGATTATAATCTTCTGTTGCGTCTGCGATGTTTTCTCGCCAATTTTTCCGAGAGTACAAGCCCAATAATTGTTATTAATGTCAGTACAGTCACAGCACCAATAATTATGAATTTAACGCTGTTACTAGATTTAATAATAATCATTGAACTACTCTGCGCTACTACATAAGTATTATCGTCCAAAGTAACAAGTCTTTCGAATTTATTTGACGATTTACAGAGTACTTTTGTCTTCCATTTATACCAGTGTACCATCCGTACATTGAATACTTCTCTCGGCTTATTACATCTAGTTAAAATATAATTATTTTTTAAAATATAAATGTACAGGCTTTTTTTTTTTTTTTATATTATTATGTATGTAAATAAAAGCTTTCATTAATTTATCGATAACATATCAGTTATCATATTTTCATCAAAATTGTATTAAAATTTATAGATATTTGGTAAAAAAAAAAAAAAAAGAAAAAAAAAAAAAACAAAAAAAAAAAAAAACAAAAAAAAAAAAAAACAGTCAATTATTGATTTGACATGTTTAGTTGTGAATACAAAATACCCATGAATTTATTAATATAAATAATTAACTGTACCTTAAGTTTGTTAAAAGTGCTGAATTAATTGTATACAACTTTGGTAATAAATCGTCCAACATCCATTGAGATTCACAATCACAAATCATTGGATTTCCTTGTAAATTTATTCCGTAATTAGGTATTAATTCATTAGAAATTTTAATCGATTGTTTTGAAATACGTTCTAGTCTGTTGTTGCTCAAGTCCAACTAAAATTAAATAATTATTTAATTACAATAACTTTAAATTAAATTCTTGTTACAACTTTACTTACGTAGCAAATACGATGATTGCTAAACGAATTATTGTAGACAAATTTCAAGTTTTTGTTGAAAGAAATCGTTAAATTAATACAGTTGTTTTCCTGTTCTTGCAGCAAATCAAACGAATTTTCATCAATACTCTCTATTAAATTTAAATCACTTGCAATAAATCTTTTCAATTTTATTCGAGTGTTAAATATTAATTTATCTAATGGATTTCCACTGATTATAAGCTCTTCCAACGCAGGAAAATCCTCAAAAGAGAGCGGTGGGATGGAAGAAAAATTATTGTAAGATATATTGAGCAGTTTCAGATTAACAAAGCTTGCATTTATGAAATACAAATTATTTTTACTGATATCCAGTGATTGCAGTCGATCGGCAGTCAGACTGGTTTGAACCATAGAGATAAAATTATGATTTATATCAAGAAATTCCACTGATAAATTCCCTGGGAACTGGGATAATTTATTGTGTGCCACTGAGAGTTGTTTTGTAGGAGGTATAAAAATGTCCAGTGAATGGATTAAATTATTATTAAGCAGCAATGTATCGATAGAATTCAAATTGGTAAATGCCTGAGTGTCTATTGAAGTTATTGAATTGAAAGATAAATTAATAAATATTAAGCGAGGACAATTCAATTGTCCAGTTGACAGAATTATAAGCTGATTGTATGATAAATCAAGATGAGTCAAGTTACACGAACTAAAGCTTATCTCAGTTATTAAATTATGACTCAAATTAAGTTTAGACAGTGACAGAAAGTACTCAAAGACATTTGGGATTATTTTTTTCCAATTATTTGAAGACAAATTGAGTTCTTTTAGATTAATCAAACTGCTAAAAGCACTTATTACACTTTCATCCAAATTATTATTTGATAAATCGATAATTTTAAACTGCTGTACTGTATTTTTATGAATTGAAATTTCCACTGAAGTGTTGTCGCTTGATATGATAATCTCCTGGGCGATTTCACTGGTTAACAATTTTAAATTATTTCTGTCGCTCGCATTCACTCGACCATTGCAATCAATAATCGTGCCTAGATAAAACAATAATTAATATTTTTTTAAACAATAAATAAAATAAAAATACTCCATAGTATAGAAAAAATGATGTCATACCTGAGCACGTACATACTTCACACAAATCACCCGAGGATAATTTTAAGAAATTAATTAACAAAACTATTCCAATAAAATACATTTTTTCCAGACACTTGTAGTTTGATAAATAATCATTAGACTGAACAGGTAAGCGTATCAGTATCTTGCAACAGAACTAAATTCTGATAAGATTTTTTATCTGATCTGCGTCACCAGATCCACGATTTCATATCATTGAATTTATTTACATTTTTCTATCATATCAACTAAATCCATTTAATCATTAATCATTATTATCATAATTATACATTTTTTTTTTTTTTAATAATAAACAATTAAAGAATTTATTTTCATTTTTTTAATCCAATAAAATTACAGAGGCACGTTATTAAACTTACAACTAAAAAACATACTCAAATAATCGAAAAAAAAAAAAAATGAAATGATCAAAAATATAATTACTAATGTAAACTAATTAGTAATTATGATAATACTCAATAGATAATAGCGCAATAAAAGAGATTAAGCTTTTTTAAAGAAACTCATTATAGAAGTCTGCTTGTTTTGTTTTTTAATCTGAGCGACAGCAGCCTTATCAGTAGCTTTCTTCACCTCTCTTTCTTTAACCACAGCAGGTGGTGGAGTTTCTTCGTCAGAAGCGCTCTCGTAGACAAAAGTCTTTTTAGTGACAAGAAAACCTTCTTCGTCAACGAAAGTTTTATCCACAGCTTTGCGTACCTTGCGTTTACCCTCCACAAGCTTAACCGGCGGTGGCGATGGTGATTTTCTCGTAACTGTTGGTTCCGGGGGTGGAAGATCATCAAAGAAGTCTGGCTCTTGTTCCGCAGCAGATTCGTCACTAGAATCAGAAGCTATGAAGATACGTTTCCTTTTTTTAGTATCTTCTTTACTTGAATCCCTACTCCTGTTTCGTTTGCTACCGCGATTTTGTTTAGATTTAACTTTATTAGCTTTCGTACTACCATTGCTTTTTTGACTCGCTTCTGAATTGCTAACTTCTGAATTAGACTTACTAACAGACAGCCCGTTGCTTACCACGACCTGACTTTCATCAATTTCCATAGGACTGTCTTCAACTCCATTGCTTTTGTTTTCTTTCTCTTTATCAGAGTCTTTTTTAGGTGGTGATTTTTTGGAGTTAGCAGCAGCGACCTTGCCGAACAAATTGTTCAGTCCAGTTTTCTGAGACTGGACAGGTTTTTTAGGCACACCTTTCTTCGTATCAGCAGGTTTATTTTTAACAGGTGATACTTTTTTCACTTCCACTTTTTCTTCTTTATCTTTTACGCCGTTACTCACGTTATTATCATCACTCTTATCATTATTGGACTTGCTATCGCTCACCTTGTCAGCAGCCTTGGCAAAACTGCTCATAATTCCCTTCTTCGGCTCGGGAGGCTTGTGCTCAACGGGTACCTCGTACGTTTGCTCGCGACCCCACCTTCGCTTGAACAATTCTTCATCGCTCAGCACCACGGCGTTCTTACACGTGATAGCCGAGAATTTAGTGTCACCCTGACCTACCTCAGCCAAGAGTTGAAGATCGGGCAGTGACTTCTGTAAGCTGTACAGGTGCTGTGATATTATCCTGTCGTATTTATCAGCAGCAGCAGCAGCAGCAGCAGCAACAAAATCCGACTCCTTTATCACCTCAACCCGCATTCCTCCATCTTTGGTGTACCCTATTATCATGATTGTTGCAACGAGCTCATCACTGGATTTATTTTTATTCCAATACTCCTCCAGGACTTGCTTCGCCACATTCACATGGATCTCTAGCTCTTTGCTCAGCCATTTATACGTAACCTATAAATCAATAAACTTTAAAGTAAATGTAATTGTACATAAATTGATCATTAATAAAATAAAATTAAAACTTACAAGTTTGTCTTCATCATTTATATATCCAGCAAGAGCTTCCAAGTAAGTGTTCATTAATTCCATGATTATATGTTAATTTAACAATGTCTTGAACAGCTTGTCCAGTACCAGATGCACGTATATAAATATCTAAAATTTTTGTTTAAGTACTACTTTAGTTAGAGAATTATCGCATCACTTGGTGTAAATAAACTTTATTAAAATTGTTAGCTGGACATTTTTTAATTATTTTTAAATCAATCGAGTTATTAGTTATATATAAAATATCTCGGCTCTTGGTTATATAATTTATTTCGCGCCTTTTTAAAGCATACTGAAGGTGTTTTTTTATATTTTATCAGAAATCAGCGCAGCGCTGCCTAGTGATCTTTTTGAGAAATGGATCTGTCATATGAATTATTTATATTTTTTTTTTTCACCACGAGGTTACGAATTTTAACTATTTTAATTAACCTAGGATTTATTATTGTGTTGTTTTTTAGAGTAAAAAATAAGTTGACAAATTGTAAGTAATTTTTTATATTCATAATATCAAATTATAGAGAAGGAATATATAGATTTTACTAACAGTAATTGATAATAATAAAATTTATAAATATTTTTTTTTTATTTTTTCAGATGGAGGGTGAAACAGTTATTGACGAAAACGCCGAATTTTATTTTGAATCTGACAGCTTGGCTCTAAAGGGTAACAAAGATTACATGGATCTACTGAAGACTATTGTCATCCTAGAAAACCAGCAGGCACGAGCTATCGAGGACATGGACGAGTTATTAGCCCAACGAGCTAACGCCCTAAAAGATCCGATGGGTTTTATTACCAAGTTGCAAAATGGTGAACTGTCAACCCTTCCTGGTGAAATAAAAGTTGCTGAAATTCCTTACATCGACTGGAGTCGCTACAACATATCTGCTTCTGACGCTCGCTTAAAACCACCGCAGACACGGCATGGAAATTTCCGAACCCAATCTAAAGTCAAGCAAACAGATGGAAAGGTAATAATTTTATTGTTTGTACTTTATTTTTATACAAATAATTAATGATTTGAAATTAATTACAGATTCTTGTTCGTGGTCGTCCATTCGATGAAAGTAAACCAGAAACTTTCAATCTTCCTTGGACGCCTGCTGAGCAATGTAAATTGGAACAATTGTTGGTTAAATATCCAAATGAAGAAGTCAGTATGCGACGATGGAAAAAAATTGCTAATGAATTAGGTTTTTACTTTATATTTAATGTTATTAATTTATAGTCAATTTATTTTTATTATTATTATTGGGTTTACCTTGCAGGAAATCGTACTCCAAAACAAGTTATGACAAGAGTACAAAAGTATTTCCTTAAATTAAAGGCTTATAATATGCCAATACCTGGACAAGCTCCAAAATTAAATCCAAGTACTAAAAAAAGTATGAGTCGTCGTTTCTTGCACAGAACTACATCATTCTTTCCTTCAATAAATATGATTGATGATAAAGATACTGAAGATAGTCACCAGTGGATGATTAAAGATTCAGTAAGTCTTGATAAAACATTAATAATTTTTAAATTAAAAAATTAAAATAATTATTTTATTTTTAGAAGAACGATAATGATGAAGATACTGAGCTTTGGCAGATTGAATTGATCAGAAAGGTAAAGTCTGAAAAAGAACAGGAAGCATCGAGTTCTCAACAACATTTGGGCTACAAGGTATCTAATTTTATTTATTATACATGCTTACCAACAAATCAAATATGCGTTACCAAGGTTATATATAATTGATAATTTTTTAATATTTACAGTGCATATGTTGTGGAGATGATCCTTTAAAAGGTACCAGGTGGAATTGCGTTGAGTGTTACAACGTTAATTTGTGTTCAGACTGCGTTGTAGCGCAGTTAGAAGCTGTAAATCCTATTCATCCACCTTCACATAAATTAAAAGCAATTTCTCTTGCAGAAGCTAACAAAAATTGCGACTTGGATTATTCATCGTATAATTATTTAAATCCTAAATTTTTATCTTGATAAAATATAAGATTAATTTAATATAATGTGTAATAAAAATTGTACTCCATTTATATTTTTATAAGGAGTTAGAAATAATTTACTACTTATTAATTATCTACTGATATTTTTATGAAAAATGAATGTGATTAATTTAATTTTTATTGATTTTTTTTTTTTACATTTGATTTTTGTAAGAATAAAAATAATTTATAACAAAATATCTAGAATAAAAAAAAATAATTCTCAATGGAAATTTCTATTAAATAAATAATAAAAAGTATTTAAAAAAATTTTTATTTTACATAACTAAATATGTACAAAATAAAAACTCAAATAAATTAATTAAAAAAATTTATAATTTTCACTTTTCAATTTTTCCCGCTACAAATGTAGGCATACTTCGCTAGCGCTTGTAGATAAAGAAGATCCACGTGGTTTTACAATTACTATATTATTATTTATGATTACTTCGACTGCGTAGTGTATTTTTGCGCGTAAATTTTCTCAGCGACGTAACCTCCTGGATCGCCGTATCCAAGTAAAACATAATAAGAATTGGATATGCTCGGATGTACTATTTATCAGTTATTTTATTTTAATTATTATTAGCAGTAAAAATACTTATTTATTACAAAAATGAATTCATTAGATGATCCAGCGGTAAATAATAAATACTTGAAGTGTAAAATAAGAGTTAAAAAGTGGGAAAGTGATTTTATGGAAAAATATGGACGGAAACCAACCAAGGTATGTTATTAATATTTTATCACCTATTTTATTGTTGACGATAATTAGGTATCATACTAAAGTCAGGAGACATTAAAAAAATTTTTTATTTTATTTCATTAATTAAATTAAAGTTAAAAGAAAAAAAAAATCTGCTAAATTAATTTTCATTTTAATAATTCGATTTATTAATTAATTATTATTATTTTAGAATGACATAAAGAGTGCCGACAAAACAATTCGAGACTCTTACAAAAATTATTGGAAGCTCAAGACTAAAGTGCTGGAAGAAACCTTGCTGGACATAACATTTTCTGATGAAATAGAATCAAATGTCTCATTAAATACGTCTTCTTTGGATTTTCTGTCCCAAGATATAAAAGCTCCTGAAAAATCTGTGCTCGATAAATCAACAGGATCTCAGTCTGTGGTAAATACTGAAAACATTGCTCCAGATGTCCCCAAGGCAGAGCCCTCAGTTCCCGTGGATACTCTCAACGTGGACGGTGCTTGGGGTGATCATCTCAACAAAGATTACGAAGCACCGAAGAAAAAAAAAATTCTAATAGGTAAATCTTCATCCTTCCAACTTTCTCAAAAGAAATTCACTTCCAGCAGCTTCTTAAAGCGCAACCCCAGGAAGTCACTATCTATGAATAAATCCAAGAGTAAGTTTAATCTCAATAAATCTGCCTCTGAAGCAGACAACTCAAATAATACGAGTCTAACTGCTGCAACTATTGAAGATTCATCAGATCTGTTACTTGCTGATCCTATAAAAATAGTTACGCAGAAAATAAAAGTGACAAATCAGCCTATTAATATTATTCAGCAAGTACTTAGCGGTAAGTCTGTGACTGTAGACAGAAAATTGGACAGTGGGTGGCTGGCCAGATGCTCTAAAGATGATAATGAAGCTGTTGAAGAGCCCAAATCAGAATCCAAACGTTTGTCTGGTATCAGTGACTCGGGAATTGAGTCTTTGGACAATAATTATCAAGAAACTCAGGATACTTGTTTAAAAGAATCACCTTCGCAAGTAGCTGAAGTTTCTGATGATGATTTTGTGTGTGTCAGCGACTCTGAAGAAGAGAGTCGCAATAAAAGGATCCGTAATTGGAGACGGACTGCTTCGGATTTGTCGAATGTTTGTAAAAGGCCACGTACAGATTTTTCTTATCGTACTTTCAGTTTTGCCTCTCCGTTAAATAAGCAGAGTTTTGTGAGTCCAGCTATAGAGAAGGAAATTAAAAGATTGGAAGCCGAAAAAGTTGTTACAGAAAAACATGTACCGCTTGTTAAAGAAAACTTTTTGGTAGAAAAGGAAGAGAAGGGGGTTGAGCAGACTATTAATAGTGAAGAAAAGGGTAAAAAGAAGCGAGGAAGGAAACCTGCTGTTAAAAAAAAGTCTAGTGAAACGAAAAAACCTCGGAGGACTACCAGGAGAAAAGTCAAATACTCTGAAGATAGTTCTGAAGAGACTTTTGAAGATAAGGAGTTATCGAACGAGAAAGAAACTCCGGAGATTTTTATTTACGGTGTGGAAGCTCTGGATGTGGTTCCGCGGTTCGCTGTGCCGCAGGACACGAATGGCGATCTTGTAACAGAGTTCTGCGAGTCTATCGAAGCGGAAAAAACAGCGGTGACTAAAGCGAAACCAAAGGCTGCGATGTCAGCAAAAGAAAAACTAGAAGCTAAAATAGCCTCTGGTAACGTAAATGACAACTTTGTAAGGATTAATTTGAAGAAGAAAATTTTTGTTCGTGGGAAGAAATCTTTCAACTTTTCCAGGTATAAAAAGAATCAGTGGAAACACAAGAAGAAAGAACTAGCATCCGGAGAAGGTTCACTGGACTTGGCTGACCTGGCTGAGAAAAACACGTGCTTTAAATGTAGAGGAAGCAATCATGTCTCTAGAAACTGCCCTGCAATGAAGAGCGATGAGTTGATACCCCTTGGAGATACTGATGTCTCCGAATTTCCGACTCTGGAAGAAGCCAAGCATATGGCGAGTCAAGAAGCCGTTAAGGCTCATGCTCATCGGATGCATCACCTTCCAAAGACGTTGTCAATGTCCACTGAGGAAAAACAACCTGAAGAAGAATTGGAAAACTGTCCCTATGATTTTGATGATGATTTTGAAGAAGAAATTCCCGAAGATCAACCATTTGTCGGGCACAAAATTCCTCAGGAACTTATAGACAAATTACTACCCCCAGAAAATGGAGTTATTGATCCCGTTTTCCCAACCAGCAGCGACGGGTTGGTGATACCGACACCTGCTGAAGTGCTGCAAACTCTGAACAAATTTGGCCACAAGAGCTTCCGACCTGGACAAGAAAAAGCCGTGATGAGAATCCTTTCTGGACAGTCAACTTTGGTAACTCTATCTACTGGATCCGGTAAATCATTGTGTTATCAGCTGCCAGCATATTTGTACGCCAAGAGGTCACACTGCATTACCCTGGTGATTTCTCCATTGGTATCTCTGATGGACGACCAAGTAACCGGAGTCCCGGGGTTCATTTCCGCGGCAGCATTGCACACAGGTCAAACTCCAAAGACCCGTGAGAAAGTTATCGAAGCTGTAAAAGAAGGGCGGCTTGATATTCTTCTGGTGTCTCCAGAAGCGATAGTAGCTGGTGAGAAATCAACAGGCTTTGGATCACTGCTGCGACAGCTTCCACCGATCGCTTTTGCTTGCATAGACGAGGCCCATTGTATTTCCCAGTGGTCCCACAACTTCCGTCCGTCTTATCTGATGGTCTGTCGAGTGCTTATGGAGAAAATGGGAGTGAGAACAATTCTAGGACTAACAGCAACTGCGACGCGAGCTACAGCCGAAAGTATCGTCAATCATCTGAAGATCCACGATGGCATGGCCGGAGTAATAAGTGACGTCCCGCTTCCTAACAATTTAACTCTGACTGTTTCTAAAGATGACCAGCGTGATCGCGCATTGGTGGACCTTCTCCGAAGCCCGAGATTCAAAGATTGCAACTCGATAATCGTCTACTGCATCAAGCGAGAAGAGTGCACAAGAATCGCTGGACTTTTGAGAGTGTCTCTCCAAGATCTGGAGACCGGCAAGCCGAAACCTAAAGCCAAAGTGTCGACTATCGCGGAAGCTTATCATGCAGGATTGGCAGCCAGTCGTCGTAAGGTCATTCAGAAGCATTTCATGTCCGGCGATACGCGAATCGTCGTCGCGACTGTGGCCTTTGGTATGGGAATAAACAAGTTGGACATCAGGTCGGTTATTCACTACAACATGCCGCAGAGTTTTGAGGGATACGTTCAAGAAGTTGGACGAGCTGGTCGTGATAATTTGCCAGCTCACTGTCATCTTTTTATTAATCCTCAGGAAAACAGTGACAAGTGGGAGCTGAGAAGACACATATATGCCAACGGAGTAGACCGTCATACAATAAGGAAGCTTTTGCAGAAGATTTTTGTCCCTTGCTCGTGTGCCACCAGTGGAAAACGTTGTCCTGGGCATGAAGTCGCGATTCCGATTGATGAAACAGTTCGCTCGCTTGATGTAACTGAAGAAATGATTTCAACGCTGCTCTGCTACCTGGAGCTACACCCAAAGAAATTTGTCACTGTGTTGTCTTCTGTTTATGTCAATGCTAAAGTTACGAGCTACAATGGAGCGCCAGCATTGAAAGCTGCTGCGCAGTCATCGCCTCCACTGGCCATGGCGATTGCGCTAGACCGCAAAAAGGGTGTCACGCATGACAATGATACAATTATTGAATTCCCAGTGGTTGATGTAGCAGCAGCAATTGGTTGGGACTCCGGAGTGGTTAAAAGTCACCTAAAAAATCTAGAATGGACGACTGTTAATGGCAAATCAAAACGATCATCTATTTCTGTAAGGTATGACACTCTGGGACTGAGAGTCCGCGCACCAGGTGACCTGACTGATGCTGAGCTAGACGAAGCTCTTGACGCTCTGGCTTCTAGGACTCAAAACCAAGAAACTTCTTCCCTGGAGCAGCTGGAGATAATTCACACTGTTATGAACAAGTACAGCTGCCAAAGGGTCAAAGATTGTGAGGAGTTGAATGATGAGAATATTTATAAGTCTGATCAGTTGAAGAATGTCATTCGTCAGTACTTCCAGTCACCGAGTCCGCTTTCTATTGTAGAGATTGGTGCCAAGAAGAACAATTCAGCTAATGAAGCTCAGCTTGTCAATGACATCAGGTCGCTGATCGCTAGTTACAGAGATAATAATTTTACAGGTCGTGCTGTCGCACGAATCTTTCACGGAATCCAGAGTCCTAATTACTCCGCGCTTACTTGGTGTCGTTGTCGATATTGGCGAGCGTATCTTGCTGTTGATTTTAATTATATAGCACAGATTGCAACTAGAGAAATTTTAGCCATGCGATAATAAATTGGCTTAGGTAATTAAAATTAGGTGATCTTAAAAGAATGAATTTTAATTAATAAATGTTTGAGTAAAATAACTAGGAATTTGGGTTAAGTTTTGAATTTATTTATAAAAAAATGTAATAAATTTATGTACATGTAAATTATTAATATGAATTTCAATTAAATGGTTTTTAAATTAACTATGTTTTTTTTTTTAAGGTTTTTGCTATATTTTTTTGGTAAAATAAATTAATGATTGAATTTAAAATTAGAAAAAAATATTTATCATTAAAAAAAATATTTTTTAATTGAAACTATAAAATGTTTTACTATGATTAACCTCAGAAAATATATTTAAATTTATTCTTATAAATAATTAAACAAAGAATCACTTTAAAAATAAAAAGATTATATTAATAAACAAAATAATAGAAAATAAAGTTAGCCGACATCAAAAATGTCGGTTTACTTTATTATTATAATTTAAGCTGATAGACCTAAGTAACCGCGCGTTTCATATAATTACAGTCATGTAAAAATTTGTGCATACGAATCTGTTGCATTTTGCCCACACGAATCATACAAGTCTCAAATTGACAAAGCGCGCAGTATTCCGATGTTATTCCATGAAAAGGCGAGCGATAATAAACATCTTTGAGGGTTTTATTTTTATGATGCGACCAACCGTGAAAAATGACTTCAAAAATCATCAATGATATCGCGAACCACTTGAAGTAAATAACAGCGGGTAAAAACAAAAATACTGGATTAATTTCTCCAAAAGCTGTGCCTTCGCACAGTGGTAGTAAATCTTTAAGTCTCCTATCACTTAAATTTTTCTCTTGCTTTGATAATAATTCTTCTCTTATCTCTCTCGGTATCTGTAATTAAGCGTAACCATTTTATGTTTGTGTTGAGCAATTTACGTAAGCAAAAAATATTGTGTAATAAGAATATAAATAAAATAAAATTTACTTTAAATGGTAGGCGTCTGTCGAATTCACCCACATCATTAATCTCAGGTTCACCAGTTTCGTTACTCACATTATGATAATTAAACATCAGACGTTCTTCATAATTTTCGTCGGCTAATTCTCCAGTTTCACGGTCGATTCTCTTGTTAGTCATTTTCCATTTAATTGAATGATTATTTTTTGTTGATGATACAGCGCCTTCAAGTACTGAGTAATTTGATTTAACATCTGAGGAGTAAAGAAGAAAAAAAAAAAACTATCAAGCACGTTGATACTGTGGCACTCGTAAAATTATGAGGTGATTGAGGTCATTTCCCGGAAATCAACATCGAATTCTCACTTCGTCTGCTGATTGAAACATAAAGAATAAAACAATAATGATAATAATAAATAATAAGCTGTCAACAACTTTTTATTATTATTCTCGTTATTAATACACAGCTGGTTATTTTTGTCTATGCAAATAATTATTTTAATATTGAAGTTAAAGAAATATTTAAATATAAAAGATTCTATTAAAATTTCAATTATCAATTTTATTCATTTTATTCATGTGAGCAGGCATTAATTACAATTAATTCAATAGTAATAGTAGAGTTTACCGACTGATAACGTGAAATATAAACCTTTTGAAAACAAACATTAAATTAAAAATTTAATAATTATAAAATTGAAATTTAATTTACTATTGTTAGATAATTTTTATTACAAATAGAAATAAATTAACTGTTGTCTAACTAATTTTGTTGTGAAATAAATCGATTTATTTTTATTATTATAATTTTTTTTTTTTTGTATTTATTTATTTATTTTATAGTTAATTTTAATTTATAGCTCAAGAGTGAAGGTAATAAATCAATTCACGCTTGTAAGACTGGTCGTTCGTGTTTCCCTTCTAGATTGTCATTGACTGCTGCGTATCCTGTTCCACCCTGTAATAAAAGATAACCTTTAGTCTATTGTAAATTACTTTATTTATTTTTATTATGGAATTAAATAATATTTAAAACAATATTTATTTTAGATAAAGAATAATAACAAAAATTACCCTTTGAAGAGGAATAATATCTGACTCAGATATTTTTGAATTATCTAGAGGATTAATCCAGTCTTTTTTAATGAGTTTTTCCACGCATTCCATAGTCACGACATCTCCGCTGTTGAAAAATAGAAAAAAAAAAATAAGTAAATTGTAAATTATCATTTCAATAGTCAAACTTTAAGCAAAAATAGCACTCACGTTGTCTTAATAACTGCACAAGGAACGCTGTTACCCAGAATATCATGAGTTATCGGACACATGTACCTAGCTTCTTTAACAATCAAAGCTTTTTTATCGTCTGGATCTTTAACTTCTGTAAACTTAATAGGAATAAGATTGTTCAGCTTGAGAACATTTCCACTGACAGGACAGTAAATATTTTTATCCGGCTTCTTCAAAGCAGCGGCTTTGGCTTCGGGAGTCTTAGAAGGGATCCAAAAACTGGGCAACATTTTGTCTCTTCCATTGGCCATGTTGGAAACCGACGATTCTGAATTATTTTGACTTCCAGAAGCTACAATAATTTTTTCGCATTTCAAAAAACTTTCAAATTTTTTCAACTCTTCATTAACTGTTTCTTCTTTAACATTATCTTCTTCTTTCCGCTTCTGGGCCTCGTACTCTTTAAGTTTCCGACTGTACTCTCGTTTTTTTGATAATATATACTCCAAAATAGCTTCTTTGTCAAATAAATATCCATCTGGCCTACAAAAATCCAAAAGTATTTCATTATTTATATTATCTTAATAAATTAAATAAATATGATACAGAAGATAGCAAACTTATTATAAATAAATAAAAAAATAAACTGTACTATCTAACCTGTAAATTTTTTTTGTCATAACTTACTTGTTATAAGACTATTAAATATATGGTAAATTAATTTTCATATATTACTTACGTTATAACAGGATTCCTACATGGCTGAAGTGTTAAACAGCAACAATCAAAACCCTTTACTGAATCTTTGCCAATTCTGTTGCTATTAGTACCGTAACCTGATGCAGCAGCATCTTTTTTCTTTTCATGATAGGTGTAAACCGCTCCAGCTGTACAATTTCTCGCGTGTCTCGTCATTTTTAACTATTTGTCCAACTCTTGATCCAACAAAAACAAACTAATTAAATTTAAATACAACTATTATTGAATGAAATAATAAACAATTAAACTGTTGACAACACACCTCATAAGACAATTGAGGTAAATAAACCTCATAACAGCTGTGCGCTGTTTGTTTTCATGTAGATGGAGCTAGTATATTAAGCCTGTTGATAAACAAGGTATCATAGGTATTTAAATAAATATAATAAATGCAAGATTGAATTGATAAAAAATTAATTTATTTATACTTAAAAATTAATCGGATGAACTAGATTTACGTCGACGTTTCTGCTTCTTGTGTTTGGATTTCTTTTTACGTTTTTTCTTTTTTTTCTTATCATTTTTCTCCTTCTCGTCCTCAGACTCGGAGCTGGAGGACTCTGATTCAGAGCTAGAGCGACGACGAGCTTTCGACTTTTTTCTTTTTTTCTCCTTCTTTTTTTTCTTAACTTCACTGAGTTTGGCTTTCAGTTCCTTTTCCCGCAACTCCGTCAAAGGCGTCATGTAATTTTCATCGCTGTCAGAGCTGGTGCTACTTACGTCTAAAACGATCTCTTTATTGGGGTCGACTTTTATGAAATTTCGACACTGATATGTCAAGTGTCCAGCATAGCCACATTTTTTGCACGCTGGTCTTGACTGTTCCTTTGTTTGAGGAATTAATTTTGCTAAAAACTCCGGGTCCATTGATAACCTAAAATTATTTATTTGACTATTAATAACAATGATCACTAAAAATAGTTTTTTAATTAAAAATATTAATAAATACCTTTAGAGATAATTAAAAATAATACCTAAACCTTGATGAGTATTTAATATTATTGTCATTTAAAAATAATTATAATTATATCACATTTGCAAGGCAATTTTTGAGGTTCGTTATTGTTTTTAATTGTTAATAAAAAATATTTATAATAATAATAAATTGTTGGTTTGTTTTTCAGACTTTGTTTTTAGATTGGGGAGGACAATTACAAACATATACACAATCACAACTTTTTTGTGTATCGAACGCTTGATTTTCAAGTATCGAATTATCAACAATCGATATTTGTCTTCAACATTGTAATAATCGATCAAACTGATGATTTTAAAAAATAATTTAGAGAGAAAAAAACATCATTTCACTTTATTTGGATTTTATTTAACAGAAAAATTATGAATACTAATTTCTTTTTATTATTTTTGCAGTAATAATTCATTAATTAAATAAAATGAAAAATTTTCAGGCCTCTGCTGAATTTAATATAATTTTCAAAGGAAGAAAATAAATTATTATCAATAATTTCATGATTTCATGATCAACGATTCAACATCAAATTTATAAAAATGAAAATGAAAACTATTATTGGACTAATGATAACTTTTTAGCTGGAAATACTCAAAAATATTTGAATCACTCAGATATTGTTGTATAAACACTTATGAGGATTTAATTCAAACTTAGTCTATCCTGTTATGTACCGAAGCATCAAAGGATACGTAATAGCTATTACTCATTATGAAATTAGTATAATTAATCTTAAAAAAAGTCATGAAAATTAACTTGCCATTTAACAATCCATTAGGGGTGTACGAATAATTCAAACTTACGAATTATTCGTTTCGAATCAAATAATTTGAATTTTCAAATTATTCGAATTATTCGATTCGAATTTCAAATCGAATATCAATACTCGATTGGAACGATATTCGCACACCCGTATTTAAAATTGTCGATAAGTTCATTATTAATCATTCTTATGTACCAATTGAATCGTTTTCACTTCCTCTACAAGGATCCTATGCCAAACAGTTGTATAGCTTACTAACTTGGAAAAAATTTAGAGTTTTTATTTTTACATGTCCGCGTGGCTATTGCTATCAAGACTTACCAAGACTTAACTAGACTAGGGTTTCAAATTTTCAATAAGTTCATTTTTAATCATTGTTATACATCAATCGAATCATTTTCACATTCTCTACAAGGATTCTAGGCCAAACAGTTGATCAGATTAGTAACTTGGAAGAAATTTAGAGTTTTCATTTTTACATGTCCGCGTGGCTATTGCTATCAAGACTTATCAAGAGTTAAGTAGATTAGGGTTTAAAATTAGGGGTGTGCGGATAATTCGAACTTACAAATTATTTGTTCCGAATCGAATAATTTGAATTTTCGAATTATTTGAAATTCGACGAACAATTCGAAAAAATTCGAATTATTCCAAAAATTACGAATAATTCGAAAAGTTTCGAATTATTCGAATTCTTTCGAATTATTCGTCGAATGTTGATTAATTCGAAAATTCGAATTATCCGGTTCGAATTTCGAATCGAATATCAATATTCGATTCGATTCGATTCGAACGATATTCGCACACCCCTAATAAACTCATCCCGATGTTACACTCATCGAAACCTTTCATTTGAGTACCCACATCAATTTTTCATATATTTTATATATATTATATATATATGTATATATGAAAAATATATCAAAAATGCATGTGGGTATTCAAATGAAAGCTCTTGGTGAGTATAAAATCGAGATGAGCTTGTATCTTAAAAAATGTCAACAATTAAGAAATGACATTGTATCTTGTGAACTATTGACCTTTTTAAAGATTTAAGCTTATCTCGATGTTACTTTCATCAAGAGCTTTCATTTGAGTACTCACATGCATTTTTGATATATTTTTCATATATACATATATGTAATATATATAAATATATGAAAAATTGATGTGGGTACTCAAATGAAAGGTCTTGATGAGTATAGCATCGGTATGAGCTTATATCTTTAAAAATGTCAATAGTTCTCAAGATACACGGTCGTTTCTTAATTATGTATCTAAAGTTAAAGAATTTTCAAATGCAGCCTAAATACTTGTATTAATTAATTTATATTGTATTTATTTCAGTCAGCTGCACGGTGAAAGAAGTGGAAACTTGTGAAGGAGAAGCGGTTGTCAATAATCGCAAAGGCAAGCTCATATTTTTCTACGAATGGAACATTGCGTTGAAGTGGGACTCCAATGACGATTCGGATATCAGTGGGAAAATAAATATTCCAAACTTGTCAGAAGAAAACGATATCACGGAAGTTGATGTGAGTTTTATGTTCATTGATTTTATTTAACACTCGATCTACAGATAATGAATATTTAAATTGAATTTTTTAGATTGAAATTACATTGAAGAGTAGTACAAACGAGGGGGAAAAAGTTAAACACTTCTTACACACTAAAGGCAAAGAGAAACTCAGAGACCAGCTGGCTCTTTATATATCTGCTTTGAGAGAAGGTAATGTTAAATTTTATTTTTATTTTTATTTTTATTTTTATAAGCTCTTTAATTTTATTATTATGACTGGAAAATATAAAGAAACTCAGGGAGGTTTTTAAATGAAACTGAAAGTAAGAGTAATTTTTATATACTTGGCTTAGAAAAAGAAAAAAAAACTAAATTATTAAGAACGTGAAGAATATTTAATGCATAAAAATTTTTTTATAAAAATATAAGTAAGCTTTAAAGTCTTAGAAAAACTTATACAGTTTCTTAAAAAAAAAAAAAAAAAAAATGAATACTGCGTAAAGAAAGTTTGAGACCAGTCACTAAAGATTTATATTTATTTGTACTAATATATTATATATTTATAAATCAACAGAATTTTCCCGAGGGATGATACTGCCACAAAAAAATAACGTCAATAAAAATGTTATAAATTCAGCGCCAGCTTCTAACATCAAAGCGAAAATGAACGAAGCTGTTGTTTCGTCAAATAAATCATTAGGCTACAAGATAGCGACAACGACAATTAAGCAGCAGCAAAAATTCCAGTGTAGAGGCCAGGAGTTCTTTAATGTATTTACCACAACTGAGGTAAATTTAAACATTAAATATATTTTAATAACAATTATTTTTTTTAATATAATAAATTATTATTTATAAAAAACTAATATATGACTGGATTTTTTTCTATATCTATCTAACATTTTATTATAGTATTTTTTTTCCTCACCATAGAATTATGGCGCCACAAAACCATAGCAGAGTTTTCTATTTTTTATTATTTTTATTTTAATCAATTTTATTGTGAATAAATGAGATTATGAGGCGTGCACTTTTGGATGTTCCAAACTTTTCATTCCAGATGGTACAAGCGTTCACGAAGGGACCCGTTAAAGTAGATCCGAAAAAGTCTGGAAAATTCGAGCTTTTTGGCGGAAACATATACGGCGAATTTGTAGAAGTATCTCCAACGAAAATAGTCCAAAAATGGCGCACCAAACAGTGGCCTGACGGGCATTTTAGCCAAGTAACTATTGACATTAACGAGAGAGGCGACCACACGGAAGTTAATCTCACACAAACCGGAGTACCATCAGCGTAATTATCGTTTTAATATCGCATTGAAAATAAAAAGGACACGAGGAACAAAGTAATTAATGTTGAATAATTAATTATTCATTGTTTCAGCGAGGAGGAGTCAACAAAAGAGAACTGGGACCGGTACTACTGGGACGCTATAAAACGTACATTTGGCTTTGGTTATTTTATGTGATCTAAGTTTCTCATAATACGTATTTATTTAATAATTAAATAGGTAGAACTATACACACAATTTTTATCATTTTAATCAAAGCTTAATCTGATTGTTCATTCAATACTTTAAAGACAAATCAATGCAGGATTTGAAACTGCCATTTTTGAGGATTATGTCATCATCAAATTTTTATGATAGGTTCTAATTATTAATTGATAATTAATTACAAAAACAAAACCATTGAAATAAAAAAATACTGGAAGTGTTCTGTACACTAATTTAGTTAAATAAAAAAAAAACCAGCCAAACTATTTCTTCTTTATTTATTAATGAATTAAATAATTTATTTATTTTTTTTTTTTATTTATTATCTTCTTTACCAACAAATTCCCGCGAGATGCCGCTGTTTGTACACTCTTGGTCTAGAGGTATATTTTTAAAATAAATAACTATGTAGGAGGAACATATAAGAACAAATAGAAAAAAAAAAAAAAAACACGATTAAATCGAACAATAACTTTTCCTACGTCCCATAAGATATTAATGGTATTGATTTAAAGTTTTATTCAATTAATCAATATTATTTACCTTGTGAATTTAATATTGATTAATTTGTAGACTGATAGAGTATAAACAGCCTGTATTATACTGGAAAACTTTTAGAAGCCTTTGAAGATCAGAGATAAAATTAATTCTATCTAGATTGTAATTAGAGGTCCAGGAAATTGTGGTGAGAACTGTCAAAAATATATCTATGAAATATGTATGTCTTAAAATATGAAGCATGAAGACCGCGAACTTCCTAGTATGTCATGATTATGATTGTTCACTGATTATTTACGACCTACTTCTTCATAAATAATCACCGATGAGTTGTAAAATAAAATGAAGATATATGTATATTTAATATTAAGAATTATCTGGTGAAGTAAGTCAGCCGAGCAGTGTGACAAATTGCAAGTTATATATGTCTCCTCGACTATCAATTGATATAATAATTCACTCGTCGATGTCAGCTGTCAACAGGATTAAATTTTTTAATAACTTTTACTGATTTTAATAAAAGTAAATTATCAAGAGAGCAAGTTTTAAATGAAAACAATTTCCGTGGAGCAACCTGTGCGGAAACAATCTCTTTAATGACAGTTATTATTATAAGTACTTTGATAAATCTGTGTAAAGAGAGACAGTGAATAACTTTGATAATTCATCAAGTAAAAAAGCTGATTTATTTTTTAATATTTACTATACAATACATTAATAGTAAAATATCGTGACAAATGTTAGAAATTTTTTTAAAGAATTTTATAGCGAGGAAAATTATTATGAAAAAAATTTAATAAAAAAATTCCATATGTGAGAATTAAAAAAAAATGTTACTATAAAATTTTTAGAAGCATTTTTTTATTGTTATTGATTTATCAAAAAATTTACAATTGACTATTCAGTATTATAAAATTAATATTTGTCAATTTTTTGAATTTTTATAGAAATTAAATTATAAAAAAATTTTAATAAAAAATTCTACGATTAAAAATGAAATGAAAATTAATTTAGCAGATAATTGATAATTTTAAGAAATTTTTTAATAAATAAATTATGACAAAAAAAAAAAGTAGAAAAAACAATTGACAAGTAGAAATTTTAAAAAATAAAAAATGCAATTTTCTTAAAATAATTTTTTTTTGGAAAAAACTATTTGTAAAAACATAATTAAAAAATGGTCAAATGACTGCTCATAGCTTTCATGATGAAAATGAATGAAAATTAAGTTAGCCGACTTTTAAAAATTTTTAGAATTTTTTTTTAATGATAAAATTATTACAAAAAAATAAAAAAAAAAATTTTATTTGTAAAAAACTTGAAAAACTGTAAGTGCAATATTTTAAAAATAAGTTTTTTTGTTTTAATTCAATTATTAAAAAAAAAAAAATAAAAACGTCGGCTAACTTTAGTAATATTGAAAATTAAGTTAGCCGACACTAAAAAATTTTTGATTTTTTTTTTAAATTAAAAATTAGAACTAAAAAAAACTATTTTTTAATCATTCTTATGTACCAATTGAATCGTTTTCACATTCTCTACAAGGATTCTAGGCCAAACAGTTGATTAGATTAGTAACTTGGAAAAAATTTAGAGTTTTCATTTTTACATGTCCGCGTGGCTATTGTTATCAAAACTTATCAAGAGTTAACTAGACTAGGGTTTAAAATTTTCGATAAGTTCATTTTTAATCATAATTATGCATCAATCGAATCGTTTTCACATTCTCTACAAGGATTCTAGGCCAAACAGTTGATTAGATTAGTAACTTGGAAGAAATTTAGAGTTTTCATTTTTACATGTCTGCGTGGCTATTGCTATCAAGTCTTATCAAGAGTTAACTAGATTAGGGTTTAAAATTAGGGGTGTGCGAATAATTCGAACTTACAAATTATTCGTTCCGAATCGAATAATTTGAATTTTCGAATTATTCGAAATTCGACGAACAATTCGAAAAAATTCGAATATCAATATTCGATTCGATTCGATTCGAACGATATTCGCACACCCCTACAATCCATAAATTTAATTTTCATTAAATTCTTTAAAAATAATGGTACTATTTTATAAAGTGCGAGTAAAAAAGTGTAATTGGCATTTTAATTAGCTATTTATTGAAATCCAAATGGAAATTTACTAAAGATGTTTGATTAATAAATACGGAAGCATATGCCGACGATATTTACGTATGGATGCATGGATTATGGAACAATAATGATTATAATAATAATAATAAACAGTGAAGTTGGTAGTGGTAACTAGTAAGAGAATTGTTTTTAGTATTAGTAACAGATTTACGTTTGCAGTTTAGGTATTATGCAATATATAATATGTTCGCTTGCGTGTATCTAGCGTGTGCACCATCAACGCTTACATTAGCTTACACTGCTAAACGCTGACGGCTTGTGTTACCTCATAAGCTAAGCCACGATTTTTTAGAGCGGTCATTTTCCCACAAAAAACCGATCGTGCATTATTTTATTATCAATACTTTCGATATGTTCCTCGCCGTGTTCAATTAATTTGAATTTTCTCATTTCCGTTTCTAAATTAAGTAACCGGTTAATTAATTACAATTATATAATTAAGACCGAGACTACCGAAAGAATTGAAAGAAGAAAACGAATATAATTATTTAAAAAACAAATAGTGGAGTCTTAAGAAGTATTTGATCTTGTAGATGACACGTAGACCTTGAATAAAATAATAACAAATCGTCTTACATATTAGCGGTTGAAAGGAAGCCGGGTTAATGCTCTATCATCAATAATCTGATGTTATTAATTTTTCTATCACCATCCCCTTAATAATTCATCAATCATCACTTAGTATTTATATTAAATAGAGTTAAATAAAAATAATAAACAATGTAGGTAATGCGATTAGTAATTCAGGTAGGTATAACATATTCAAATTCAAATGGTAATTTTAATATTCATAGAGGAGCTGTGTATGAATCTCGGCTAAATGTCTTTATTTTGCAGGACGGGGACGGGGACGGGTTGGATCGAGTAGAGTGTGTTTATTGCGATCACGGATAAAATTTGGTTAATTTAGTGGTCACGAATTATTAACCGTGAGCTTTTGAATATTTTATACAGTCCTACGGTTGAGTAAAGAAGATGAGGAGGGAGGTTGTAGGGTTGCGATAAAACCAAAAGGGATGAACAGAGAAAAGAAGAGATGGAACGATAAGGGGAAGAAGGGAAGAAGGATTCGATCGAGAAAGATCTGTCAAATGCAATATCTGTATACAAATTTTACATAACTATATTGGGTCAAATTATTGTATGGCTCGTGCTTGCTGTCTGTTACAATATTACGCAAGCAATAAAACAAAGTATATAGCTATACACACGCACATCTCTAGAATATAATGTTGTTAAATATGTAGGTACATTATATTACAAGTGTGTGCATTAATCAAGTGACAGTGATATATTTCACTATTGATAATTGATTAATTGCCCATAATGGTTTGTTATAAATATTTATATACACCGTCGAGATATTGAGGATGAACAAGATTCACCGTCTGATATGTCTTCAGTGTGATTATTATTTGATATTTATGATTATAATGAAGACTTTTTTAATGAACCTTGAATAGCAGAACGGTTGAATGAACAATTTGACGTTGAGACAACAAATTAGCTGCCAATTATTGCTGTTGCGAGCAGAGCGAGTACTCGCCGGTACTAATTGTATGATAAAAGAAGAACGACCCGAGGGTAAGTTTACGATATTTATTTTTCGATATATAATACAATATATTTATATTTATTTCTTTAAGACGTAAAATTTTTTAATGATTAAATTCACATTTATATTACTTATATTTTTAGATTAAAAATACAGTTTATATATGTGAATGAATGGTAGTGGAATGTGATAACCTGCGACCACAACTGACCGGTATCAATTTACCAATCACGAGCTACTGTTGATAGAGAAAATCACGGAGAATCCTACGGGGAATTTAAGACAGGAAAAAGATTATAATCTGAGGTAATTCAGGTTTCAAATTTCGTGGGGTTACTTTTATTTGTAAAATGAGAATTTAATAGTCTGTATAAATAATTTATTTTTTTAGTAATAGTCATAACAATTATTTAGTTACTATTTTTTGTCTGAAGCTAATTAATTCAAGCTTAAATATATATTACATACAGATACAATTTAACTAAAATGTAAATTATAAGAAGAAAAAAAATTTAGAAATAGATTACAAAATTTACATATATAGATCTAATCAACCCAATGATGTTTCTTCACTATTTATCAGTAATTTTTAAGATCAAGTAATTCATTAGAATATTGAATTATTACAACCGCGCGTTTTTGGTTGATTAATGTTATTACCTGACTCGCAATTTTATTTAATACCATAAAAATTTTTTTAATTTAATAAGTATATATTAAAATAAATTTCATAACACATGAATTCTCAGAACAGATATTGCACCTTAGCTATTTTGATCAGGCTTTAGTATCAGTAATCAGTAATCAACAACCGGTTATTTATTATTATTTAAATGAAATAATAAAAGACTGGTGCATTATTGTGTTGAATATATTTATATATTTATACTAATTAATTAAATTAACAAGACATCGAATGACGTAGAGGGCTGGCTGAAACGCGTTTATGCGGAAAGGGACTACCGTCAGTGAGTAGTGACTTCAAACGATTGTGTACTGCACCTCAATAATGATGATTGGGATAAGTCCATGAGGTAAACGGTTGCATCAACTGCCATCACTACAATATATCTCCCCCGCTTAGTTTGATTAACGTTAATTAATACCGTCGTATTAATGCGCAACGTAAATTAATTCGACATATGACCTCGATCGATAATATTATTATTTAACATTATTTCATTCGGAAAATTATCATTTACAAAAATTTAAATAACAAAAATAATAATAACAAAATTTAATATAATATAACAAGCAAGTAACCGAGTTTTATAAAATATTTTACGAGATGTTGACAAACAAGAGACAAAAAAATTCATACTATTGAGGGAAAACTTTTGAGGATTCTCGATACATTGTATGATATATGTTAAAGATTTATACAGTATCCTTTTATTTCATTTTCTTATAAGTCATCCCTTATTTCTCTTTGTACTTTGTTACTAATTTTATAATAATTTTCAGATTAAAACCAAGATAACAAAAAGAAAAAATACGTAGGTGGTGATTGGAGGATTCAGGCGGGCTATAAATGTTGGAAAATACATCCGTGCAAGTGTTGCACCAGTACAGGGGGTGGGAACATTCGCAAACGTCATCCCAATGACCTCGAGGATTTGAGGGTGGTGTATGTATTTGCGGATAGGATGAGTACTGACTGCACTCCTCATAACACTCTGGAGCGGTGAGTACGCAGGGCACGTTTGTAGTCACTCCCACCTGCGTTGCCCATCTACCATGAGCGCGAGCAACTACTAATAATAATAGTACCGCGATAGGCGATATCATACAATGCCTCTGCAGTTGTAGTCGTAGTCATAGTCTTCGTCGTAGTCGTAGTCGTAGTCATAGTCGTAGTTGGTTGCTATATTGCATAAAACTAGAATGTAGTGGTATTTGCAACGATTGTAGACCACGTGGCTTTTAAAACTCACATCAGTTGGTTTTAAACTACGACTAGACTCACAACTCAACAATATTTCCCGCTTTCATTGGTTTACCCTTACAAAAAAGTGTTTTTGTTTTTTAATAATATTTTTAAAATTAAATTCAAATTTTAATTAATTAATTAATTATTACCATGTTGCAGTGAAATTTTTTTTATTGTATTTGTTATACTGTGGTTAACAAGTAAAAAAAAAGTGATATCTATATATTAAAGAGTACTTGAAAGTTACCACCATTGGATTACAGTAAATTTGACAGAAAGGGAGGCCGCGAGCTTTTTTCATCGTTGAATAACAACGATGCGGTCTCACTTACTAATTTCACGTGCTGGATGTACGGCTATATCGGTATGATTATTTAATACTTTACTCTCTTACACATATGAATAATATACTCTGATATAACACTTTGATGATAGTTGTAAGTTGTCTTAACTTCTATAATATTTTTTCTTCTTTGGTCAATAATTTTTTTTTGTCCTTTATTTATGGGATTTTTTGTTTGTAAATAAATGCCTGTATTTATCGATAAGCTGAGGCATATTGTAGATTAGATAATTATACGGATAGAAGAGTTGTAGACGTTTTTTAATAACCCAGCGACAAAGTGCACTTCGGACGTTGCGCAAATCTCGGCCTCTCACATCAACTTTATATCCGCATTATAAAGATTGTCTTGCTGGTTTCTTTTTAATTTATATTTATATTTTTTAAATTATGGACGAATTTTATTTTAATAATCAGATAAACATTTTTTGACTCGATACGGATTATAAATATAATAAATAAATGAAAAAAACACACTTTAATCGGATGTAGATGAAAGCAGATTGGCAAATGAAGTTGATGGTGGACTCGTTGAAGACCCGATGGTGGTTGAGAAGAGTCAGAGTTCCGGTGTAACTGGAAATTCGGTTCAACTGTCTCAAGTCCCTCGGCTGTACTCCGGCGGCGACATAGATATTGGAATAAAAAAGGACATTAATAATAAAGACAGTAAAGAATGTAATATTGAATTGTCCGAGTTGGACGAATTCCTGCATTGTCGTGGCTGCAACGACAATAACCGAGAAATGGTGGGCCAAGACATGGCCCAGAGCTACAACGAGCTCTTCCACGCAGCCCAGGAACCTCAAGAATTTATCTCGCTCGAAGAATTAGGCCCGAGAATCACCACCGATCATCATTGTCATCAAACGGTAGCTAATCCTGGTATAAATAGTGACCAGTTGTATGGAGACACTGATGAGGGGCAGCATCAAAGTCACCCGAGGACTTATTATAATTTATCTTCTCTTCCAGAGTAAGTTTAAAGTTTTCCTCCCTTAAAATTTTAATTTACTTTATGGCTAAAAAAGAAAATATTCAAATTATTGTATTTAAATTACAGATAAATCGACACTTATTTTCAGTACAGAATATAAATCAATTATTTTTTTAAATTGAAATTTATATTCTCTGTTTTAAAATCACTACCCAGTCTACTTACATGAAATATCGGTATCACAATTGTTTAATCTATCTAAATATGCTAACAGCCCAGCTAAGATTTAAACAATTTTACAATACAATTCATCTGAGGACTGTCACGTTGTTGTTTTTGTTGTTATTAGTTTAACTTGATTTGCTGCTTTATATTAAACCACAATATTATCATATTATTTTACATTACTTGGAAATCAATTACGGTGTAATGTTAATTAATACTTATTGAAAATTCACTGAACCATCATCAAATAAGTGCATCTAAAAAAAATTAAAGGAAAACATAAAATTCATTGTAAAAAATGATAAGACGTAACATATACTTGATATATTATGAAAATTATGTGGCATCGGGCAGCCAACGAATCTATAAATAATTAATGATGGCACTATAAAAAATTGATGACCTAATAGTACGGTAATTTATCAGATCAAAATTAAAATGAATTTTTTTTAATGAGAATAAATAAATAAAATTTTTAAAAAGTAAATGATATTAAAGCCTGTAAGAGTATAAGCATAATCAGTGATATGATGATTCGTCAAATTATCGAGTGTATAAATTAAATATATACAATAATAATACAAGTCGGTTATGCTTGTTGCGTCAGTCATTATACATTGTACACGGAACTTATTACTCGTTACTTCTCGTTAAATTATATTTATTACAACTGTAGTATAATATATATAAACGTCGTTGTACTATATACGATCAGACTACTCAGACTCTGATTGCTCCTCACGACTGGTATCAATCGCTATTACACCGCATACAATACTCATCAGTACATCAACATCGAGACCTTGAAATATATTATTTACATTTATTATTGTAATTATTAAGTAATGAATCTATTCATAAGAAAATAATTTTAAATACTTACCACAAATATTTTTTTTTTTTAATTTTGCAATAATAAATTCTATTATTTATTTTATAATAAACTTTTTAGTAATAAAAAATTTTCTAAACAATTTAGCTCATGCGCAAGTGTTTATTTTGGTGACATACGTAATGGAAACAATGGAATCCAAGCTGGAGAACCACTTGCACCGACAGCGACTCCAGCGACAGGAACATTGTCACCTGAAAGACTTGATCGGCACTCGAGCATCAAAGGCCCGGCAAATGAAAGAAAAAACAACGTCAACACCACGACCACCACAACGGTGGTACAAGCAATAACAGTATCAGTAGCGACGAACATCAGTAACAGCAGCAGCACAAACTGTTCCGTCCGTGATGTTAAAATCTCTCGAGTTGACGGAACTTTAGGGCCCGAGTACAACCAAAATTGCATCGAACCTTTTACGCATCCCGATAGCTGTGCGATGCAGACTGTCTTGTCGCCGAGTCAGAGTCACTCGTATCATCACCACCACCACCATCATCATCGTCACCATCATCATCATCATCACCACCGTGATATCCTTGATAGTCATTGCAATACTCCTGAAGATGATTGCTTACCTCTTACTAAAAAAAGAAAAGTTTCTTGTCAGTAAGTATTAATTAAGAGAAATATTCTTTAATCAAATAAAATTAATTTAAATAAAAAAAAAATAAGAAGATCAAGTCCTTTAAAATAATTTATTTGATTCAAATTAATTTTTTTTTTTTAAAGTTGATTAGTAATCACACTTGGAACCGATCAAAGGAGTAATAAAAGTCCCATGAGAATTGTCGCGAACCAGAAACTCAAACATTTCTAGTTTACTTCAAGAAATTGTAACCTACGTGTTATATATTGTATATATATATATATATATTAAGATCAATGAGTCGTAGTTGCTTTGGGAAGCCACATGAATTAACTTTACTCATGAACTTGCTACCTATGATTTAATATGTATACATATGTATACATTTATTCAAAAAAATACAAAAATTATTAGATGTTTTTTAAATTCAGTATCATGACTTAAATATATTATTAAAAAATTATTTTTTGTTATAGAGATGAAAATGATCTGATAGAAGATACAATAGATAATAATAAATCACTCCGTATAAATGCTGACAGTAAAAAGTGAGTATAAATTTCTGGCAAACATATCAACTAAGTAAATAATGAATTCTTAAGAAAGAAAGTCACAATATAAAATCATTTGGTGTTTACAATAAGAGTATAATTGTAAAGCGTAATTTAATAATTCAAGAGTAAGTAATTGTGAATGTATAATAGCCGCGTACAATGATAAATATTAGAATATAGTAAGCAAAAAATACATAGAAAGGTGACCCACTGTCCTTGACCTACCTTGACTCGAGAGAATTAACGCAAGTTGGCTTCATTTGTGACGTTAACACCGATCCGGTTTAGAATACTTGATTTTATAAAATAGATAATTTAATTTAATTAAAAAAAAAAAAAAAAACTTATTTAATTTATTATAAATTATTAATGGTATGTTTTAGGCAAAATCACAGCGAAATAGAGAAACGAAGACGCGATAAAATGAATACTTACATCACTGAATTATCAGCGATGATACCGATGTGCCATGCAATGTCTAGAAAATTAGATAAGCTCACTGTATTACGTATGGCAGTGCAACATATTAAAACAATATTAGGCGCAGTTACAACTTACACTGAGGGTCATTACAAGCCGGCGTTTCTCAGCGAACAAGAGTTGAAAACTTTAATCCTGCAGGTAAACTTTTATCGCTAAAACATTTAAAGTAAAATATTAAATAAAGGGAATTGAAATATTTATAAAATAGAAAGTATATGAAGAAAGCTCAAGTAGTATAGTAGGTAGGGTACTTTGTAGTCAGCGAGGACCCTTATAAGAGGTACTTCAAGTTATTCCTCCTGTAGTTGATATATTGGTGGCTGTGGAGGTTTATTATATGCATCGATAAGACTTCATCGCGACAGAGACTTGAAACTTAACGATTACACAACACATTACATTTGACCTGTCGCAACAATTATATGCTCTCTTACCTCTATTCTGTACTCACAGCTATCAACTATTATTTCCCAATATATCAACAATATTTCTACGGACCATACTCAATTAATTATAAATTATAACATGACAATAACTGTCAGTATTTTAAACTAAAACAAATTGTTTAGTTATTTTTAAAAAATTTCAAGCCTTGAGGTGAGTTTTTACGGTTGTACGGCTTTTAAATATCTCTTATAATCGGTTCACACCTGAAAAATAAGCATATAGTTAAAAATAAAACATGTAAATGGATTTAATTAAATCCTAAACTGTGTTATAAAATAGTTATTTATTACCAGTCAGTATATATGACTATGTATTTATATATTTTTATAACCCTTTCTCGGTTGTTTTGCCTATTGACTATGACTCTTTATCCCCTTTCTCTTAAAACGATTACCTTAGTGTTACGTGTACAGCAAATAGCAGTTTAATAAAAGTATCAGCCAGTCTTGAGTCTCGTGAATGCAACAGCAGACTTAATATAAAACTTATGCACACGATTTCAGCTTTTTTCCTCACTGAACTCTGAGGTCAATTCACTTATCGAGTGTAACTCGGCGTTAAGTTAAAGACACCTAAGTGCGCTTAGGAGTTTATTTTAAAGTAACAATAATCCTCAGTCATTAGTCATTACTCATTAGATTAATTATTTAATCTATTGTTTAACCAATCATATAATTTACTTGTTAAAAAAATTTTTAAATATCTGCTAAATAAATTTTCATACTTATATAAAAGTGTTAATTTCTTCTTTGGTTTGATTTAATGAACTGCATTTATATCAATGAATTGTCTCTCAAACAAACGCACAGTTATCTATTTAAATCTTTAATGCTTTCACGTTTATCGCATTCTCCTTTGGCTGCATATATATGGTTTAAGCTATATATATATATATATATATATATATAACTAAAACCTTTGTATTATATATCACGTATTATATGTACGAACATAGGTCTCAGGATATTGGTTTCACTAACCACACCCAGACATACCAGATTTAAATCCTTGATTTAAAATACCAACACCGAGTACTCTACCGTGATCTAAAAACAATTTTTATATTTTTAATCGTATAGCACAGTACATTGTACAATTCGATTACGAAATATCAGGAAGAAATAGAATTTGTTGTTTAAATATATCTTATGTTTTTAATATTTCACTTTTTTATCTTTCGATGTAAGTATATTCGAGTAAAGATTGCGAGATATAAATAATATATGCCGTACTAGATTCTAGTGATAACAAATTATGTCTATTAATGTATGTTTTTAATGAAAAATTTAATTGCGCTTAGTGAACCGTGACAAAATAAAAGAGCTTGTTAATTTATAATTCATACTTAATCGTAAGACTTTTTTTTTTTTTTTCTGATCGTCTAAAGACAGTATGTACATAACGCAATACAATATTTATTAGCTTTTGATCTTAAATTATCAGCGATGAACTACTTGTTTATGAACTTGTTCACTTCCTTCAATGACGTATGTCTCCAATTTTCATCTGGCAGTTAAAATCTGAAAGTAAAAATTACTAAGTTATTAAATCAGTACAATTTTGTAGATAATAAATACATTATGTAGTTTTTCTTACAATTCTTCCGGTAAATATTGCAAATAAATAGTTTTATTATTTATAATATATAGCAGTAAAACGACATTTATTAATTAATTAATTGATTAAATTACCTGTTTATTTATTGTTTTACTTTTTTTAATCTTAAAATAATCATTGAGTATGCAAATTTTACAATATATAAGCCTAAGGTTCTTGTGATAATATGCATAAATATTTAATCTAACTTTATTTAATGAACATGAGTAATAATTTTATTTATTTATAATATATTATATTGAACAGTTGTTTGAAAAATTAGTTATCAGATGAACTAATTGATCTATTAAAATGAACTTGATTATTAAAATGTAAAAATGAGTGTAAATATTTTTACATAAGTTTTATTATTTTTACGGGGAAGACAGCACTTTATTTTGAAAAAAATGAGCAATGTTTTAATAAGTAATTATTTTTTATTACAGGCTGCTGATGGTTTTCTCTTTGTCGTCGGTTGTGATCGTGGGAAAATTTTATATGTATCAGAATCTGTTTCTGAAATACTCAATTATTCTCAAGTATTTATTTCTTCTAAATAATAACTGAAATAAATAATTAACATAAATTACTAATATTTATGAATATAAATTTTTAGGAGGATTTACTGGGTCAAAGTTGGTTTGATATATTGCATCCAAAAGACGTAGCGAAAGTTAAAGAGCAATTATCTTCATCAGACTTAAGCCCGCGGGAAAGATTAATAGACGCGCGAAGTAAGTATCTCATAATAATATTAATCCTCATATTTATATGTATTATTCAATTCTTCTCATCGGTAATTATTAAGGTATATAAATAATACTTTTAAGTTAAATATTATAAATTGAGTGAGTAATCGTGACTTGGATTGCGTAAATGTCAGCTGAAAGTTTTGCGCATTTGGTATTTATCAACAAATTCCACAAAAGTTAACGCGTGTAGTTAATATTCCTTTTTTTTTTTTTCTTTTAATTAAATTAATTTATTACTGTTGAATACTTGTAACTTAAATATTTAATATATTTCTTATGTTAAGCGATGCTTCCGGTGAAGACTGACGTACCGCATGATGTTTCAAGGCTGTGTCCCGGAGCTAGGAGATCATTTTTCTGTCGAATGAAGCGAAAGATAGTTGAAAATTCTTCTGGATGTAGTGAGTCTCAGATTAAAGAAGAAACGGACCCTGCGATTGGTTGTCATCGCAGAAAAAAACAGCAAAGTACTGGTAAGTTATATTAAATTAAAAAATTATTTTAATTGAATGTTTAAATTAAAATAAAAATAAATTAAACTATTGTATTATTTATTTTAAGACTGGAAATACTGTGTTATCCAGTGTACCGGTTATTTAAAGTCCTGGGGGCCGGCAAAACTCTGTGTGGAAGAGCAAGAAGGCGAAAGTGATGGTGAAGCAGGCAATTTATCTTGTCTAGTAGCTATTGGAAGAGTTCAACCAAGCTTACCAGCTCTCACTTCTAATTCATCGCGTACGCCGCGATTAAGGACCATAGAATTTGTTTCGCGACATGCTACGGACGGAAAATTTCTTTTCGTCGACCAAAGGTTTGCTTTTACTTTCAAATTGTTACTTATTGTTTTAAATAAATTAATAATAATAAAAGTTAGCTTTATTATTTTTTTGATAATTGTATTTTAATTTTAAAAGTTTTGTTGATGATGAAAGAAAAATTCTTTAGAGCAAAAACTTTTCATTCAGGGCGACGATTGTGTTGGGTTTCTTGCCACAAGAACTTTTAGGAACAAGTATGTACGAATATTACCATCATGAGGACATTCCTCACCTTGCAGAGTCTCACAAAGCGGCACTTAAATCTTCTGAACGGGTTACGACACAGGTAATTACTTTTCTAAAACGGTTATTAATTATTATTATTTTTTAAACTTGCTAATAATTTATTTTCTTTAAAGGTTTATCGATTTAAAGCTAAAGGTGCTAGTATTGTAAGACTACAGTCCGAGTGGAGATCTTTTGAAAACCCGTGGACCAAAGACGTTGAATATCTTATTGCAAAAAATTCAGCTGTTTGGTAAGTATTTATTTTTTAAAACTCACTTGTTCTTTTTTTTGTTAAATAATATGTTTTATTTATATTTTTTTTAGTATCGATAGTCAAGAAAATAATAGGTATGAGTCGAGCTCAAATGTACAAGAGAATTATGACTTTTATACTCAAAGTAGGTACAAAGAAGACAGAAAAATTTTTAAAAAAGTATAAAAATAATAATTTACAATTATTTTTAGGTAACGCTAGTCTAGGACGACTAATCTCTAGTCAAGTAGAGGTAATTGTTTTTATTATTTATTTTATAATCTATATTATTAAGAGAATAAGCAAAATTTTGTGGCCAATGTATGATAAATTGGGTTCTTATGGCTATTAAATTTGGTATTTCTAGGTACATAATTAAGAAATGACCTTGTATCTTGTGAACTATTGACATTTTTAAGGATATAAGCTCATCCCGATGTTATACTCATCGAGACCTTTCATTTGAGTACCCACATCAATTTTTCATATATTTTATATATTTATATGTATATTATATATATCTATATATGAAAAATATATCAAAAATGCATGTGGGTACTCAAATGAAAGCTCTTGATGAGTGTAACATCAGGATGAGCTTATATCTTTATAAAATGTCAATAGTTAAAAAAGTACAGTGCAATTTAACAAAAGTCATTATTTTTAATAAAGCCAAATTTTATTTATTTTATTATATAAAAAATTTTTTAAAGATCTCAACGGCAGCATCTTCTGAGAGAGATCGTGATTCAACTCAGTCCAGCATTGGCAATGAAGCGAATGACCTAACGCCGTTTAACAATGTCTTGCCAAATGTTTCATTAAATATGACTCATGATCAAGGTAATTGCCGCTTATTATTCTGTCAATTAATGGCAAATATTTTATAAACTAAAGTGTAATATGTTTCAGGAACGTCGAGTGAAAAAAATATGTTAGAAATGATGGGAGATACGACTATAAGTGACACTCCGAATCCTTTGACCACTGACGGAAGTGACGAAGCAGCTATGGCTGTAATAATGAGCCTCTTGGAAGCAGATGCTGGTCTAGGAGGCCCTGTAGACTTCTCAGGACTTCCTTGGCCGCTTCCTTAACTTACAAATTTAATAAACTCCATTTATCATAACATAATAACTTGTAAAACGTCGTGATACTTATCATGCACTCCCTTGAGTCTGGATTAAATAGACTCGTCTAGTACAAATAAAAAAAAATATTCATCATCGGTTTATGTTAAGTGATCTGTAAATATTATATTAATGAGTAATGAGATATTTTATAATTGATTATTTTGGTGTTTAGTTATTGAAATCATCGTGTAATTAATTATTTTTTGCCAAAGTAATATATTAATTATTTATTAATATATTAGATAGTAATTGTTGTTTGTATATGTATAGTTATTTTATAATTTTTATCGTTTACTTATGATTATATGGTGCAAAGGCTTATACATAAATATGTATAAAAATACGTATGTATTAAAGTTCTTTTACTGACTTATTTAAATAAATTTTTTTTGTAATTTTGTTTGTATTTAAGTAGCGTTTTTTTTTATTTAAAAAAAAAAAAAAAAAAAAAAAAAAAAAATTACAGAAATTATGTGATTTTTTACATTTATTTATTTTAAAATTAAACCTAAAAATATATCCCTAACATTTTAAAACATAAATTAACAAAAATTAACTAAGACAAATTATTTAATTAATAAATTTTTACTAAGATTTAAAAAATAAATTTATTTTTTCCATTTTAAAATAATTTCATACTTTAATCACTTACATTAATTATCAATAGTGTTTTTACAACACTGTACATACTTATAATAGAAGACAAACAATATATTTACATAAATATATATTCAGTGAGCTGTTAATTTGGCCATCTTAATAATTAATCTTATTTAAAAACATACCACATAGTCAAAAATTTATCTTATTCAGTAAATACCAATTTGTGTATTTTTTTCTTAGCAGCAGGGCCCTCAGCATCCGAAGCTGCTTCGAATTTAACATCACTCAAATTAATAGTATCATCTCTATTTTTTCTCTTGCCAGATTTTTTATCTTCTTGTTTAATAATAACTTCTTGCTTTATTTTTTTACTAACATTAGATTTGTCCGTGTCTTTATGTTTCGATTTAGATTTTTTATTAGAACCCTCAGCGTCGGAAGCTGGTTCTTCTTTAATTTTCAAGTTCGCATCAAAGTTTGATTTTTTACTTTTACTCTTTTTACCCTTACTTTCTTTTTGAGGTACTTGGGGTTCAATAAACTCTTTAGTTTTAGATTTTTTAGTTCTTACTTTACCAGAGTTTCCTACCGGCTGTAACCTCGAAGAATCTTCCGATTCATTAATCGTTGAGTTACCTGAAGGATCAGCAACTTTAGATTTTTTTCCTTTGTGCTCGTCTTTAATTTTAATGACACTCATTTGCAATTCACTTGAATTTAAAGTACTGTCATCTAATTCAGCAAATGAATCCAACTGAGAGTCATTAATCGTCGAATTACTGAGGAGAGGATTTGCAATACCGTCGATTGACTTCTTTTTCTTCTTCTTCTTTTCCTCCTTAACTATACTCGTGTCTACCTCAGTATTATTTAAAAGAGTTGATTCCGACTCAATCACACAGTTAGATTCAGACGTTTTCTTCTTCTTCTTCTTCTTCTTTTTCTTTTCCTTTTCCTCTTTTATTTTGCTAGTGTCTATCATCACAGAATCATTTACTAAATTCGACTCTTCAACAGTCTGATTAGAAGAACCTAAATCTTTATCCTTGGACTTTTTAGACTTGTTCGATTTCTTAATCTCTCCATTCACAAGCTCATTGCTTTTCTCAACTTTTACAGATGACAACACAATCGGTTGATCTGGTAAATCATCATCATCACTGTCTGAAAAACCTCCAAGAATCATAGAATTTTTTGATGCACTTGTTAAAACTTTATCTATTGCCGTCATCATACAATTCTTCTCTGCTTTTTCTGAACTTTTTTCCTCCTGAACATTTTTTTTAGATTTCTTCAATTTTTTAGGTTCCTCATTATTATTCTCTAACTCTTGAGATCTAGAATTTTCTGCTGGTGAAGCTAGTGAATTATTAATTGCAGTTGGTTCAGTATTTTGAACTGTTTCAACAGTCTTAGATTTTTTAATTTTTGGTTCTTCATTAACTTTGACGACACTTGAAGGCATCGCGGGGTCACTTGTCAAAATATTAACTCCAGTATCAACTTCAGAAGTCTTCTCTTTAGGTTTCTTAGTCTTTTTAACTTTTTTAACTACAGCATCAGCTTCCTCAGATGATTGTAGCTCATGTGATTGAGTAACATCCTTAATCTTTGATTTCTTAATTTTTAATTCAGGGATAACAGGGCTTATGGATGGCTCTTGAACCCGAGAAAATCCTGGTGAGCCCAATTGCGATTCGATTATAGTAGAATTTCCTAAAGGCTTAGGTTTTTTAATCTCCTTAGATTTGGATATTTTATCTTTTTTAGCTGTATCAAAATTTGGAAGCTCTTCAAAATTGTCTTCCAATAACTCAAAATCGGTATGTTCTTTCAATTCTTCTTCTTTATAATTCTCAGAACACAATTTCATAACTGCTTGATCGATAGATTCCGCATAATATTCCCTCAACTTTTCTAACTTACTTTCTAACTTCTCAATTTCCTCGGGAGTTAAAACAACAGGCTCTTTTACTTTCGTGGTTCTTTTTTGAACTTTTTTCTCAACAGCATTTTCACCCTCTGCCTTCTCTTGGGATTCTTTCTCGACCTTTTTCCTAGGTCTTTTAACAACCGGTTTTTTGGCTTTTGCCTCAGGAATTTTTGACTCAGAATCATCATTAGGAGTGAGTAATTTTTCACGAACAAACTGACTGTGGTCACGCGGAAAATCATCTTCCTCTCCCTCTTGACTACCAACTCTACTAGACTGTGATTGATTTTCCATACTCTGGATAGCACCTTCTGCCACTTTTTTCTGACTCTTTTTCTTACAATTATCCTTGAGTTTCTTTTTGGGAGATTTATCAATAGATTCTTTCATCTCAGGAATTTCTGGTTCGTTATCACTCGCAGGAATTGGCGATTCTTGATGTGCAAAATATTGGCTGTGATCATGCATCATGTCATCATCATCATCATCATCATCATCATCATCATCATCTTTCTCTTCTTGACTACCAGTTTCACGAGACGGAGGAGATTTATCAACAAATTCTTTCATAGGAGTTTCTGGCTCGTCATCACTGCTAGGAATTGATTCTTTTTGCCCAAAATATTGACTGTGATCACGTGGTACATCATCATCATCAACATCTTCGTCATCCTTTTCCTCTTTTTCTTGACTAATTATTTTACTAGATTGCGATGATTGATCTTCGTCACTGTCAGAAATATCATGACTCGCTTTCATTTTCTTAATTTTCTTTTCAACATTGTTTTCCAGCTTAATATTGCTCCTACTAGGCAACACTTCGTCATAAATGATCCTCGGCTTATCACTGCCAGTTACCGAATGACTAGGACTTGCTAACAACTCTTGCACATTTCTTAATTCTTCTTCCTCTTTAACTTGATCATCGACTTTTAATCGTTTAATTTTCGTCTGAGTCTCTTTCTTAGGACTCACATCATCATCATTATCATGATCGCGTTTCCTTTTTTTAGCCACTTTAATTGATGACGCATAAGGTAAGTCTTCGTCTTTTACTTGTAAAATTTTATTAGGACTTTTAATCTTTTTTTTCTTGGCTTTACGCGTATGTTCCTCATCACTACCTCCCCCAGCAAGGAAACCATTGATGATTTTAGATTTAGTTTCATTCTCAGATTCTTGGTATCCGCTATCACGTTCATTTCCTCCTTCTTCATTGATTTCCTCCTCGGCAAAATCCATTTTTTCATAATTTTCGGTAGTTTCACTACAAACCAAATAGATTATTTATTATTTTAAATATTATTATTTAATAATGAAAAAAATTTAATATTATTAAAAAATAAAGTTATTTTAATCACCTTGACAGCAGCTCGCCTCGAATAAATGGAACTTTGGGTGTTAAATCGACCTGGGTGACACGGAATGTTGCCTTGTCACCAACTACAACATTATGTCCAAGCCAACACTCGTCATTTGATGGTTTCGTGATGGAAACGTTGAAAGTTTTGTGCATCAACACACCAATATAATTTGTTTCTTTCTTATTAACAATACCTGCCGATAAATCATGATTAATAATAATTAATCTCACAAATGGAATGTAGAAATAAATTAATGAACTTACCAGTGAGAATACTAGCAACTGTTGGTCGAAATATGTAAAAATCAGCTTGAAGGTCGACGTGGACGAATTGAATATCGTAATACATCTGAGTCAGCGGGCACAACATTATTGGGTTTTGATAAGAAATTAAAAGCCCATCGAAGCTGGTTAATAAAATGATAAAAATAATTAGTTTACATATTGTAATTGTTATTAAATAATAAAAAAAAAAAAGAATACATATGAATGTAGATAACCTCAACAAATAAAATATTAAATAATGTTAATTTTAAGTGAAACACTATTTTGAACAATAAATAAAGAAATAATTTTAAAAAATTAAATAAATAAATTTACCTTGAATCGAAAATATTTAACGATGAATTTAAAATATCTTTAAAAGATTTTCTAACATCACTCAAATGAATTGAGGACATTGGAATGTGTTTTTTAATTGTTTCTTTGAAAACACATGAATTTTTTTGATTTACTAAATCATCTAATTCTTTTGCGGACCAGTTTATCCATGTATTTACTTTCGGACGCATCTTAATTTTTGTTACTTATTTTACGAATAATTATTTTACTTTTAATTAGTCTTAACCTTCAAATTCACACCGCGTGGTTTTTTAAACGAAAAGAATAACAAATGACACGCGAATGCGAATGTGGGGGCGCCACTCAACTTATGGTGGGAAAAAATAAAAATATGAATATGTTCCACACAAGTAAGTACTTCAATTTTTAATCTTTTTTTTTTTTTACTGTTACTATTTAAAGAAAAATGCAATTTTAAAATTAATTAAAAAGATTAAAAGTCGTGAAAAATTAGATCAATTATATCTAAATGTCTGCCTAAAAATAAAATTTAAAATTACAAAATTAAATACGCGGTTTTTAAATCACTCACGCATGCGCAGAGTTTCTGTTTGTAGCCCCCCAGAAAAGTGTTTGTTGGTTATAAATGAAACTTTTCACATTAGATAAATAATAACAATATCAATATTTTTAAATAAATTTAATTGACAATAACAACAATTATTATTTATAGTACCGTTGAAATTTTAATAAACTTAATTAAGCATAATATGGTTGAAATGAAATTATAATGGATGTTGATCATGATTCTGATCAATCAGAAGATTTGTTTGGAGGTAAGCATTTTTATCATTTTATTTTAAGTACAATAAAAAAAAAAAAAGTGACAGCTTAATTTTAAACTGCTTATTTATATTTAGATGATGAAAATTACTTGTCAGTACGAGGCTCGAGCATTCAATCTCCAGAGATCGATGCCTCATTCAGATCATTAGCTTCCACTCAACAGTATGGATTTTCCCCATACAAGTCGTGAGTTGAATTTATTTATTTATTTTTTAATTAAACTATTTATTAAATAACATTAAAAAGTTAATAAATGATTTTCTTTTTAATTTAGAGCTATCGCTGGGCCAGAATGTCCTTCGACGCCGTGCAGCCTTGGGCCTTTCTTAACAAAAGCGCCGAACTGGACAGCTGACCTCGAAACTCCCGAGGCAAATAAAGCTCGAGTGTTGCCAAGTGTGGCAGAAAGTCCCTGTGATTTTAATCAAGAAAATATCAGCTGTAATTCTTTAAGATTAACTCCGACTGAATCAAACATCGAGGATGTGGTTCCAGTGTCGCCAATCATTCCAAAAAAGAAAAGAAAACGTCATGGCCGACGAATATTGAACAATATCTCCAATGTGACTCCAAAAAGCAGTCTCAGGAATAATTTCGACAATTCTGAGACTTCACCTAGCGTCTACTTGAGTCCAATCGCCGAAAAGTCTATAGAAGATAGGCTAAGGCTAGATGACAGTAACCGCAGTTTTTCAAGCCAAAGCTCGTATCCCAGCTCTAGCACCAGTGGAATCAAATCGGGAAACTCAGTATCACCTGTCGAACGCGTCAGAAGACTGAAAGAGTTGCAGGCGTCTAAAAATTCTTATTTAAATAAAGACGAAATCATTCAGATTGCCGATGAAGTGTTTTTTAAAGACTACTTGGCTCTGGAGGCTAGTAAATATCAATTTAGACCTCAGAGTGATTTAAAGAAGCCGCTGGGTAAAGAAGGGTTTGTTACTTTTTCGCAGTTTGTAAGAGATGACAAGGATTTAGATGCTGAAGATCATTTACCTGATGATTCTTTTCATTTCGATCAAGATTTGCCTTTCTCTCAGATTTGCAAAGATAATCAGGTGCTAAATGATAATCCCCAGCTGCCTGGTGATAATGAAAAGTCCACTGAAGTGGTTGCTAATGTAGAAAGTCCAGATTTCAAGGGATTTTCTCCAGCTTCTCGTCAGTACAGTCAAAAATTATTAAAAAAGCACAATGATTTTGCTGTCGAGTACGCTCATATGGATTTTGTGGAATCGGATGATAGTTTTAAAGGCTTTGAAATTAATGAGATAGATGATAGTGGTGTGAAAATTGCTCAAAGGTACCGTAAATTTTATGAAAATTATCTCAACGATGTTTATCCAGTAGGTAAAATAATTCGGAGGAAAAATTCTGATAAAAATATGGACGATAAATATAAGTTAGTGTCTTCGTTAAGGACGGACGTTATTTCGACAATTAAAACTGCTAGTAAAAAAGATATTTTAGTTTGTGTAAAAAATGTCGTGTCTCAGGAATTTTTGTTGCTTGGTGACATTGATGAAAAACACGATATTGATTTGCTTGTTGAAAGTAGAGTGGAATCAACGCCTGTAAAAGATAATAAAAATAAAAGTGAGGACTTTAAAAATTCAGCAGTTGATGATTTTGAGTCTTTGGAGCTTGATAATGATTTTGAGGAAGCTGTTTCAAGAGTTGAATCCACAGGATTTGATACTTTTAATGGTAATCTTTCAAAAAATGAACAGAATAATAATACTAAGTGTAAAATAAATTTAGAGAGCGGCTTTAAACCCGTTGTAGTTACCAGTAACTCGGAAATAAATAGTATTGGTAAGGTAAAATTTAAACAACCGGTGATAAAAAAATTACCTAAACAAAGTACAAATGTAAATAGTTGTAATTTAAATGATAGTATTTTTGAAGATTTAAATTTTGAGATGCCGAGTGAATTAAGTGTGGGCTTTCAAACCGGACGGGGAAAAAGCATCAAAGTGGCCGATAACGCAATGTTGAAGGCTAAAAATATAATGTCTGATGATGAACTGAATAAAATAAATTTTGAGAAGAGGGATAAAGTGAACGGCGCTAAAGAGTTTACTGAGCCAGTGGCTTCGACCTCTGGGTTTCAAGTGGCTTGGAATGAAAAAAGTGGATTTGTTGGTAGGAATATTTTTACAAGCAGAAATAAAAGTAATGTGAGGGAGAGCGAGAAGAGTAATATTTTTGATGAAGACTTTGGAGATTTGCCGATGATGGGATTCACTACAGGAGCTGGTAAAAGTATTAAAATTACGGAGAGTGCTATGACGAAAGCACAGGTAGCCTTTACTAAAGATTTAGAGACTGAGGATCCTGAAAGTGAAATTATAGCTATAAAAAACAAAAAAATTTCTTCGGAGATTAATGATTCTAGAGGCTCATCAATTAATCCGATGATGGTAGGGTTTCAAACGGGAGCTGGTAAAAGTATTAAGGTAGCTGAGAGCGCGATCTCGAAAGCGCAGGTAGCATTTGCTAAAGATTTAGAGACCGAAGATCCTGAGGGTGAAATTATCGCAATGAAGAGCAGAAAAATTGCTTCTGAAGATAAAAGCTTAAGAGGCCCATCGATCAGTCCAATGATGATGGGATTTCAAACGGGAGCTGGTAAGAGTATTAAGGTGGCTGAGAATGCAGTCTCGAGAGCGCAGGTAGCATTTTCTAAAGACCTAGAAGATGAAAATCCTGCAAGTAAAATTCTGGAATTGAAACAGAAGAAATTAAATCAACGATATTCATTTCCTGGGCCAAGTACTTCGAAGTCAAGTAAGTCAAGTGGGTCTACATTTGGATCTGGAGGCTTGTTGATTAAAAATTCAGCATTTATTAACAATGCGCACAAGCGTAAATCCGATGACGAAACACCGGCAGGCAGAAAGCGTCTTTGCTTAGGATTAGACCTGCAGAAGCGCAAACTTTTTAATGATATTGAAGAAGAGGACGAAAGTTTGCGGGAGTCAGCAATGATGTGTGAACCAGACCCAGTTAGCAGTGATCGTAATCTTGAAGGCTCAACGTTGCAAGCAGAAAGAATAGACACTAATGTCAATTTAAATTCTAGTAACACCATCAATGACGAGGTACGTGCGAGCGTTGTCGCGCTGCTGAATGATGACATTGACTTTGAGGCCGAAGACACGTGGACTGAAATTAATAGTGTAAATAAGCAACCGTGGAGCGGCAGCTTGGAAGGCTCTAACCGAGATAGAGAACAAGACCATTCAAAACCTGAGAAGAGGTCCAAGTCTTTCCCAGGTTCAGTGCCCAAATCTTTAAACCCGGACTCTATTCCTGAGGATATATTCTTTGAGACCCAGTTTTCCCAAGAAAATAGTTGTAACTTTGAGGATATTCGCGAGCAACGAAAGACTGCAGTTTTTGAGCAAGAGAGAATAATCGAGGCCAAAAAGAGACTCAAAGAAAAACCTGTCGTTGGGTCTTGGTTGAAATTCAAGCAAGCTGATAAAATTTCTTTGGCTCGATATTCAAGTGATTCCGCGCCGGAATATTGTTCGTTCGAAGAAATGGAAACTAAAGGATTGGATCCTGTAATAATGACAATTACTTCAGCAACAGCAAGTACTTATAGATTTACTTGTGCGTATTTTAGAGATCTGAGGACTAAGATCAGTGTGCCAGTCGGTGACGGAGCTGTTTTGGTACCTGATGAAAAAAATCAAGCGGGTATCAATGAATTTAAGAGTTCTTTTCTAGCAAGTCCGGGTGTTGATCCCTCGTTGTTGCCACAAGGTTGGTTTGAGAACCACTACAAGTGGATTGTGTGGAAATTAGCCTCCATGGATCGCGTAAGATTCAACAACAGTAACTCCTGTATGAATAACAAATTTCTTACACCTGAAATACTGATGAAACAGCTGAAGTATCGCTACGACCGCGAGATTGACAGATCCGAGCGTCCAGCTCTGAGAAGAATTACAGAAAAAGACGACCCACCTTCACGGAGACTAGTTCTTTGTGTCTCGAGAGTAATAAAAGACACGATTGAATTGACTGATGGCTGGTACTCGATTCCAGCAAGTGTTGACTCGGCAATCCAAGCATATATTTCTTCTGGGAAGTTAAAAGAAGGCACGAAATTGATGATCCAGGGAGCTGAGCTGCTGAACCTCGAAGAAGGCCGGTATCCGCTGGAAATAACGAAAGACGTACGTCTTAAAATTCACACTAATTCAACGCGTCGTGCTCGCTGGGACACTAAACTCGGGTACCAGCGATCTTGCGGTCCGCTGACCGTGACTCTGGGCTCGGTAAAGTCAAACGGCGGGGCAATCGGCAAGTTGATAGTCGCGGTATCGAGGGTATATCCAATTTTGTACCGCGAGAAAACGAGCGATGGCCAGTCAATCGTACGCAACGCTAAGTGCGAAGAGAAAGCTGCGTTGGCTTTTGAAGCAGAGTGTCAAAAACGAATCGAAGCGATCTGCTCGACTGCTCGTTCCTTCAGCGACTCTCAGGCTTCTACGGCAAAATACGAACTGGAGACTCGTGTGAGGAATAATTTACCGAATCGCAGGAATGTCACGCCGATATTGAAGGTCAAAATAGCGGACGGCGGTCTGTCGGCAATGTTGACGATCTGGTCTTGCAATGAAGAACTCCTGAGTAGCCTGAAAGAAGATACGTGCATTAGTATACGGAACGTAGTCGCGGGAGGACGCAGGGCCAATGAACTCCAAATAACAGCCGGCAAATCAAGTGCCTTCGAACGAGTACCCGGTAGGATTACCTGCTCACCGCGAGCTTTTACTTCGATAGAAGAAGCGTCTCAACGCGGCTTCAATCCAGTCTACGGAGAATTTGATACCGTGGGTATTGTCGTGTCAACTGGACCAGCACCTCACGGGATGAAGAACTACGAGACCGTTAATTTGGCATTCAAGAATCGAGGAGAGGATGGTGATGATAATGATAATGGGGACTCTTCATCTTATCTGTCGATCTTGTTCTGGGAAAATATCGCGTCGAATGGATTCGCCGGAATAGCAACAGTAGGATCTATTATTGCTTGTCTGAATCTTGAGTGGCGGAAGAGCACGTATCTAAGTATACCAACAGCTTTTTGTTCCGAGCGCACATTACTGACACGCAATCCACGACAGCCTCATCTGAGACACGCATTCGACGCTCTCAGTGCTAGAATCCGTGACCCGATATCATACGCCGCGGAATGCGCCAAGGCAATACAACTGGAGGTCGAAAAAAAATCACCCAAGCCGAGCCACTCTACGCCTAATGCGGATAAAAGGTGGTCCAATTGCTGGACTCCCGACCGCGATAACAATCTCGTTAATCCCGATAGTATTAATAAAAATGATTTGAGGAAATCTGCGATTTTAAATAGTCGCGACAGAGTTCGCTGGCACGAAGCGCACGAATCTTCTATTTTATACATTTCAAACTCTCCGAAAATAAACAACTCACTTAACATTAATGTTAATCGGTCCAAGCCATAATAATTTTATCATTGTTGTTTATATTTGTTTAAATATTTTATAATAAAATATTGTTTACCAGTTTAGTTAATTTTTTTTCTTCTTTGATATAAAAATTAATTTTTAGATCTTAAAGTTTTATTTTATAGCATGCGTACCTAATTTATTATAAGAATTTTCATTACTCATTGAAAGGTATAAGTTGTCGATCAATATTAATTATCTAATATAATAATCTCAGCTTCTGTTGAATGTTAATCGCTTTTGTTTGTGTAACATACACATATGCTCAGAAAATAATTACAGACTTTCTTTCTCTCTTAAACTTCACAGCTAGAGTCTGCTTAATCCGACGACCGATGGAATAATAAAAATAAACTCTAATAAAGAGTCAATTTTATCGGACACTAACGGTACATTAGTTTTTAACAAAAATTTTATAAAAAAAATTCTGACTTATTTTTTCACTGAATGATTTAGTGTGTACTTATAATAGAAAAGAATAATTTTATTCACAATACGTGACATAGAATATTTAAATAGAAATAAGTTAGTTATAGAGATCTAAAAAAATGAACTTTTAAAATTAGTTTTTGATAGTAATAAAACACCCGAGTCATTTTAAATTTCAAAATTATAAATAGTAAGTTCAACCATTTTTAGAAGTCGTTTGCGTAATTTCAATTTAAAACTCATATCTTTTTATTAAAAAGCCGAACAAAAGCCGACATCTGAAAGTTTTCATACTCGTACAAATAAAAATTACGTATTTTTTTTTTTTTTTATCGATCCGAATCAAAATAATAAACTAACCTGATTCTAATACAAATACAGCTACAATGACTTAAAAGTATATAATTATGTACGGTTGAAACATCTGCATCAGGAATAGCAGATGTTTCTCTGAAAAATTTCACACTTAAAAAAAATTTCATTTTTTTTAGGATAAATTTTTGGTTTGCTTAGCATTTAAGAATGATCTACGATCGAAAAAATTATGAATTATAATTAAAAATGATTAAATTTATTATATTCTTAGAATTATTCATATTTCTTCTAATATAACTAGCCATATTATTTCGTCATACAGTTTTTGTACTTAAATTTTAACGTTGATTTTTCCTAGTCATGTAGCTTCTGAGTTATTTACCAATTTCATTTCACAAGTACTTACACTTAAAGAAACATAAATACTCGTTTTGTATAGATTAACATTTCAAAAAATATATAATAGCCAAGACGCAATCTATGATTTACAATAGCTCTAACTGAATTCTCAAAATATTGCTGTACCTTACGATACTATATGCATACCTACTACTTAAACCATCGATGGGATTATCTACATTGTAATAATTCCTAAGTACACTCAAGAATGAGCAAAATTAAAGGTACAGGTAATTTTGGTCGTGGGAATTGGGTACTGAGTTTATTGAGCACAATCATAAATGTAGTAAAACAAAATTCAACTGACTGACCTTTCTGCAGAAGTCTAGTCTGGACGTCGAAGATTAAAAATTTAAAAAGCCAGGTAGGAAACTAAACCCTAAATCGTAAATTACAATTACCAATGCGGGCTACGTCTGTGATTTATTTTAATTTTACAAACCTGCCTCTAAAATTTCTGTCTTTTTCTGAAAGTACTCGTTCCGGCGTGGTCACACCATGTTGAATTTGCACGCATTAAACCTCCGTAATTTTTCAATTGAATAATTAAAATAATAATTCAAAGTATGATAAGTATTTTAAAAAACATTTTAAATTATTTTTTATTAAATTATGTCTATTATTATTTATTAAATAATTAAATAAATTCTGCAACTTTCTTAGATGCGCAAGCGCCCATTTTAAAACCCGCGCATGCGCAGAGCGGCGGAGAGTTAAACACAAGCACGCCGTTGTATTTTCCATCAGTGCCGTTTCACATGTCTTGTTGTAATGTTCTAGGTCTAAGTAGACCTTAATAATAATCTACATATTTATTATTCACTAATAATTAAATTAATTAGTCTTTGTTCAGCCGTCACAATGTTCAATGGTTAATAATTAATCGTGAGATATCTTCTGATGAAAATCCGTGTGTCAGTGATGTGATTATCATTAAAAGTGCTATTTTCTTGGCTGTTGAATAAATAATAATTAAATTTATTAATTGGTTATACATAATGGAAAAATCTGTGGAAATTGGTCGTGTTTCCGCGAGTGATGTGTCTATTAGTCAAATATTCAAGAGCTCATTCGCCAGGTCTTTTGTTTCAAACTATCACGACAACAAAATTCTGGATATGGATTATTATAATGATAGGCATGATATTTCTACATCTAGCGTCGACGAGTATTTGGATAATTTACAAACGAGCCTGCAGGGCCAAGTTACGATTAATAACACTTCCGGCAATGTAAGTAATTAATTATATTTTCTCAAGTATTTCAAAAATTTCTCTGTCATTTTTTTTAGTCATTAATTAAACAACTTTTCTTCTTCAACTTTTTTTTTTAATTAAATAATTAGTTTTATAAACGTCTAGACCATTAATTAAAACACAAAATTTTTAACAAAAAATATTTTTCATGACATTAAAGTTAGCAGTTACTTTTTTTTAATTTTATTTAACAAAAAAAATTTGTTCCAAAAAATCATTTTTTAAAAATTGCTTAATAATTTTCACGTCAATTTTTTTTTGCCATAATTTATATGTTATATAATTTTAAAAATTATTAAATTAATTTTCATATATTTTTCAGGCTTCGAGCCCGGAACTAGACGAACACAATCTCCGCAAGGTATGATAAAATTATTTTTCTTATTTCTCAGTATTACTGTCTTATTATTTTATATCCATTACTGTTTAACTAATTTTATTATTACTATGTATATATTTCTATGTAAGGCCCTTAGGGTAAGCCCTAAGGCTTCAGGGTCTAAAAAAAATTTGGTAAATAAATAAATAAATAAAGTTATTAAATATCAATAATAACTATTAAATAAATTGATAGCCGATAGTAAGGTTGATAGTAATTGCCGGTAATAGGAGATAAATAAGCGTGAAAGAATGACTGTACTTTGAGTAGTTAAATCGCAGTTATGTTATGTTCTGTTGATGAGGTATGTATTGGGTGGTGTAGTGCGTTGAATGGGTTCTGATGTTCTGAAAGAAAGGTCGATGACGGTAGACCACGAACAAAGGGTTATAACCGTGTACGATAAGGGGCCGGTTTCCGGAACAGGTGCCAAACACGACACATCCTTTCTCCTTCTCTCCTACAGTTGGTTATTTTTTAGTCATTGTTATTCTTTTATTCGGCTGGAGCTGTGAGTATTTCTTCGTACTGGCAGACAAAAGGAACAAGGCCACCAGCTACAGAAAACACCATATACACAATATACAAGAACACGTTACTTACATGACAACTAAACTACCACGTGCATCTTTAATAAATAGTTACTCGGCTGTTAACTCTGAAATCCCGTCGTTGGTATTCAATTTAAAGTTTTATATATTTATATATTTATAATAGTAATTTTATTAATTTTATTAATTTTTTTTTATCAGAATCCTGATACATTGTACGTTTGTATAAATGATATAACTAATATCTTGCGTATATTGCAAGTGAAAGGACAAAAGTACTGGGTAATCGTCAGTTGTTTCGTTGTGAGCAGGAAGTTCGCTCCAGCCCCTCCTTTAATTATCAACGACATAGGTACACATGATATTGTGTCCCTATGCTCTTCCAGTATTTTACTTTTACATGTTTATGGATTTAATATAATATTTCGAGTAGATTTTATATAAACTCACAACAGTCGAGAAAAAATTGTTGCTTTTATTTTATCCGGAAGCCTGGTTGAACATGAACATTGATCAAACAATTTTATAAAATAGTTTCAATAGTTTTCTGGATAAATCTACAAGCGATTTAATATTTATACAGTGTACTTAGTGCTAATTATCCTCCATTATTGTTTCACTTCTAAACATTAAATTGGAGGCAACACTGCCGGTGTGCAGTGTGTTGTTTGCTATTTATAATAATAATAATAATAATAATAATAATAAATATGTACAATGCAAAATGTTAAGTACAAGATAAAGACAGAACAATTTGCGAGAAGGTCGTAAAGTCGAGTGAAAGCTCTAGTCTTTTACTCTTGACAATAAAAAGATAATAAAAAAATACTTACAAAAAAGAGTTTGTTCCACTGGAACGTAACCAGGACAAGAGTAATAACTGGAAATTGTCGCAATTGCCAAAACCACGTTATATTGTTTTTAAAATTAGAGAAAACAATATAATGAGCAAGTTGTAAAAAATGAAGGATAGAAGCTAAAAAAGCCACATCATTACCCCTGTGGTTTTGAGAGTGAAAATTTGATTATTTTCATCTTTAGAGGCTTAGATAATTTATTATTTAAATACTCTGAATTCGCGGTTAATTGTTTGGCCTTTGTTTTTATTTTTAATATACATAAAATTAAATTGAATTAACAAAATAATGGGTTTATAATACAAATAAAAGTGGGAAAGCATGCGCGGAGCACAATGTAATTTCCTAATGTAATGTAACTATAACGGCAAGTAACGTAGTGCTGGCGGCAACTAGTATGTATGATGTTGCTGGATCATTAATATGGAGAAAGCACGCGTTGTCTTGAGAGCTACAACCCGATGCGAAAGAGCTGGAGATTTCAAGAAGAAGATTTGCTGCAACGGTAATCTTAAATTTTTTATCATGCTTTTTTGCGTGACTTTTTTTATCCTCGGGTTCATAACGTTAATGTATGATATAGTCTGCGTACATCCGCACTGTCTAGATACTAGTCGCTATAACTACTATATAATATGTACACTAGATCTACGAAATACAAATGTATGGTAAATATATTTAACGAGGCGCAGGAGCGTGGGAAGAGCACCTGCTGTGTTGTATGCTCTTGCTCATACAATATCAGTTATTTTATTTTATTTTATTTTTTTTTTTTTTTTTAGGTTCGTGTGTGTGGATGGCATTATGAATAAAGAAATGGAGTGAGATGATAGATACGAGCTGATTAATCGATATGATGGGAATGAGGTTTGACAAGAGATACGCGATATATTATGCTCATTGATGCATTCGTACTTGTATTACATCTAATATATTATGTCAATGCTATTTTATTAGCTGGTTTTATGTTATTGATACAGATTATGCGATAACGGAAGTCTTTTTTTTATTTAGATTAATAATTTCGGAGACAATTGCTTAAATTCTGGTTATAGACAAATGAATTAAATTTTTTTTTTTTTTATAATGGTCAACAAAATTTTCGTAATCACTTATACTATTAAAAAGTGATGAAATATTTTCATTGTTGTAGCTTTGAATTATTTTTGATAGTCTAAAATTTTAACTAGATATTCTGTTGTAAATAATATTGAGAATAATTTTATTTAATTAGAAATTTTTAGAAGAAAAGAAAAAACAAATAAATTCAACAAAATTTCTAAGCAAAAAAAATTAATCTAATTCAATGAAAGTAACCAATTACATTGGGGAAAAAAAAAAAAAAAAAAAAAAATTCTTACCTTACTTGAAGCTAATCTAAATCCTTAAGATAAAATTCCTGCAGAAAATAACTTTAATCTCAGGATAACAATCTAAATTTTTACCTTGTACTTCACAAAAATTACATCTTATTAAATTATCATACGTGTGGTTAAAATGTCTAAGCATATGGGTTTTATCAGTAGGTATATTTTTCTAACGGGTATTACTTGGGTACTAGCGGCTCTGGCACCAATTCAATATCTATTGTTTATTTATCTAACCGGTGATTAACGATTTTAAAAGTATGAACAAGCTTTTTCATATGGGTTTTATCAATCAGATATTTTTCTAACGGATATATTATAACTTTTACCCCAATTTAAATAAATTTATTTATCCAGCTTAATGATACTTAAATACCAGGATTTATGATTAACTTAATTAGTAAAAAAATAAATAGGATAAACTTGTTATTGTTTAGTAAGTGTGTCTTTGATAGATACATAGCATCTCGGTTTAGTTTATATTTTATTAATACATTTTCTTGATGTAAAACGTCTGGACAACTGGAGCGTACGACGGAACGTTGTTCCGAATAACGATGAAAACGGAGACATGAAAAGAAAAAAAAAAATTCTTTCAATAATTTATAAAACTTAATCCCCGTAAAAATAGCTTTCAAATATTTTATAATAATAACTAACTTTATATTATTAAATATTAAATAAAATAATTTAAACTGTGACAACTTAATAAAAAAAAATAAAGTGTGAATAGTCGGGATTTCTGTTTATACATTTGATTGGATAGTTTATAAAAACAGACAGTCAATAACCGCAAAACCCGACTTAGAGTAATATAACTCAACTCCACTCCTTATACCTATTACAATTATTATTATAACAACGATTGGTTGTTGCAGAGGAATCGAAAGGAGATAAGTAACAAAAACATTTGAGAAGCAAACAGATTTTCCTGGCATTCCTGCCTGCTATACGTATACTCTCCAGTTGTTATATTCTTGTTTTATATAAATAGTATATATAAGATATACTTTAAGTACACCGTCTACTGTACATCCTATCCCAAAGTATATATAATAATATAATAAAAGTACTATCTGGTATTATATCGTGATGAGAGATGTGTAAGTATCTACTCTAGTGTATCCACCAGTTCAAGAACCGTTCAACCGAGTTAAAGTTAAGTGTTAAGGCACGAGTCTTGGCTACTCTCTGAGTAGAGAAGCAAACCCAGTACAGCTACGAGTAGAGATTGCTTTCCATTCCCAATGGAATGCACCAAAAATAAGTTTTCATCTCTTATATACAATCATACCGACTATTTTCAGATTCGTCGGCGCATTCCTCCCGCCTTTTTATTATCTCAATCCTTTTTTTATCTCCCACTATTCTCAATAAATTTCAAATGAAATGATTCCAAAAAAAAAAAAATAAGAAAAAAAGCGGGTCAGTTGGTTTTTAAATAAAAATTAAAATGATTTCATATAAATTTTTTCCGTAAAAGTCAAACAAACGCGCAATATGCCAGTAGCCCTTGCCCTGATTACAACTTGCTGTAAATATATCCACATGTATATACAGGTACGCTGAATAATTCAAGCAGTGACCGTATCAGATGACGTCATGATATAGTATTCAGCCACGGTGGACGGTTCAGGGTGAGCAACCATGCATAACACCATCCGCTTGCGGGCGACGTACGACTCCGCGAGTCGCGACTCAACGGCTAAGCTACGCGCGATTCGTTAATTTACATATTCATTGATACCAGGATTCCTAAAAATAAAAAACCTAAATTATATTATCAAAGAAGAGACAGACATTAAATTAAATAATTAATTAATTTAAAATTCATCATTATAGCTTATTGTTAAATATTTAAAATTGTAAACTGTACTTGGCTATTTTCTCACACTTTAAGCAAAAAATATTTATAAATCCATCAGATTCAAAAGTGACTTCTATCCAGAAACGGTCTTTCATCATGTTTCTATACCTTTCTCATGATCTTATCAGGACGTACCCGTTGCCGGATAGATCTCGCAATTCTTCTCTTACTCTTCAGCTCTATTGTATGGTAATACAATATGTAATGCGTTTACTTCATATCAAACGTGTAGGTTTTTTAAATATTTTAAATATTTAACACCATCATCTCGTCTGCTGATTGTCTTCCCTGAAAAATACGAAGATTGTAGAAGAAAATTATTAATGGAAGGATTTCCCAAGTTTTTATATATATATAATTATAATTATAATGAATTTTAAAAAATGACTGGCGTTAATTGATAATTAATTTGTATGAACAATTAATTTATTTGGGTGTATGAATCGCGTGGGATGAGAAGTGAAAGGCCTTTGTTCGTAAGGTCATCCAAGCGTTGCCTGTTATTTGTATTTTATTTATTTTGTTTTTAACTTTTTATTATTTAGTATATACCTACCTGCTATCAATTTTATTTATTTAATACTGTAGTATATAGTATCTTTAATATTATATTACATTATCTAATGATTGTTTTGTTAAACAGCAATGCCAGGTGTTAAGTGAAGAAAATAAGCGGTTGCAGAATGCACTTGCTCTTCAAGAAACCTCACAGATTGATTCAACTTATCTTCAGAATCAGGTTGATACTCTCAAATGGCAATTGAAACAGGTAATTTATTATTTATTTATTTATTTATTTATTTATTTATTTATTATTTAACTAGGTATGTATCAATCACTTGCTTCGGGAATTTAAATTTGTTTATATTTTTTAGTAAAATAATTTTAAATTTACATACGAGCTTATCCGCTATTTTGTTCTTATGGAATTTTTTAGTTTTGTATATTGACAACTTTGTAATTAATTAAAATTCTATTAAGTTTAAAAAAATATTTATTAATATAGAAATAAATTATTGAAGATATTTATTCAATCAATTTTTTTAAAACTTATCCAAAAATTAAAACACTAAAGATTTATCTTGATGTTTAAAATAAAAAACTTCTCATTTATTATTGTAGAATAAAAGAAACTAATTGTTTATTATTTTACTGAGTTAATTTATTAATTGTATGTAACTTTTAATTGGCAGACTGAATCAAGCCGGCAGATGTACAGATCATTGATGAAACAAGTGATAAATTTCTTGGAGCGGGCGCAAAAAAGCTGGGATATACTTCACGCGAGTAACAGCACCACCGGGCAGCGAAGTAAAAGTACCACACGTAATAGCCGCAGTCAGATAATATATCCTGAGGATTTATCAATTAACTCGTCAGTGCACCAGAGATCAGTTCGCTCACCGAGTCCTACTTCTACCAGTAAATTTAATCGTGCAAAATCAGTGGCGCAGATTTCATCAGCACATTCATCGGGTTTCCGTGACTTTACTTGGTCGGTGCTGAGACGCAATGACCCCTCGCAATCGCAATCGTCATCGCCATCGGCTTCCACCGCGTCTAGATCCAGCAAAACCGCAGATCATCGCTCATATCCACCGCAACCGAGTTTTAATAAATCAGATGGTACTATTTCGAAATCTACAGAGAGCAATTCTGTTGAGAAAATTGAAAGTGATCACATACCACCGGAGAAATTATCTCAGGAAGCATTTAGGTATTTTTTAATCTCTCGTTAATATTAGCGATGATAATAAATTAAATATAAATACTGTTTAATGATTATAATAATAATAATAATAATAATAATAACAGTAACAATAGTAATAATTTATTATTCTTGTGCTATTTTTAGACAATGCTTTTTGATGATCATAAAATTCAATGATTTTGAAACATCATAACTATAATTGATGTAAATTAATTAATTAAATCACATAAATCAATTTTAGATTTAAATTAATATTAGAAACGGCAATAAAAATTTTTATTTTATTTAAAGTAATAAATAAGAGTTTTTAAAGAGCAAGAATTAAATTTATAAAAAATTAATGTTGATATTTGAACTCAATACTTGTTGAAATAGCAATAAATATAGAATTATTATTATTATTATTATTATTATTGTTATTGTTACTATAACTATAACAACATTTATTATTATTGTTCTTATTTGTGTTAATGATAATTATATATTTTCTAGATTGTTAAGAACCGCTGAGTCACTGTTAGCGATGCGAGAACCCGACTTATCATTCTCGTCATCATCATCATCATCAAGAAACTCATCATCATCATTAACTGCATCGGCTGTCACCGGTGATGATGAAAATACCTCTGCCTCTATTATAATGGACTACACGCAGAGCCCGGACGGCAGTAAATCCACCAACTCGATCAACCTCGACGATTTTTCCCGAATCGAGGATTGTTTATCAATAAACGAGCGAGAGCCAGACAATAGACTCAGTAGTTTCCACAAGTCAAGCATGGATATGTCTACTGGGAGCACGAGCACTCTGCAGCCATTTTCAAAAAGTTTTGACTGCGCCTCCGAAGAAGAAGAGCACCATAGTATTAGTTTTAGCGTCAATATACAGAACAACATTAATAGTAATGACAAAAATATGAGTAACATAATGAACGAAGTAAGACAATGTACTTCAACGCCAAATTCGACAGTCAACAGAAGAGCCAAGTATAATTCACCAGCAGCAGAGACCAAGGATCAAAGAGACTCGAGATTAAAAGAGAAACCTACCAGCATTAGCAGCGCTGAAGATGAAAGTGGTTTCTCTTCAATGAATTCGTTCCAAGATGTTGGTCTTCCCCAGCTGACAGTCAGACCAGCCACACCAGTTAAACCAGCTGGATATCATCACTCTGAAGTAGGGCTACCTGACGTGCCCTTGGACCGAATTAATCATCGCAGGTGGTCATCAACTCCCGCGGAAATTCAAGCGATGTTTCGACGTTACAAGAATACATATTTATCGAACCAGTCGTCCAACGCTGAAACTCTCAGTGTTTGGGTCTGAGTATTATCATTTAAAGAATCCACTATCCAAGATATTTAGTGATTGTAAATAAATAAATGTTTATGTTTTTGCATACTTACGTGATTTAAAATTTAAAAATAAATTATATGTATCTGCAATATTAAGAATAATATTTATAATAATTAATCTGATATGCGATGTATGAATTGTAAAATTGTTATTACCGACAGTCGAGTAGCTGGTGGTCTTCACACTCGATTAGAAATAGGTTCTAGCTCTATAATAGCTCCGCGCGAACTATCATCCATCAAAAAAGTGATTACAGGAGAAGTAAAGGTTCTGGTCTAAGTTTAGAGTTGTCTAGTCCGGTCGGACTCGAGGATGCTCAGGATGCTCTGCTCTAGAGCTCTAGAGGGTAGATAGAGCCTAGTTGCAGCTACCGCTAAACAGATGGCGGTATAATTATTAAAAGTATCCTCAGTTTAGATTGATTTTCAACAAGCTCGTAAGCTCGTACATTATACATCGTGGCTGAATGTTATTTTAATGTCCCTCACGACGGAACGGACCGTGAGGTGAACTCTCAACGAGAGTGTGAGTGATACGCGGTCCGTTTCGGGTGTGCTCGCTCCGTTCGCGGCTCGCGGGGCCTATCCTCAGCCTACCGGTGGCCAAAAAAAATTTTTATACGTGGATTTTATTACACCGGCAGTTCATCACCTTCTTTATCGTCTCTCATACTCTATCAACTTTCAATACTCTTTCTTTATTTATTCAAATCACCAGTTTTTTAACTCAATACTCAGAGTTTAATCAAAGTGCTGCCTTACATAGTTTTTTTTTTCAAATTTATAAATAATAAAATAGTTATAATAATAATAATAATAATAATTATAATAAAATTGCATTATTTCGATAACAAATTTGCCGAGAGACTGGTGATTTATTTTCTTGTGTTTCCGTTTCGTTCTCCCTCGTACATATTATTTTATTAAAATATACATACACATACACATATATATTAATATATATATAGATATATATATAATTAAATACCCTATCTCTTTTTAACTCGTGGTGTTAAGGCTTAGTTTGTGGCGCAGTGCGTGAAATGAGCGACAAGGACCGTTCATCTCCCACCCTGGTTGAAAACGGCCTCAAGTCACTACTTGACCAGCCCAGTATTTTTCCGCTGATCGGTGAGTACACATTATTTATTAACTATTTATTTAATAAATTAATCGAGTGATGATTAAATCCAAAGTCTGCTGGTAAAAAAAAAAATTATTTTAAACCGAGCTCCGAGTCCTAAAAGTATTAAAGCTATCTTATTGGTTTATATATTTATTTATTTTAATACCGCGCAATTCAGCTACTAGAGCGCTAGTGAGTACTTTTTGTTTTGTTTATAATTATATTAACTAACGCATTTTTACGATTAGACATTGATTGCTATTGCTCCGGTTGTCGGTCTAAACATGAAAATAAAGTTAGCCGACATTTAAAAAATTATTACAAAAAAAATTTTTTTTCATTTGTTAAAAACTTCAAAAACTACAAGTGCAATTTTTAAAAAATATTTTTTAGTTGTAATTTAATAAATTAAGCAAAATAAAAAAATCAAAAATGTCGGCTGACTTTATTATTATGGTCTAAACTGCAGTTCTCCAGGAGTTGAGTGATAATGATGATTTAAATGTGAGGTGGCAGGATTAATTAGCAAGTTTTAAGTCAAGGAAAATATAATTAAGACCAAAAAGCTGTTGATGATGATGGTAGTGATGGTGATGATGATGATGATGATGATACTGGTGGTGGTTGATTGCGCCGGCGCTAGAATCATACTGTTAGATTAACCTCGTTCGCAGATCCGTGGCAAACCACGTGACTCTAAACGGAGTATGTAGCATGTAGTGTACAGTATAACTAACCTGACCTTATCTAGCTTAACTGTGTGTATGCTCTTTACTCTTGTACTTTAGATCTTGCTCTCTGTACTATCTCAACAAGTTAACTTAACCGGATTCATGATTCAAGCAATACAACGTTTAGTTGTGCTCAACTAGACAAGTTCTATTCCAATAATTGGGCAGCATTAATACCACCAATTACACGGGAGAGTCTACAGACTTTACTTGAGAGAGCCCAAAGTCCATTTTAACTGCATTTAGTTATTTGTTTTTAAATTGTTCCTCCAAGGCTCTACTATTATATCTAGTAAGAAAAAATTAATACACACGGTCTTGCTAGATCTACAGCTGTGTGAGTTTAAATAATTTTAAATGCTAAGGAGCTTCGATCAAACATTCCGCCGTCTCTTGGTTGGTGTCACACTTGATACGTGATATCGTGTGCTGATATATAATATAAAAAAAAAAAAAAAAAAAAAAAAAAAAAAAAAAATAAATCCTGCGCTCAGTTGGAATAATTTTATTTCTTCAGATAACACAAAAAATATTTTTATTAAACGTTTATCTGATGAATTTTTTTATTGCGTCTCTTTAAATTTTAAATTTTAAATTTAACTTGAGTGTTTATCTTAAAGTTATTTTTTTTTTCTAACAAAACCAAAGCACAGCTGTATATATTTTTATTTTATAATTTATTATTTTTTTCTAGTCGCTGCAGTGTTCAAAGCTCTATTGAGAAATTTCGAGCAATGTTTATTGGAGTATAGAGTAATATGTTATGAGTTATTTAAGTCAAGTTGATGGACAGCGGTAAAAATAGTTTAAACGACAACGAAAATTCAGTTTTTCTTTTCCTGTCTTCTTCTTCATTCCTCGTGACGTTCAAACACGGTTTTATTTCTTCTTCATAATCATCATCATAATCCTCCAAGTCTCAGTTGTGGTCTTCGACGTATAGTAGACTTGCTCGCTCTTGATCATCATCATCATCATCACTTCTCTTAACTCACCAGATTAATTTCGAGTATACCCAAAGAACACAACTCGAATGTTTGGGTCCAAGCCAAAACTTATGCCAGGTTTCGACATATCCCGCGAGATAGATATTTTCGGGTTAACGCGCGTAGCCTTTCGTCATTTACTGTCAACTATATACCATTTTAATCTATCATATTTTATATATTATACCAGTATTTATATTCTTCCTTTCAATTTTAATCCCATTTAAACCAAATATTTGCTCCAATCATCTTAATAACAATTAAAAAAAAAAAAAATTACCATAAAACTCAAAATAAAAAAATATTCTTGATAAAAAATTATAAAAAAAATCCAAAATTAATGTCTTTTTGTAAAAATATTCTGTGTATATATTCATATAAAAATAACGCGAGTACAAAACGCATTATTAAGACTATGATTAGGCAGCAAGGCCACGCAGGGCCGTATAAAATATTCAAAAAATTATCCACAACTAGGAGATTTACCCTTGCTTCGTTTTTTGGACTTAATTTTCTTCTTAGTTAATTTACTTTTATCAACCCTCAGGTAAACCAAGCAATCTTCGTCCTTCTTCTTCTTGCCTCTTTTGGTCTTTTTGCCTCTCCGACCTTTCATACTTTTCCTGCTTCCCCTTCCCCTTCTTCCTCTTGTGCCGCGCTTTTTGGATCTGGATTTTTTTGAGCGCCGGCGCTTAGATCTGGATTTTTTTCGGCCCCTCCGGCCGCCTTTACTTTTCCTCGATTTTGTTTTGCGACCGAATTTCATCCAAGAACACGGTTCTGTCACTTCAGTACTGGTTGGGTCTTTTATAAACTCTTTATTGCAAGTATATGTGCCTCTAGATAAATAAATAATTGATTAAAATTATTTAATTAAAAAAAAAAAAAAGGAATGAACTAAAATTGTAATATAAGAGTAACAAACCCGGCATTCCGTTGTAATATTCCATAAGAAACACCACGGCGAAGTGCTAAACGCACTTGTTTTCTTATTTCTTTAGACGGTACGTCATACTCTTGTGATAAATAGTCTGTTATTTCTTTTGGCGAGGATCCTTGGAGATCTTGCAACTTTTTCAGCGCGCCCACTACTAATTTTTCAAATTTTGCGGTTTTATTGGCCATTATTAGTCTTCAATAATTATTTTTATCAATCATAAACCCATACTTTATCTTAAAAAATTATATTAACTTAAACTTTCAATTTATTTCATATTTTACGGTGAAATTTTGATTTTTTGACGGGTAATATTTACCGTGACCATGGAAACCCTTTTTTGCGCTCGTCATTTTAATTAAATAAAGTTATATAGGTTAATAATAATTAATTCTATAAAAAGCTTAAAATTTAAATATTTAAATTTAGAAAAGAAAAGCAAAAAATTTATTCTGTTTGTTTTCAGGTAAGTTTGATTTGATTCTCAATAATTAATCTATTGAGACCGTGTGCGGATTAATAGAGAAATATTATAAAAAATAACATACCAGGGACAAATACAAATACAATTAGATTATTAACACTGAAAAGTAGAAAAATAAATAGGGTGGGAGAGGAAAAAACGAGAAATGGAAACGAGACAACGTTCATCGAGATTTACCACTAAATCAGGTACGTTTATCTAAACAAAAGTTAACAAAATATCTTGATGGACGTATTCTATTATTCTAACTTTTTTATTAATTATTATTTTGAGATTGGCAAATCTCGTTTGCTCGTTAATTCTTTACTTTTTTTTAATATTTCAAAAATCCACCCATTTTTTTTTTTATTTTTATTTTTATTTTTATTTTAAGGTAAATATATTTTTAGAAATTTCTTTTTTCAATTTAAGTTTCAAACTATTGCGGAAGCTTCATAATAGTTTATTTAAAATTTTTTCCAAAAATAAATTAAATTTTTTAATTGACGTAGGTTTTAAATTCAAGTGATACATTACTGTGCGGGAAGTTGTTACAGTGGGGGGTAAATAGCTGGTGGTCTAATAGTAATAGTAAATCAGCCAAATTACTCATTATAATCCCTTGTTAAATAGTAATGGTAGTTGTAGTTGTAGTAGTAGTAATAGTAATAGTACTAGTACTTAAATGATGTGTTCAATAGTTATATATATTATTAACTATATATAATAGTGTGGGCAGCAATATCAAAGCGAGAGGGAATTTATTATCTGTTGGTAACAAGTTCCGTTAAAAGAATTCTCTTGCAACTAGTGTCATCTTACGAGCAAATAAGTAAATATCCTCATTCATACTTTTATGAATTTTATTATCTGTACTTAATTAAAATGAGGTCCTTTCGCCGCCAATGTAAAATAAAAAATATTAGATTATGAGTAAATTCAATTTTTTTCTAATAGTTAAGGCCCTTATTTATCTAATAGTGAGGTTTAAATTATACTTTACCGGACAAATTTTTGAAAAAATAAAATTTTTAAATGTTAGTATTTGTTCAGAGCGTCTTACGAGAAAGTCAGACGTTTGCAGTATTTCTCGAATTATACTATCAGTCATGGATTAGATAAAGTAAAAAAAAAAAAAAACTAAAAATTAGATTTTCGAAATATTCAGGTTTCTTTTTTTGCAATAAAATATATCAGTTACCGAGATATTTATTGAGAAATTAATTTTTAAAAATCACAAAAAATTCTCAAGCAACCTACGTTAAAATGGAGTCAAAACATTTGGCAACGTTGCGTAGCGCGCGAGCTTCAGACCATTCAATAAATTAAAACTAATTCATTTATAATAAAATATATAAGATTACTTGTAATTATCATGAATTATGAGGCAAATTTTTTTTTAACTTTAAAAAAATTATTTCAAGTTTTATGAAATTATTAAGGCGTCATCTGCAGACCTCGTTATTTTGTGAATTGTAAGATTTAATTTATATACGAAAATTTAAAAAGATTGAGATGGAAAAATTTGTGAATGAGTAAGCCTTGGCCGAGCGTTTGTAACAGTTGTAAAAAAATTATGTTGATGTTTTAAGCGTGTAATTATGAATGTTTAACTGGTAGTGAAAGAATGCAGGTAAATTACGTGGGAAAGTGTCGCTCATAGATCATCAAATGGTGCCGTTTTTACATCCGGTGTCCTTGCTGAATTATTCTATGTAAAATACGCTATAATCTTCTATATAAATGTACTATTTAGTTTTATTTGCTGGTAAATTTGTTTAAATAGGCTTTTAAATAAGCGCGTTAGTTTTATTGCATTTTTATAAATTGTTAATAATTGCGAGTAATGTTTGATTTTTTATTAATAAATATTATTAATTTAACTAATTAATATTATTAATTAATATGCTGTCTAAAAAAAAGTAATAATATAAGTTCTAAAAACAATAAAAAATTCAATTAAAATTGTATAAAATTAATCAAAAGTTATAATTGAAGTATAAAATTGTAAGGTTTAATTTTATTGTTAAGTTCTTTATTAGCAAACAATAATTTTGGATATTTCTTCAAGGGCTAAATAAATAGCAAGAAGATAAATGAATATAATAAGCAATAAGAAGAGTATATATATTTAAAGATCTATAAATGTAATTCTTTATATAAGTGTAAAAGTAAAGTAATATTAAGCTGTAATGGAAATTTAAAACTAAGATTAAAGGGGTGAATATTCACGCGACTTGCCGCGTGACTCTGCGCGCGCATTATAAATAAACGCGCGAGACTAAAATACTTGAGTAAACAATCAATAAATAATTGTACCGATTGTTGTAATCCCTAAAATTCTATTATTAATTCGTGGGATAATTAGTTTATTTATATCATTGTTAGTCCTTATTATAAATTCTGAATGATATAATTTTTTTTTTTCGTATGATGAGATGAATAGTACGACAGGAAATAGATGAGTTAAATGTTTTATTGATTTTATTAACCGATGCGAGACGGATGGAGGATATTTGAAGAAGACGATAAAAAAAAAGGCAGCTACTTTGAATCCGCTCGATCATCCCTTGTGCATTTAACACTCCAATAGTCCACCTCATGTTCTCGCAATGCTGGACTTGGTATAAATAAATATATATGAATGTCAATGACAATAGACGTGGCTACTAAACCGATTTAAAGACGATTGAATGTTGTTTAACTGATAAAACTATACATTATTTAATCCTTTGTTTTACTTCAACATTTTTAATTATTTTAGGCTTATCATTTAGATAGAAATTCAAATCGACAATTTATTAAAAAAAGATTAATTTAAAAAATTCCTTTCAAGTTTTAGATTATTATATTTTTATATTTAAAGTATTAAAAAGTGAATCAGACGAATAATTAATTTTTTATTACTACGCAGTTTATTCGCGCTCTTGTTTACACTATTATTTCTCAATGATGTATTATATATTATTTGTTCAAAATTACAACTGTTTAATACGTGAGAAATTTTTAAGTAATGTTGGAATTTATTTAGTATAATATCATAAAAGATTTAGTAAAACATGAATGAAATACCGTATAAATTATTTACGTATTTGCTATGCATAATAATAATAATAATAATAATAATAATAATGAACTAATTACTAATAATTTTATATAATAATTGTATATTATTTACTAATATCAAAACAAAACCGGAGTTAAATGTCACGTTTCAACTATCATAAGCTTATTGGTGTGTTTTTTACCGAATTATTGTTAAAAATTAGAAAAAAATAATGAAATTATTTTTCTCTATAGAAGAATTTTTAATAATTTCTAAAATATAACTTAATACTTTCATCAAATCTTTTTTTTAAATCAAAAATTTGTATGAAAATAATTAAATATTTCCCACTTATCAGGACTGTCCATTGATTTGGTTACTCTATTTAATTTTTTTAGATCAGCAATCTGCAAAAATTGTAATTATGTCAAAAAAATATATATCTGACTATCTAATAGTCAATACGTAATCATTCTCGATCTCAAAATTAAAAAAACGTAAAATCAGACACAATATGTTAAATGTAAATAATTAATTTAAAGCTAGACTGTAAAATAAGCCGGCGGACGCAGTGTCTACCGTTGACATAACAACAAGTTAAATAAATAAAATTTGAAATGTATATGAGAAGAAAGACTATCACCCCAAGATAATCGTTTTTGCAAGTCAAGGAAATCCCGGAATCTTATTTTTTCCCGACAATCGCGTCTTAAATCTCGTGCTTTAGTGCTACTTATACTGGCATTAGAAGTGTAAATAAAATAGTTATTGATAAAAAATAGTAAACTGACCTAAGACAACGAACTTTTAAATTGTTCGCATACATAAACGTGAGCAATAAATCAAAATAAATGAATAAATCATCCGTGATCTCTATCACTCAGGTAAACGAGCAGAAAATGTAATCAGTGGCAATAACAGATACCCTCTGAGGGATTTGATTGAGTTTATGTGACATACAGAGGAACTAAAGTTCATGCGAATTATTAATCAGTATTTTTTATAAAGTAACACGTTACTTACTGACATTTTAATCTTGTACATGCAGTTGACATTAGATTTTATAGTAAATTAATTTTTTGTCACTTCTTTTTAACTTATAACGTCATAAAAAAGTACTGATTAATTATTATTACCTCTTGATGTTATTATTAGTATAATTAGTTAACTAACTAGTTAAACTCGGGAGTCACTTGGGGGTTAAACTTAAAAACAATTTTATTTATTGTTTCTTCTTAATAACTAAAACTCAACTCGATAAAATTATATTCTCTAACGGGGTATATATTCACGCCGTCTTGATAACACGTGACTTTGAAACGTGCCTGGTTATGCACGTGGAACAAACCACAACCCCCATACCCTCTTGCCCCTTACATCCCCTATTGACGATTCTCCGGGAATTCGTTCACAGCTCAGTTTATCGTCGGTACTCTCGGCATGCGTTTCTCATATTTTAATTTTTAAGTAAAAATAAATAAACCAACTTATCTCTTTTTAATTGTTAATCTTTATGTTTTTTTTTTTTTTTTAACACTTACAGGTGATGGTTCACCATATTATTCAATTATATGTGTGATTGCGTGTATGAATGTCTTCATTACTTTATGTTTAAATTTAAATATCTTTGGGGTAAATGCGGGTATTACTGCGGTTTCAAGTGTATTACTTACTTTTAA